AGACAGCCATAAGAACGAAGCGACTATCATCCTAGGAGACTTTAACTCAAGGATTGGCAACAGAATCATACCCGGAGTTAAGCAGAGATTCAACGAGGAAACAGAAAACGAAAATGGAACGCTGATGACTAACCTATGCACAATCAACGAACTACGAATAAATAACACATATTACGAACACAAACAACAACACAAACACACGTATTGTAACTCAAGGGGACACACATCAACAATCGACTTCATTGTGACAAACCGAGTAATTCCACCAACCAGCATATTAGATGTAAGAAGCTTAACCTCGGCAGACATAGGAAGCGATCATGCCCTCGTGATTGGGAAGCTGAGACTAATATCCCTCCAAAAGAAACAAGCAAAAACATGCGAAGAGCGCACAAAAATAAAACAGAAGGACTAGCTGACCAAACAACCAGAGAACTATATGCAAACAGACTGAAGGAGAAAGTTACAAACAACAACATACAAGAAGGAGATAACGTTGATACGGCATGGGAAAGGCTGAAAAGCAACATACAACAGGCTGCCGAAGAAGCGCTAGGCAGGAAGATCATCAAGAAACCGAATCCTTTTGCTAAGAGAACTCCATGGTTCACCGAGGAAATCAAAATGAAATGCAAGGAAAAAAGCAGGCACACATTCAACACCTCACGCAAAGAACGCAAGAATCATACGAAAGTTACAAACAAATCCGCAGAGAAACGCACGAGTTAGTACGGAAGACGAAATCCGAACACTGGAGGATCTTCTCAAAACAACTAGAACATGACTTCTATGGAACCCAAAAGACAGTATGGAAGACCATAAGAAACCAGAGAAAAGAGCTCACAGAACTGGTACAAGCAAAGGGAATAGACAAAGAGACCTGGATAAACTACATCAAACATCTATACCGGGACACAAACCAGGAGAAACCTAATATCTCAGTCAACATACAACCTGATGAACCAACCATAGTAAGCATATCTGAGGTGGAAACAGAACTCGCTAAACTCAGAAACAGAAAAGCCAGTGGCCCGGACGGAATACCCAATGACCTCCTGAAATACGGCGAAGAAGTGCTCGCGGCCGAAATTACGAAACTTATCAACATCATCCTGAAGCATCAGAGAGTACCAACTGAATGGAAATTGAGCACACTAATAATGATGTTTAAGAAAGGAGATAAGCAAGAACCATCCAACTATCGAGGAATAGCTCTGCTAAACACCACCCTGAAACTAACAACTCGATTACTAGCGAACAAGATATTAGCACACACCACACTATCAGACGAACAACAGGGCTTCAGGAAAGGAAGGTCCTGTAACGACGCAATATTCATAATAAGACAGGTGAAGGAAAAAGCCGTGGAGTGGAACAAACCGGCTTTTCTTTCCTTCGTGGACCTAAGGAAAGCGTTTGACAGAGTGCAGCTCCAAGACATAACCAGCATACTCCGAAAAGAAACATCGCATCTGATATCATCAATACTATAAGGGACATCTACAACAACAACGAACTGCAACTAGCAATAGCCGAACAACGCACAGACCCCATAAAAGTAGGAACAGGGGTAAGACAAGGCGATTCCCTAAGCCCCCTGCTATTCAACTTCATCATGGAAGAGATAATTGCAAGAGTCCGACGCTGTAAAGGATACCAGATGGGGGGGAAAGAGCTGAAAGTTGTGTGCTACGCGGACGATGCCGTGCTAATTTCCGATAGCGAAGACAACCTACAACGCATGATTCACCAGTTTAACATTGCCAGCAAAGCCCTCAACATGGAGATAGCAACAGAAAAAACCAAATGCATGGTCATCGCACCACATCCAATAAGATGCAAACTTGAAGTCGATGGACAAATCGTACAACAAGTGAGCGAGTTCCGATATCTTGGTATAAACATATCCAGCAGTGGAGGAGTGGAAAAAGAAGTAGCAGAGCAAGTTGAAAAGGGCCTGAGAATAGCAGGATGCCTAAGGAACACGATTTGGGACAACAAACATCTAAGAACAGAGACGAAAGTTTCCATCTACAAGGCAGTAGTCAGGCCCATATTTACATACTCGGCAGAAACGCGTGCAGAGACGACAACCACACAGAGATTGCTCACCACCGCGGAAATGAGGACACTAAGAAACATAGATGGCAAAACACTGCTCGACCGGATAAAGAACGAAGACATCAGAAGAGCGTGCAACAACATAGAAGACATAACACAATGGTGCAAAAGACGCAAAATCGAGTGGAACGAACACATAGAACGGATGGACGAAACCAGAATAGTCCGAATAGCCAGGGACAAATCGCCAAGGGGAAAGCGATCCCTGGGAAGACCCCGAAAGAGATGGAGCGACCACCTAAACCCTGTCTGAAGTAGGAACAGGCAATATGCCTACAAAAGAAGAAGAAGAAGAAGAAAATAACTTAGAATTAAATAAATAATAAAATTTAAATTTTTTAAATAAATTTTTTTGTTGATTTTTATTTTTCGGGTGTTTTTGACGTTTTGATTATTGTAAAGTGGAATTCCAACGCTGCAGCCGCATTTAATCGATTACCCGTCGACGTGCTTTCACTCGTTTCACTCGTTACACAGTATTTGCAGCGAAATTGCCGGATAATTGGAAAATGGGAAATGCTCGGTGCACGCACACATCAGTGCGGACGGCGAATGGAAATACAAATACATGATGCCAATATCAGTTACACTGAAGTAACACCGGAAGTTGATTTTGTTAAATCAACATAACCTTTAAAAGTATGAGGAGAGGAATATGTGCGAATATGAATTACGGAAATTTAGTAATTAATTAATAACTTGAAGAGTAATAAAGATAAAATTATTTTGTTTGCATATATTGGTAAAGGATTTAATTCTGCGTTAGTTTGAGGTTGAAAATTGTTTATAACTTATTTATATACAGAGTAATCAAGAAAAAACCAGTGGAAGTTTTGAAGTTTTGTAAGAAAATTGAATTTGTTTTGTTTATAACTTTATTATTATTTCTGTTATTTACATGTTCTTAACGTTAGAAGATGCAAAATTTATCATAGATTCATAGACCGGAGGTTTGTTAGGGTAACTTATCTTGTTTTTACGTTATTAATTAAAAACTAATAAAACACGCTTTGATTAAAAATTTGTCTTGTAATTTTAAAAAATTAATAACTTTTTAAGCTGATAAGGTAGGAAGCTGATTTTTACTGTCATTTATTGAGAATTAAATTGTGCTTATTATTGAGTTATAAAATAATAAATTATGCTAATATATACCGGGTAATTCAGGAAAAAAGAAAGTTTTTAGAATAAATTTGCTCAAAATCGATTTTATTTTGTTTATAACTTTGAGGTTTTTACAACTTTTGACAAATTTAATACTGGGATAAATGCAAAATTTAATTTACTATCAGCTGGTGAAATAATAATTGTTTTATCTCAATTAGTTGTACAGTTATTAATAAATAACTGACAGAAATGAAAAAATCACAAATTTGCATTTTGAATTTATTTTTTAAATAACTCAAAATTTACATAACCTACAAAAACAATTTCTTCTCTAGCTGATTACCCATTAAATTCTCTATTAACATCAACAAACAAAATTATTCTACCGCTACCCATTTCCAAGTAATTAACTAATTAATCAAAGCAAAATATTTTTCTTTCAAACTCAGTCTGAATAAACACTCCGCTATAGAAATTTATTTGATTCCGTATACAAAAACAAATCAAAATAAAAACACAGTAAACAAAGTCAAGGTTCTGCTGCTCGGATGTATTTTGATGTCGTCGTGGGTTTTTCCTCCATTGCGAAAGTTTCCCGCTGAAGAAAAATACATTGCTGCGAGTTCAGTCCGAGGCTAAAAAAAGATTCGATTGGCAACACGAACGCACCGACGAAAACGTGTGGAAGCTGACAAAGTACGAAAAGTAAATGTTTGCCACTCTCAAATTGCCGCCTCCACCAGCCGCCCCAAATCTTAAACTGAATTCTGCGGCGCGAATATAACTTGACTCACTTCTTCCTCTTTTTCCTCGTTTTGCTTCTCGGCTGTCTAAACAAATCAAAGAAAATGTTACGGGAGCAAACTTTAACACTAAGCAAACTGAATTATTATATTTATCAATGTAAATAAATAATGTTTGGATAGATAAAGGGAAAAATAATCAAAAATATTAATAAATAAAGATTATTTTTGCATTTTTTGACTTTTTGAGGAAAGTAAAGTGTGTTTATTGAGTTTTTCTTGAATAACTCCCAAACTATTTAAGTTATTGTTATAATTTAAAAACATATAGGTTAAAAGATAAATTCCTAATTAAACTACGTTTTCAATTTGTTGGTAGATGTATTCCAAAGAAAGTTATTAACAATTAAATTTAGTCTAGTGAAATTAATAAAAATTTTTACAAATTTGCTTATAAATTTTGATATAAACTAGTTATCTTTAAAATTTTTGATAATATTGATGTAGAATTTAATACTTAATTGATTGTTGGAGAAATCATACTTCTACGTTAATTGGTTCTTGAGTAATTAAGAAAAAACTAACTTTTTTCGCTTTATCTCATTTTTCGGTGAGTTATGCAATCAAACCGCATCTTAATTAGCGGATAATTTAAAAACTATCTGCTATAAACTTGAATTTCTTTAATAAAATTGTTTACTAATAAATTCTACATCAAATTGTGTAAAGATCATGTTAAATATGTAATTACATAAATAGTTATTAACAATTAAACTTTGTTTTGTAAAAAAATAACAATCACATAGAAAATCCTTTATAACTTTTGATAATATATAGTTATTAACAAAGTTTTTACATAATTTAATACATTATTTAATACTTAATATATTCCTGAAGAAATAATAATAATATCTTAATTAGTTTATAAGTTATAAGCAAAAAACTTAACGATTACACTACTTCTACTCTAACTACAAACATTTTTCTACAATATCACAATTAATTTGTAATTTTTCTTCTTTGTTTCAGGATATTCCACTATTACTTCATCCACCAACAGAAATTATTATTACCCAATTCCACAACGATAAATAAACATCGATATTTTCACGGAAATCATTCAAAAAACGAATTTATTTGCAAGTGGAACTAAAATAAAGAATTAAGAAAAAGGATCATTCAATGACTGGTGGCGATCGTCATGGCTACGCTTCAACATGGTAATTATTTATACATTAAATATTATTATTATTAAGTTATTAACAAAAACGAAAAACTGTAAATCGTGCACTAATTGACATATCAATCATCATCTAAAGCAACAATTGGGATAAATTACGTGTAAAATATTTATTTTTGTAATTATTTTAACTTAAGCAACTTCTATCACAATAAAATTGATGGGGAATGAAGTTAAGGGTTGCATAAATACATTGTGTAAGTTTGGTTGCAATACTTTAAATAGTTTAAGAGTTATTTGACTTTGAAGTTTACACTAAAAATTCTCTTTCCAATTTACTTTCAAGCTCTGATTTCACCCTTTTAAGGGTTGATTTTTATTAATTTTTTAATTAAAATAACTTAAACATATTATAAACAATATGTCTACCAAATTTCAAACTTGTATCTCTTTTAGTTTATGAGTTATTTGCATTTGTTTATAAGAAAACAAAAATCTGAATATTTTAGGTTATGATTAACCTACAATATACTATATCACACTCAAATATTTTAATCAATAAAAAATTAACAATAAATATTACCAAATTTTTAAATAATTTCTGTTTAATATTAATTTTAATTAATTTTTCATAAAAATATTTTTCAATTATTATAAATTTAACAACATAGAAATAATTTATTTATTTAAAAATAATGTAGACGTGAATGACTATTTTATGGTCGCATCAAGGAAGGCCGACGAGTTGATCTGTTGAATATTTCAATGTCGTCTGCAATTATCATGCTCTCGCGTTTCTCTTACTCCTCGTACTTAAGTCGACTTGACTTAACTTAAGTTACATTATAGGCATTTTTAGCGTTTCCAATGTGTTTTGACTTAAAACGTATGCAAATTCGAGTGCATAATAAAACGCACAATTTATTACTTAAATTCACTTAAGTTAAGTTGAATTAAGTTAAGTTAAGCTGACTTAAGTGCATAAAAATGCATTTTAATTATTTAAATCTTAAGAGATTTTGATTCTGTTTGTGGTGATGAGTTTCGAGTTGTCGATTGAAGTGGAGGTGGAAGTTGAGTTTGAACTCTTGAGTAAACTTGAATTGTTAACTGATAATTGGGAATTGTGAATTGTGAGTGAGGAATGGTGAATGATGAATGATGAATTGGGAAATGAGAAATTAAATTCAATTGGAGATGTGATTGAAAATGTTAAAGATTCTGTATTTACGTTATTTATTTGTTTGAGTTATCGTTGAATTTGCTTTGAGAAATTTTCATCGCGTTAGTTTTTTGTTAATTACTCGAAAACTAATTAAGTTATTTTAATGATTTCTTCACTAATGTATTCGTAATTTATCTCTCTACCAAATTGTACCTAAATTTTATTGATAATATTTTCTTATCAATAGTTATGGAGCATTTTATGCCAATTGTCATATTATTACTAAATCTAATTTTAATTGTTAATAACTTTTTGTGTAATTAATCAATCAACACCATCTTTTATAAAATAGATGCAGAATTTAATAGTGAATAAATTTATGTTAAAATTATTGATACAATGCATAAAATTAATTAGTTATAACTTAATTAATGACACACTGCATATTATTTTAGAAAAATTGTCGAATAACTCTGCAATTACCTAGTTTTTCCGTAATAACTCAACAAAAAATTAACAAATTTGAATAATCTTTTCAACAATCTATTCACAATTAAATTATTAATATACATACAAAAAGTTGATAACTACTGTATTTATTAAGTTACAGACCAACTAATATCAAAAGACAAATTTTAACAACTTTCAATTATAATTGATAATAACTTTTTGTGTAGTTAATAAATCTACACCATCTTTTTTAAAATAGATGCAGAATTTAATACTAAATAAACTTATGTTAAAATTATTGATACCATGCATAAAATTTATTAGTTATTAATTAATTAATGACACACTGCATATTATTTTATAAAAATTATCGAATAACTCTGCAATTATATAGTTTTTTTGTAATAACTCAACAAAAAATTAATAAATTTGAATAATCTTTTCAGTAATCTATTCACAATTAAATTATTAATGTACAATCTAAAATTCAAGTTGATAACTATTTTATTTATTAAGTTACAGGCAAATTAAAATCAACATACTAGTTTTTACAATTTTCAACTTCAATTGTTAATAACTTTTTATTTATTAATCTAATCAACAAAATCTAAAATTATTATTATGTATAATTTAATTCTTAACATATCTATGTAAAATTTATTATTATAACATAAATAGTTTACGAGTAATATTAAAAAAACGAAAAGAATACCACCAATCAACGAACATAAATACACCATATACGCATTTAGTTAAATTACCTATCTATTTATAGAATATTATTGACTTAAATGTATTCACAACATTCCTCACTGATTAACTCATTGAATAACATTGACTCATTCATAATAATTAATGTATATTCTGTCTACACTCTTATTCTTCCATTCCACCAACTCCCAACCACAAATTCTTCAATATTCAACATTCATTCATTAATTCACTCATAGGTGGCGCTACTAACACCACAACTCATAAACTCACACTCCCATATTACCCAACTTACCCAATACAACCCAACATAACCTAACCTATAATTATCTCTATATTTATGTTTATATCAATTGCCTGTGGACATCTAAAACTAATTCGGTTGCGTAATGACAAACAAATATCATTACAGTATATTATACGTGACACAGATCGAAAGCAACAATTAGATTTAGAAAAGCTATAATTAAATATTTTACAATATCGCCGTTCTTAATATGAAATCTCAATGTGCACGCTATTGATTCATGTTTTAAACACGCCAAAAGGGGCTCTTGGAAGTTAATATCTCGGTGCTTATTCGTGCGTGCACTGTGCACAATTCGTGATTCATGATATTAGGAGTCTGTGTGCGTTCTAAATATATTAAAATAATAATATACGCCACTTGTTATGAAATAATTGAGAGTCAAGTTGAAGATTTGCGAGAAATTCGAGTGTTTTTTTTGCTTTAAAACGGTTTTAATTGAAGTAGAATTTGTTTTAAGCATTTAATAAAAAGAGAAATATATTGTTTATTTAATTGTTTATTTATTGTGTATTTTTGTTGTTAAAGTTTTGTTATTATTTGAGTGTTATTTTGATTTTTTTGTACAAAAATTAAGTTTTTTTGTTGTAATATAAACTTTAAACATTTGAAACTCTTATAAATATTAAAAATAATATGCAAAATTTTTATGTAGTAGATAAACAATTTAATTGTTTATAAATCACAATAAAATTTATTCTGATATCTTGTTTTGTTTAAAAGTTATAAGAATTTTAGTAAAATATTGCTTAAAACTTGATTTTTTTTTAATTCTGGCTAAATATTTATTAAATTGCGGATATCTTTTAAACTAACTTTTTAATTGCATCCAAATAAAAACCATCTTATTTAGCATTAAATTCTCTTTCGAATACATGTTTTCAGTATTTCATAAAATTGTTAGTAAGTGTGTTACAATACAGCAAAATTACTATATCGAAAGAAAAAATAACGTTTTTCTAATAATTTTTAACTTTAAACATTAATTACCACCACAATAATGAATTTGTGTTTATTTAGTTTTAATGTATATTATAGATAATTTAATTGTTAATTAATCCCCAAAAAGATCAACTTAATATCATATATAGTTCAGGAATTATATGCATTTTAGTAAAATAATGCATGAAACATAATTTTTTTTGTTTCACACGAAATTATTTATTCAAACGCCGGTATCTTTTAAACAAATAATTCAAAAACAACAAAATAAAAACTATATTATTCACAATTAAATTACCTTTCTAGTGACCTATTTCAATAATTAAACAAACCATAAACAATTGAGTTATTACGTCACAAACCAACAAAAACACAAAAAAAATCAAAAAATCATCAAACCTCAATAATTCCGAAACAAACCGGGTATAAATACCACACCAACTAATAATTTATAATATTAATATTATTATTATTATATTATTATTATTATTATAACATGTTCATTCTTTCACCTCTATATTTATAAACATAGCGATTAATACCGACAACAACGTCAAAAACATAAAACATAAAATATTGAACATTTTATTATTTAGCCGCGTGTGTGGCGTGTTGCATGTTTCAAGCGTCAGTCCAGCGTGAACTATGGCGTCGTCAAGTTGCGCACCGCACACATTCACACATTAAAATAAATAATTAAATATAATATACAAGCGCGAGAGAATTATTTAAATAAAAATGTTTTATTCACGATACGCGCAACGCGGGTTAATGCTGATGTTCACATCGAGATAACAAGACAACTCAGACGCAACTCGACACGAATTATCTACAATTTAGTGTATTTCGTAAGTGTGATGAGTGTTGACGTGAAAAATATTATCTCACAAAGCATAAAAACTAAATAAAATTAGTTTTAATTATTTATCAGGTAATTTATTACAATTTTTCACAAAAAATTAAAATTTTTGTTATTTGGGTTGCGGATAAATGCAGACTAATAGTGTGTATGACGTGGTGGTTTACTGGTTGCCTATAGTTGAGTGAATAGTAAGTGTGATGAGTGTTGACGTGAAAAATATTATCTCACAAAGCATTAAAACTAAATAAAATTAGTTTTAATTATTTATCAAATAAATTAATAGAAATTTAATTTAAAAAAATGTAAATTTATGTGTATTGGGTTGCGGATCATCATCTGATCTTTAGACTAACATTGTGTATGACGTGGTGAATTACTGGTTGCCTATAGTTGAGTGTAAGGAGTGTATGTGTAATGATTGAAGTGTATTCCGAATATTGATAACCACAGTGATAACATGAACATTATTGACCTATGTGCGCTATTATTGGATTGTTATTAATGTTGTGATGTGTGTTTTTTTTGTTGCAGCGAGCCCGTGGCAAGACGCCGCCGCCGCTTCGCCGTCACCGACGCCGCCGGCGGCGTGCGCCTGCCGGAAGCCACGCGCGCCCAAAATCGGCGAAATACCAAGGTAATCAATCATCATTTACATTATTCCGTCATCAAACACAATACAATAGATATCAGTTTAAATTTTATTGGTTTTATTTGTGATTGTGTGTATATAGGCAACCAAATATACATTTAAGAATAACTGCATGTTGTCTAGAGTAAAAATTTAAAGAATTTTTGTTATATTCTATTTATTCTTTTGTATATATGAGTGGATGATGTATATAGGCAACCAAATATACTCAAATGCATGACTGGATGTTGCCTAAAGTAAAAATTTTGTTTATTTTTGTTTTAATTTGTTTTTTTCTTTGATTATTTGATGATAATTATACCTACAGGAAGTTAAAGTGATAAAATTAATTCATTTATAGGTTATTCTTGGTTTTGGCGGGATATCCTCAGTGTTATTACACTTTAAAGCTGTTTTTATTACTTTTTGGAGTAATTAACGTTTATTTATATTATATGTTAATATTGAACATAAATTATGATGTCACAGAGTGACTAAAGGTTTGGGTGAAAGTTGTGAGGTGGAGTTGAGTGTTTAATCATCCGTGTTTAATAGTTTATTGTTGATTGTTGTCGAAAACAATTAGCGAAATTCCGCACGAAGTGAATAATTCTTGAATAACACGTACTTAAGGCGGTAATTACGTGTGAGAACGACTGGAACATGTTTTAATTTGTGTTTGCTGTGGTAATATATTTGGCTTGAGTAAATATATGTTATTTTTTATTTTGAGTTGGAATATTTAAGAGATTAGTATTGTTTAAAGTGTTTTAAAGTTGAAGTGAAAATTAAATTAGGAATAAATTGTTTGCGGAGTGATAACTCAGGTAATTATTATAGTGGAATAATAGTTTAAATCTTAATAGATAGTAAATTTAATAGAGATTAATTTGGAGTTTAATAAAGTGTTGTGCGTGTTGCAGTTTTTGAGATATTAAGGTTAAAGTAAAAAAAATGCAAAATTTTGCTATAGATGATAAAAAGTGTTATAATTTTGAAACTAGCGAAGATAAATAAACAAATTTGGGAATATAAGGAGATAATTAACAGGACTTTAAGATAAATTAATAATAGTTTTGAAATATTGCAGTATTTTGACGGTAATTTGCTGATAAATATTAAAAATCCAAAGTAAAGTTTTTGTTTTGCTGTAAATACATTTTTTTCATATTTTCTGTGCTTATAACTTTAACAATAATTATAATAAATTAATAATCAATACACCGTTGGAAAGGTGATTTAATGTAGATTATATATGCGAAATAAGAATATTATATGTTTGGCCGTTCAAAAGTTATAACAAATTAAGTGAAAAATTACATATTTTAAGTACAAATCAAAAACAAAACAAAAATCAAAATAACTCAAAAACTAATAGAGATAAAAACAAAAATTTAAATCCAATATATACATAATAACATAAACTATAAAATTATTAACAAATAAAGTAAAATTAAATTATTCTTGACAGTTATTTTGCAAAAAATCAACAAAATATCATTCCACAATTAAAAACTTGCACAGACCCATAACCAATTAAAAAAAATAATTAAAAAAGCAAAGTCTTCATAGACACTATTTCCATCTGAGTGAATTTGCACCCCTTTCATTCCTTTCACATTTTTTTTCATTCCCCTGCAATATCCCGAATCGATAAGGTCGATAGTTACCACCGGACGCATTGAACCCTTTAACCTTTTCGCTAAAACTGAACACACACACACACACTCACACATCACACATAATCACTCAACTGATAACACCCCTCCAACATACAACCTACCTTCAACTCTACCCTCGAAAGATAAAACAATTCAGTGATAAACTCATATTCATCACATAAACACCAAAAATATCGACAAATAAATTAAAAATTAAAAAATTATAAAAAATTAATTCTTCTTATTTATTTATTATTAATTTATTATTAATTTCATAGTGTAATTATATTCACTGTGCCCGTCTCACACATTCACTCTGCATCTCTTCTAGACACACCGCAGTAGAAGTAGAATTGAAACCAAAAGAAACGGATTTGCAGCCACAAGCACTCAAGGTGACCTCCATCAAGCTCCCGGACATCACCACGCCGCCATCTTGTATCAAAATGGGGCTCACAGATGACGATGACGTTACCCGTGCACCTGCCGCTGTGATAAACGAACCAAAACAAACAGAAACAAAAATAACAACAGAAAAAGTGCCTTCGGAAGCGAATAACAACATTACTACGACTACTATCACCACAAGTGAGAATGAGGATGTAGGTGTGGGTGATGAGGTGAAACCACCGCGGTTAAGGGTGCAACCTCGATTAGGGCTGTTGACGCAATCGAAAAGTTTGGCGGTGGCTGATAGCCCGCCGAGTGGTAATGGGAGTGGTGGTGGAGGCGCCGGGAATGGGTCAAGGCCGATATTTCCGAATTGTCCGTTTTCCCCGTATGGAAGTCCCACAGGTAAATTTTTATTTATATATTTTTAATATTTTTTCTTTTGATTTTTTGAAGATTTTTGATTTTTTTGTGTTTTTTGTGTTTTTAAAGAAATTATTATTATTTTTGTTTTGTTGCAGGATCACCAAGGAGTAGTAGGAAGAGGCAACCTTTGAGAGAGTCAAGGCGTGTTTCTATTGAGAGAAGTGGGATGTATTTGCAGTTGAATCAATATAAACTTAAGGATTCTATTGGACAGGTGAGTTTTTGACGCAATTTTGACCAGTTTTTTGCTGTTTTGTCATACAAAAAAATATTAAATATTATTGTGTTTAGTATCATTTTGAAGAACTTTTTAACGCGCATATTTTGACGTTTAGTTGGTTTTTCTATCGTTTTTGTGTCAAAGGTTACAAAGGTTTTAATTTTGAAAATTTGCTCAAAAATTACAATGCCTTTAAACGCGTATTACGTTGAGGTTATGTTAGTGACACTAACGCCATCTACAAAACATTAAAATATAACTATCCCTCTATCGAATGACGTATTACTTATTAAATTATCTCTTATCGTTCATGAGTTATCGCAATTTGAAATAAAAAATCATAATTCTCTTTAATTTTGAATAATTTTTGCGTGTTTCTCAGTAATTACCTCGAAATTAATGCGCAGTTTATATTCGCGTGATTATAGCAAATGATAAGGGTTGATTTTTATACGTTGACGTAACCTTAACTGTGTATAATAAATACACAATTAACTAAACATCAGAATTGATTAAGATTTATTTATAAAACGTATTTATTTTGAAAACAAAGCAGAAAAACATAGAAAATGTTTAGGAAATGTTTAGTCAGTGCAAGATGTGGAGGTAAACAAAGGCTAACCCTAAAAATAGAAGCGTTTACGAGCACGCGAGCGTGATAAACGCGAAGGACATGTGTGTAGGCCAAGCGCAAGCAACAGGATTCAACGTGAAGTGACGTTAAAGTTGCCTAAATATAGATTATACACGAGAGGTGAAATGTTGGGGTTTTATTGTAGGAAGGTTGTTGTTTTTGTTTGTTAAAAGTTGAATAACTCGGAAAGTATTAAAGATATTGTTGTTATTTTTTTATGAAAAGGATAAGGATGAGTGCAGGTATGAGATGTGAAAGTGGTGTTAGTATAGTTTACATAACCTTAAAGTTATAGGCGTTTGAAGATGAGTTAGTGATTATTTTAATAAAATTGCGATAACTTTGTTAATAATTCAGATAAATAAATAAATAAAAAGTTAAATTGAAGATAATTAATGGAGTTATAAGATGGTTTAAACAAATATACTATTTATTTGTTTATATCATAATTATTAACAATTAAAATTTATAAAAATGAAATTTTCACTGGTTTATGTTTTTTTATTGAAAAATTCTTAGTTTTTCATAAATAAAACAATAACAATTTATCATTTTTATTAAAAACAATGTTTATTTGTGTCCAGACGTCAATAACAACAATTTCTTGGAACAAAACAAAATGTATTATTAATTTTAGCATTTGAAAGCACATGTTATTTATTTATGTACCGGAATATTTTATTAGGGTTGATTCTGACAAGGGTTGTGTGTGACGCAGGGCTGAGAACCTGTGCGTGGGCTAAAACATTGATTTTCATGCGTTTTAACTAAAAATAACGAGTGTATTACATTCTTATTACAAGAATAACGAAAAACATTAAAACACAATTAAAACGCAATTACAACATAAAAAATATGAGGTTAGGATAAATAGTAAATAAGAGATTGAAAATTGGTACTTATTTTGATTGTTTATATTTTATTAAGGCTATTTTTTTGATCGGATCAAGTTTTATCGTTATTTTAGAGGAATTTTGATTTTTTGTTGAGTGTCTTGTGTTTTTTGTTGTATAAATGGCAAATAAATCGATTTTCCTGCAAACTAAACGAGATAGAAAGGAACGAATCTCAAGGCGTTAATTTACGGACCATTCCCTGTATAATGAGATAGTTAATTTGGAAATCTAAGAGAAAAAAATTTGAATTGCTAAGAAAAAAATTGTCAAGGGGGGGTGCTTAATAATCTTTTTCGAGGTTTTTTGATAGTGAATATCTTCCGAACTACAAGCGATAGAAACCAGTAAATTACAGACTAGGAAAGATTAAGTAATTCTCTATTAGATCAAAACATAAAATTATTAAATATCGAAGGGTAAAAGGGCGAAAAACGTGACTAAAAGTGCTAAAAAGTGACATTTTTCAATTTTTGACGATTTTTTTCAATCGCGAATATCTCGTAAACTAAAAGAGATAATTAAGATCCGATCGCAGCGTCTTAATCTACGGACTATTTTCTATATGATAGGACAGTTAAAACGGAAATCTGAGAGATGAAATTTAATTTCTTAAGAAAAAATTGCCAAGGGGGGGTGCTTGATACTTTTTTTCGACGATTTTCAAAAATTCATATCTCTTAAACTAAAAGAGATAGCAGCCAACGAATTGCTGATTATGAAAGACTGGAAAATTCTCTATCAGATAAAAATATAACATAATTATATTTCCCTACAGTAAAAGGTCGAAAAAACGCGACTAAATGTGCTAAAAAGTGACATTTATCAATTTTTGCTCATTTATCAATCGCGAATATCTCTGCAAACTAAAAGAGATAATCAAGATCCGATCGCAGCATCTAAATCTACGGACCATTTTCTATGCGATAGATGTTAAAACGGAAATCTGAGAGATGAAATTTATTTTAAGAAAACGCTGGCGGGTGCTTGATACTTTTTTTCGACGATTCTTCGTGCACCATATCTCTTAAATTAAAAGCGTATATCAACCAACGAATCGCTGATGCGAAAGATTGGAAAATTCCTCTATCAGATAAAAATATGCCGCAAATATATATTTCCAACAGTAAAAGGTTCAAAAATGCCACTAAAAGTGCTAAAGTGACATTTTGCGATTTCGATGATTTTCTTCAATCGCGAATATCTCTCGTAAACTAAAAGAGATACCAGATCTGATCGCAGCGTCTTAATCTACGGACTTCTCTATAAGACAAAAGTAGTTAAAACGGAAATCTGAGAGATAAAATTTTACATCTTAAGAAAATTGCCAAGGGGTATGCTTGATACTTTTTCGACGATTTTCAGTAAATTCATATCTCTCAAATTAAAAGCGATATCAACCAACGACCGCTGATTATGAAAGATTGAAAATTTCATCAGATAAAAATAAAAATATATATATTTCCTGCAAGTAAAAGGCCGAAAAAACGCGACTAAAAGTGCTAAAAGTACATTTTTCAAATTTTGCCCATTTTTTCAATTGCGAATATCTCGTAAACTAAGAGAGATAATGAAGATCCGATCGCAGCGTCTTAATCTACAGACTATTCTCTTACAAGATAGGCTATTGAAACGGATATCTAAGAGATAAAATTTTCAATCTTAAGAAAAAAATTGCCGCTGGGTGCTTGATACTTTTTTCGACGATTTTCACAATTAATATCTCTTAAACTACAAAAGCGATAGCAACGAACGAATTACGGATTAAGTAAAAGATTGGAAAAATTCCCTCTATCAGATAAAAGTATAAAATAATTATATTTCCAAGAGTAAAAGTTCGAAAAACACGACCAAAAGTGCTCAAAAGTGACATTTTTCAATTTTTGCCTATTTTCTTCGATTGCGAATACCTCGCAAACCAAACGCCATAAACAGTGCCTGAATGGCAGGGTCTTAATCTGTGAAAATTTTTATAAAATAAGCAAGTTAAATTTAAAGTTTAACAAAGGTAATTAAACCTAACCTCAAAACTTGCCATCTAACTCATAACTTTTGAAATTATCCACGCGCCAAGCGAAAGCTAGAAACGCGGAATTTCCAGTATCTGCGAGTAGAAGCATGCTACTGCTTGCAACTTGTAAATATTAAAGTTTAATCCTTGCGAACTAAACTAATTAAATGTGTCCTTCGTCCTTCCGGCAGGGTTCATACGGCATCGTCAAGCTAGCGTACAACGAGGAGGACGATACGCATTACGTAAGTATTATATTTCACACGAATGAATAAGCAAGCAAGCCAGCAATTCATAGAGTACTCTCTTATTACTGTAAAATAATACTTTTCAACACCCGTGCGCAAAAGGAATTCGTTAGTATTGCTTAAAAATATGAAAAATGTGTTCAAAATGTGTTTATTTTCATTCTGAATGTCTAAAAATTAAATTTTTAACATTTTTCATAAATAAACATCAATCAATAGACGAAAACATAAAAATTTAGAATATTAGTGTGTATTATGACAGTTTTTAGACACTAGTGTGTAAAATACTACTTTTTAACACTTCTATAATTATAAAATAATTAAAAATGTAATATCACGTGATTAAAACGATGTTTTGAACATTTTTATCACAGAGTAACTTTAATCCGTGTTTAAAATTATAGTTTTACACACTAGTGTTCAAAAATACCACTTTGAACACTCGTATAATCTCAAAATATTTTAATTAACAATATTTTATGCCTAAAAATTTATTTTTTACACTTTTAACACAAAATAACCAAAATAAGTGTTCAAAAATCAAGCCAGTTTTTTCACCAGCGGCAAAATACTCATTTTAAAATACCATATATAATTTCCAAATATTTTAATTTACAACATTTTATGTCAAAATCTATATTTTTTACTTTTTTAACAAAAAAAAATTTGTTAATGTGCAAAATCATAATTTTACACACTAGTGTACAAAATACAACTTTTACCACTCCTAATATCACAAAATATTAAAACTTATAAACATTTCATTCTAAAACCATATTTTAAACTCAAAATAACGCTTAAATTCCTTTTTCTTCTTTTTTTTTTCTATTTTTGTTTGTAATTCTTCAGGCAATGAAAATTCTTTCCAAGAAAAAGCTCCTGAAAAAGGCCGGAATGTTCGGCCGCATGCCGCCGAAAAAGGAAGGCCGTAAAGCGGACGCCACCTCACCCCTGCAGCGGGTGTACACCGAAATAGCGGTGCTCAAGAAGCTGGATCACCCGAACGTCGTAAAACTGGTCGAGGTGCTCGACGATCCGGTCGAGGATCACTTGTATCTGGTCTTCGAGCTGCTCGAGCGTGGACAGGTGTTGGACGTGCCCACGGACAAACCGCTCAGCGAGGATGACGCCTGGGCATACTTCAGGGATGTCGTGTTGGGGATTGAATATTGTAAGTACAAAACAAAGAAAAGAAATAAAATTTAAAAGAAAAATCGGAAAATCGTTTTTTTGAAGAAAAAATTGAAAAAAATGTTTTTTGTTGGTTTTTAAAGAAAAAATATATAATAAGATATTGGGGATGAGATTTTTATCAGGATTTTGTGAGGGGAATTGAATATTGTGAGTACAAACAAATAAAAAAATTAAAATTTGAAAAAAATTGATTTTTTGAGGAGAAAAAGAGAAAAAAATTGTTTTTTGTTGATTTTTAGGGTAAAAAATTTAATAATAAAAGAAAGGGGTTATTAGGGATGAAATATTTAGAGGTAGTTAGTTGTGGTGGTTGTATAAATAGGAAAAAATAATATTTTATTAAAAAAATATGTTTTATAGGCGTTAAAATAACACATTAAAAGGATATTTTTAGGTTAAAGGTAAAAATAAGGAAAATTTTGGTTAAAAAATAATATTTAAAAGAAAATTAGGACTAAAACTAAGTCTTGAATCGAATTTAAGGTTAAAATTTCAAAAAATTTAAGTTTTTTTTTAAATTTTTAGAAAAAAACAGAAAAAAAATTAAATATTATTAATAAAATCAATTTAAATGTAATTTCGAGCTTAACATTAAAGTAATATTAATATCCTCCTACTATTTAATTTAAAATTAAAGCAAAAACTCTAAAATTAAATTTAAAATTTATTTTTTTTATTTTTTTCTTTTATTCTTGGTTCATTTTTCTTCAAAAAACGAAAAATATTATCATTTTATAACCTGCAGTCTAAAGATATTGGTGGTGAAATTTATAGCGGTAGTTATTTGTGGTGGTGTCGGCGGTGGTGTATTCAACCCGGACCTTCCTCGAACGCGTTCGGGTTACGCTCAACTTTTCCTATTAGCAGCGCGAGCGTGCACTGAATTCGGCCGGAGTTGAAAAGGGGTTGCAAAAGGGTGAAAAGGAGAGGTTGAATTATCGCCTACTTTGCTCGCATCTATATCATTTTAACTGCTTTGGGGATGACACTTGAATTTGCTCGCATCGATTTTATCATTTATTATTAATATTTTATGCTCTGCTCAATTTCAATATTAATTTTATTAATTAAATTAACAAATTTAAATTAATAAATTAATTCGTAAGTTGAAAAATTGAGATTTTTGATTTTTTTGTTAAAAATTTTGAAAAATAATGATTATTTTGATTCAAAATTAAGTTTTTGTTTTAATTTTAATTTTAATATTATTTTTAATAGAAATACTTTATTTATCTTTTAACCTAAAAATCAAATTTATTTTTAAAATTTTTATCTATTCTCTTCAATATTTCACTAAAATTCCTTGATTTTAATCCTAATATCAGTTTAAAATCTATTGTTATCTATAAATATTATCAATTTTCTTCTATTTACACAATTTTGACAATTTTACAACAATTTTTATTTATTTTTGATTCCAGTGCATTATCAGCGAATTATCCATCGTGATATCAAACCGGCTAATCTTCTCCTCAGTGAAATAGGCCGCATCCAAATTGCTGATTTAGGCGTGTGTAACGAATTCGACGGAACAGACGCCTTCCTTAGTTCGACAGCCGGAACTCCTGCTTTCATTGCACCGGAAGCAGTTGGGGATCAACGTGCTGGCTTCAGTGGAAAAGTAAAAATTAAAAAATCAAAAAAATTAAAAAACAAAAAAAATCAATTTTTACTTAATATTTAATTATATTTAGGCAGCTGATATCTGGTCAATGGGCATAACCCTCTTCGCATTTGTCTATGGACATGTCCCTTTCTATGACGAGAACATAGTTGGGTTATATTCCAAAATCCGCCATCAGCCAGTCGAATTCCCGCCACTTCCAACCGTTTCTGAGAGTTTAAAGGATTTGATACGAAAAATGTTGGTGAAGGATCCAAATAAGAGGATAACTTTAAGTGAAATTAAGGTAAATAAATAATAATAATATTATTATCATTATAATCATCATTATTATTATTAATATTATTATTTTGATGTGTAGATGGATCCATGGGTGACTAAAGATGGCGCATCTCCTCTGCCAAGCGAAGAGGACAATTGTCATCTTGTGGAGGTCACTGACGAAGACGTCGCACGAGTTATCACTTCCATTCCCAAGCTGGATACGTTGATACTTATCAAACATATGCTCAAGAAACATTCCTTCCAGGTAAATATCATTTTAATTCAAATTTTAATTCGTAAAATCTTTAAATTTTTGTAAATTTTTATTTTGGGTTAATATTTATGGTTTATTTTAATATTTTAAGGTAAAAAGCGGTACTTTAGACACGGACGGTAAAAGCCGTGACTAAAGTATAGTATTTACTAAAATTTTAGTGAAATTAACTTGAAAATTATGTTTTAAGGTTAGTTTTACTTATAATTCAAGTTTTTGTCTTAATTTTATTGATTTTTTACATAAAATTTGTTTTAAATTGAATAATTTTTAATTTTAATACAAATTTTTACTTTATTATTGATTCTAACCTCAATTATCAACTATTTTTTTAAAGAATTTATTCTAATTTTACATTAAACCTAAATTTAACGTCAAAAATTCAAATTTTAAATTTTTTTAATTTTTTTAAAATTTTCCAGAATCCATTCAGTAGAAGATCCGACACTCACCGCCCCTCTGACCCAGAAGCCCGTCGTGTCAACCTCACCCAACGCCACAACCTCGCCACCGCCGGGCGCTCCAACTCCGCACCGGAGGCGTGCGACTGGGGTAAGCAGCTCTCCCTGGAAGCCTACGACAGCTGCCTGGAGGCCGTCACCGAAGAACAATCCAAACTGTTACAGCAAATACAAACCGAGCGCATTGAACTCACGCAAAAGATTGAACAAATCAATGCGGACAGCTGCGAAAAATCGGAAAAATCTAAAAATTTAGAGAGTTTAGAAAGTTTAGAGAACATAGATTCAAAAAACCAAATCATATCAATCGATAAAGACGTCGTACTCAATCAAACCGGCAAGATCAAGCGATGATCTACGTTTAGAGAATTAGCTAGCAAATTAATTAATTAAATTTAATTTAATTTTGGTTGTGATGTTGCTTTTTTCTTTTTTTTTTCTTTGTTTTTGTGTGTTTTTTTGCTTAAATTAAAATTAAAAATTTAAAATATTATTTTAAATAAATTTAAGTTATATTTTTGTGTGGTTTGAAGATATCGTAATAAAATTTGTTTTTTCGCAAAATTTTAATTTTTTTTTTTCAATTTTTTTGCAAAATTTTTCATTTTTTTGCTTTTTTTTTTTCAAATTTTGATTTAATTTACTTATAAATGCGGGACCATCCAATAGTACGCAGAATAAACAAATTAGTCATATCAATATTTATAAAATTAATTTTTTCTTCAAATTTTTTCTCAAAAAAAATTTTTTTTTTTAATTTTTTCGATTTTTTCGAAAAAACTTCAAACTCTTAAAATTATTAAAAATTTAGATGTTTATGCACTTCTTACGGCACTTATGAAAATATCTTCCACTAGCACACTGCACGCATTCGCAAATATTTCAAAATAAAAATTTTTCGAAAAAAACTTAAAATTTAAAAATCTCGACTTTTAGCCTTAAAAATACTTCAAATAAAATAGTACAGATAAAATACTTCTAAAATTCTTATCAAAACACACGTAACAATCAATTTACCAACAAAAATTTAAAAAATTAAAAAATTAAATATTAAAAATTTTGAAATTTTGCTCGCTAGACTAGATTCTTAGCTTTTCTACCCGTTTCTAATCTACAATATTCTCTAATTAAACATTTTAATGCATTGTTCGATAAATTAGTCGATATATTCTAAAAATGCTCAAATATTGATCCAAAGATTGTACAAATATATTGATGATGATAAATATATTCAATCGTTGTTTGTAATATCATTAAAGAGAAGCACATTGATGAGTTCGTTTTTCGTGTACTCCACGCGGCTGCCGGTGATGAAGAAGTCCGTAATGGCGTCCATATTCTCCAGAGGGTTCCACCGGTTGAGGACGAACATGTTCAGGTAGATTTGCCGGTTGATGCCGGTGAGTTTCACCATGTCGTTGGATAATTCCGCGAGTAGTTTAGGTGCGAGGATTATGCGCTCGTCGATCGTCCATTTTCGACGCTTGCGGATGCCGCGTTTTATGTCGAATGTCCATTGGTAATATTCACGTTTTTCAAGTGTCTAAAATAAAAAGTTTTTTTGTTAAATTGAGGTTTATGGTTGTTATATTTATTGAGGTGAGTAGTGTATTTTGTAGATAATTTTATTGTTTATAAGATGACGTCGAAATTATTGTTGTAAGTGTTTTAGTTTTTGAGATATTTTAATTTTTGTATTAAAATTTTTAATTTTTTCTGTTTTTTTGTCTAAAAATGTTTAATTTTTTGCTGGTTATGGCTTATTGTTGATAATAATTGTTATTGTAGGTAGTCTATTTAATAGATTTTTGGGCGGTCTACACGCTCGAGTTTATTTTGTTGTTGTATCTCTTTTAGTTTTTGAGTTATAAATAATTTTGTAACAATTTTTGCGTAATTTTTTGTTTTTTAGCAAAAAAAGTTTCAATTTTGATTCATTACAAATTATGGGTATTATTATTTAATATTTTTATTAAGTAGTAACATAGAGTTTTATATGATCTATCATTTAACGCTAAATTGAGCATGGTAGCAGTTATAGTTTCTGAGTTATAATAAATTTATCAACAACTTATTAGCATTTTCTTCAATTTTACCAAAAATCTTGATGTTTTTTTAGAATAACTAATTATTGTTAATAGTATTTAATATTTTGAGTTATTATACTGATAGATTATTTTCAGATCTACACGTTGACGTTGAAATTGTTATTATATCAACAATAGTTCAAAAGTTATACAAGATTTTGTTAATATTCGTCCCAAAGTTTAAATTTTTTACTAAAATCTTTACCACAATAAAACAATAACACCTAGAAATATGATTTTAACAGCAAATAAACTACAATAAATTATCTACCGAATAACAAATAATTTATTACTCTATTGTTTATAATTTCCGAGTTATAACACTTTGAAAAACAACAAAATTTTGACTTATAATTTTCCACTCACCTGAATATATACTAGAGCAATAAATATATTTAATAAATAAATCCATGATGTAAACTTCATTTTAATATTAAATTGCAATCCAATTCAATTCAAAGTATATTGTTATTACATATTATTTTTTGTTTTCTATCTACATGCGCACGAATATTTCGACTACTTTAGGCACACTAAACGGACACTAAATTTATGACCAATATTGCGTGGCTTGTAGCGGTAGCTGGGCGATAAGGACATGATAAGCAGAAAACACAATACACCTGCGAACTGGAATATTAATTAAAACATTATAACAAAGCATTACGCATTACTATCACATTAACAACAAATTTTAAGTCATTGCAAGTGTTATACTCATTTATATATTGAAATAACCTCAATTTCATGCTTGTACAATCAACTTGAATAATGACAAATAAAAATCTGTGAATTTTTTATTTATTTATTAATATTTAAATAAATAATATCAAAATTACGTCCGTAAATTGCTATTGATTTTGAATTTCTTTATATTTTTAAATATTAAAGTATGTTTTAGTAACACCATGTATATTATTCATACATCAAATAAAAGATAATTTAATTATCTATCAAACTGCGTTCACACGAAGTTAATTGCTATTTTGATATAAGAGTTATAAGCATTCAAAGATGAGTTACATTTTTGGTAAAAAAAATTGATTTTGCATTTTATTTTTATTTTAACGATAAAATTTAAACTATTTGTCAAATTTATATTAACTAACCTGATTCTAAAAGTACAATTAATTCTCTTTTAAATTATGTAATATTTATGTAGTTCATTATTTATCTAATCCAATTTAATTGATTGTAAAAAGAAAATCTATATAATTACACAAATTATTTAAACTGCAAGACCTTTTTCTTTACTCATTAACTCAAATAATATTAATTGCATAAAAAATCTTTTAACGCTATTTGATAAAAGATTAAATTCTCTATCAAATACTCTATAGTCCATGTTAATATCATTTATCATATAGATGTCACAGCAATTTAAAGTCAACATTTACATTTTCTCAATTTTTTTTGATCAAGACCATACTCTTGTTTTGACCATAAAATATAAACAATTCATCCAATTTTGATTATTTCAACTGAATATTAAAGATTCATTCATTATCTAGTGGTTAATTAAAAAAAATTAAGATTAAACCTTTATTATCAGTCATTTCCAGTCAAAAATACAAAAAAAAAAAAAACTCAAAATTTTAAGAAATTTACAAATTTCATAAAACAAATCAATAAAAAAATAACATTTTAAAACAAAACAAAATAAATCAAATTAATTTAACACAAAATAAATAAATAAACAATAAATTATATATATACAGGGTGTACAAATAAAATTTTCTCTCATATTTTGTGCTATTCTAACTTTATTTTTAATAATCATCAATCATCGAACATAACCGCCCGCCGCGCGATATAATCACGCTTTAACGGCCGCATATAATATTCATATTTATCAATATAATCGCATATCATTTCAATAAAACACAAAATCAATCAATCAATCAATCAAATCATCCTCTAAACTCCAACAATATGTATTATCCATCTCCACATTCACATCTCCATCATCCCCTCCACTCATCTCCCCATCTACCTAAATAGCAATAAAAATCCTCAATAATAAAATCATACTCGTACCTCATAAACCCAATGAAAAGTATTTATAGTCAACTGAACCCTCTCCGCCCACTTGTCCAGAGTGTAACTTCGTGCAACTAGTAAGTTCTGTATCGGTTTGCCTGCTTGTGTCGCCATCTGGTATCGTTATTACACATTCATTTATTATTTCATATACGACTTCATATACGTACGATATAAGTATTGTATTAAGTACAGTTTTACAGTATGTTACATTTAATCTTGTCCTTGTATCTTTATGTTTATGTTTAGTTTATAGCACACGTTTTCTAAACCTAACCTCTAAATGTAACAATAAAAAAACGCTCCAATGATCGATAGGTTTTTTAGCTGCACATTCAATCTGTGTTCATTTTTTGCTTCTTGTTTTTGTTTTTAAATTAATAACAATTTTTTTTAAGGTTTTTGTTTTAGTTGCGTTCCTAATAGTTTACAATTATTTCTAGTAATTAATGATGAAGCAAAATGGGTTTTGCTTGTGGTAAGTAAGGAAATTACTGTCGGTTTTGGTTTAGAAATTAAAATTTTGAAGAAAAAAAAATTGACTTCCGGTTTTTTTTAACTTCCGGAAAGTTGTATCCGGATAATTTTTTTTAAGAAAAAATGTGTTTCTTTGTTAATTAAGAAAAAATAAAATTTTGAGAAAAAAAAAATTATTTCCGGTTTTTTACTTCCGGAAAATTTCATCCGGAAAATTTTTTTTTTTTTTCAGAAAATAATTTTCTTTAAATTTAATTTTAAGTAAAAATTTTAAAGAAATTTTATTTTTCCGGAAGTAAGTTTATCCGGTAATATTTCTACTTCCGGTTTTCCGGAAAAATAAAAAAAAATGAAAAAAATTTAAAATTAATAAAATTTACTAAAAATAATTAAAATAAAAAAAATTTGTGAAAAAAAATTTTCATCCGGTTTTTTTCTACTTCCGGTTTTGTTAATAAATAAATTTTTAAATAAACATATAATTAATCTTCCCCTACCGACAATAATTCCCTTTTTAATAATAATATAGCAATTATCGATTAATTAATTAATTAATTAATTCGTTTTCGTTTTTTTTTCATAATTTTCACTTCATAGCATACGATAAACAAATTCAGTAACATTCTATGTACACACAGAGTATTTTGTTAGTGTATAAATAAACTTTAGTGTTTTAGTGTTCTTTTTTCCTCTACACACAAATAACTATCATGCACCTCCGCCATTTTGACACCGCGGCCATTTTGAACACACACACACATACACACATACTAAAGCAAAGATGACAGCTGACAGAAGAGTAAATAACATCAAGAAATATACCAATCCACAAATATTGACAGATTTGACAGTTTTTGACAGTTTTGACAGTTGTTTCAACAGGGAGATGCTATAAGTATTTGTTCGTCTGCGATTGGTTTATAATATAAATCAACAGTAGGGTGGGGGCTAGTTTCGGGCACGGCTCTGACACGAATATACTAATTACCAATTTGCGAGTTTTTGACAGCGGCCAAAGGTCGAAGGGGTTGTGCTTCGGGAGTTTGACGCTGCCGATCGCATTCGGTTCTGTATTATTCTGTTATTTTTATTTTTATTTTATTTGTATTCAATGTTTGTATTCACGCATTCGTTCGCACATTCATTCTGTGTTCATTCATTGGCTTTCATACTGCGCATGCGCACGAAGGATTTATTGGCATTTGTTGTTGTTTTGCTTGTGTGTTTTGTGTACAGTTTGTGTGTTTTGTGAGTGAGTTTTACATGAAGTTCACTGCAAAAAAGAGGAAAAGAGCAAAAGTAGTTGCAGATATTGATTGGTGATTTTAGTTGCAGTTGCAGTTGCAGTTGAAGACTTTGATTGCGTTGAGATTTGAGATTTTTTTTTCTTTGAGATTTTTTTGGGAGTTATTGAGTGGGTGTACTTACTGCCTATAATAACAATAATGATAAGGCCGATAACGCCCATTATTATCATCATCTGTAAATGAATAGAAATAAATTAGTTGATTTTAAGAGGATTTTCTTTTTTTTTTTGGGTGTTTTACCTTCAAGTTTTGCAACCAGAACTTTCGTTTCAACTTGCCGGCTTGCTGTTCAAATTGCGAGGCGCCCTGTTGTAAAGCATCTGTGAAATGTTTATTTGTTTATTAATAAATTAAATAAATAAAGTGGAAATTATGCGCGTAAATTGATGAGAGTTTTTGATTTTCTTCATATTTTTTAATATTAGGGCATGTTTTCTTAACACCTTGTATATTGTTTATACATCAAATGAAAGCCTCTTAAATTGCCTATCAAATTTTGTATATTTGAAGTAGATTGCTATTTTTATGTAAAAGTTATAAGCTTTCAAAAAATTAGTTAAATTTTTGGTAAAAAAAAAATTGATTTTGCATTTTCCTTTTATTTTAACGATAAAATTTAAATTATTTATTCGATTTTAATTATTTAAACGTCTCCTAAAAGAGCAATAGTTTCTTTATTAATAAAAAATTAAATATTTATGTATTTATTAATAATTGTTTATATATTAACAAAACAAAAAAGTTAATCAAAATTAACTTTGATTATTGTTCTATAGTATTGAATATTTTGGCATGTTTTTATGACATCCTGTATAATATTTTTATAATAAATGAAAGCCCCTTTATTTTACAATAAAATTTTGTTTATTAGAAGTATGTAACTCAATTTGGAAAAAAGTTATGAGCAATTAAAGTTTTGCTTTAAATTTGTTTGAAAAAGATTGGTCAACATTCTATTTTTCTTTTGACCATAAAATTTAAACTATTCATTCAATTTTATTAATTAAACTGATCCTAAAAGTACTATAAATTCTCTTTCAATTGATGTAATATTTATATACTTCATTATTTATCTAATCCACTTTAATTGATTGTAAACAAGAAAATCAATATTTCCACACAAATTATTCAAACTGCAAGACCGTCTTCTTTACTCAATAACTCAAATAATATTTATCACAACAAAAACCTTCTAACAGTGTTTGATAACAGATTAAATTCTCTATCAAATACCATTTAATTCATGTCAATATGATTAATCATATAGACGTCACTGCTATTTAAAGTCAATATTTACATTTTCTCAATCAATTTGTGATATTTGCGGAACTAATAATGCTATAAAATTAATGTTTATGTCATTCTATTTACCTGCTCGATCATCCAACTCGGAGAGCTTCTGATCACGCTCCAGCACCTTCTCGACGTTGGTCTTCATGATGTCCACGACCTCGTCGACCTGCGCTTGCGTTTGTTGCAGCCGGCGCTGGGCGGCAATCTGCTGGGGGGTGCGCGGCCCCCCGATGATCTCGCCATCGGGGCCGGTTTGTGGCTCCGGTGGGCCCAAATTTTCTGGTGCTCCTGGTGCAGCCCTAGGCGAAATTCAGAAGGAAAATGATTAATTTTTGAGTAAAAATATAAAAAAGAAGCAAAATTTTGAAAATGACATTTTTAAAAGCGTGCTGGCGGCGTATCTGCCGCCCACAAAATTTGAAAAAAATACTAATATAATCTACATTTAATTCTCCATTAGATTTGAGATTAGTTTATTAAATTTTGTTTATAATTTGTCGCTTCTTTCACGTTTTAATGCAAAAAACACAAAATTTCTTGAAATTTTTTAATAAAAACCAAAATAAATGATTAAATAAACAATATATTGTTGATATTAATAAACATCATAATAAAACGTATTATTATCTATGAGTATAAACAAGAATCACGCTTCTATCTCTTTTTGTTTAAAAGTTACAAACAATTTTATAAACATTTCCACAATTCACTTTCCATCAAACAATCACTGCAGCCCAAATAACTCCTACAAACCTAACCCCACATAACCAAAAACTACCACAACTAATAACAAATTAAATTATCTTTCATCCCATATTAATATAAACAAATTCCGACAACTACATCCTGAGTTATTGCGTCGTAAACTAAAAATATCAAAAAATGAAATCTTAATAAACGTTTATTCTCATTAAAACGCAGTTTAAAAATGTTACAAGTTAAATATAGATTATTTTCTTAACGTAATCTTATAAACAAAGCTCTGCGGCAGTGTTTAGCTTACTCGGACGCGTGTGGCGGCAAGATTCGTCACGTTTAAGGACGTCCAAAGGACGAACACGGAAATTTCACACGATTATCGATTGCTGCGGCTCTCCTTTATTATTCACACGCTAAACATGTGTTCAACGATCGCACAACGTCAATAATACAAAATATTAACATTTACAACATAAACAATTAATATTTCTATCAACAAATTACGTTTTTGCATTAAAAAACACGAAAAAACTTCAAAAATGCTTAAAAAACACTAAAAAAAAATTAAATTTCATAATAATTTTATTGAAAACAAAGTAAAATATTAATATATTGTTGTTAATTGTTTAAACAATTAATTTTCAATGCATTTTCTTTTAAATTTGATTTTTATGAAAACATTTCCACTGGATTCCAGTATATATTGGAATAGGTACGGAAGCACGAAATGTAGTTCACGATCGCGCCGACGCAACCGTCGTGTGGAGGCGGCGGGAGCGGCGGCGTGCGGGGCGGCTAAATAAAAATCGATTTTCCATACTCGGCGGCTCGCGCGCCGCACTCAAGTCGTCGCACAAGCCGCGCCGAGCATGAGAATGTCCCAAAACTGACAACTCCCCATTATTCCCAATTATTCCCAATCAATCCCCTTAAAATTTAAAAATAGTTTTGTATTGTTTTAGTTTTTTCTAATTTACTCATGAAATAATCTAGATATTTGAATTATTTAAACGTTGTTTTGTAGCTGGTTAAATTACCTACAATTTGATGTATAACATGTATAGCTTTCTTAATTGGAGGCGGCGGAAATTTACGTTAAAGTAAAAATTTTATAAAAAATGTTTTTTGTTACATTTTCATGAATTACGCTGTTGATATTAATTTAAATTAAATACGTAGATTCATAGAGTATGAAATTCCCTACAGTTTGATGTATGACACAAGTGTGTGATGCTTATGGGGGCGGCGCAATTTGCGTCTAAAGATGATACTCTTTCCCAATGCAATGATTGCGATGTATTTGTGTTTTGTTCGTGTGTGAGCTTACATTTCGCGTTGTTATCACTGTTATCACTTGACCTGGGGGCAGCGTCTGGAGGCAGAGGTGGTGCACACGCACGCCGCAGTTTCGCCGCTCCTTGACGGTGGGGTATGTACACGCACTGCACTGCACTGTTCGGCGACGCTCTCGGCGAGAATCCTTGGCGGCGGCGGCGGCGGCGGCAGCAGCGGTCTCGGTGGCGGTACGCCTCGGCGACGTATTGATGTGCGGGGCGCCTCTCGCGCCTGACGTCAGACTGCCGCGCGGCGCCGGCGCACCGCACGCATGGTGGTTACTGCCGTACTACGCCGCCTCCGGAGGGGAAATATTACAGGTTTCTGTAATTTTATACATCACTACCTATATTATCAACTATTTTAATACATATACTTCTTGTAGTTGACACTAGATGGCGTTACTTGACAAAATTAACCAAAAAATCAATTTTTAATGTTTTAAAAGTAATTAAAGCGATAATTAGTTATTAATTAGTTTATTTCTTTCTGTAATAATGTGCTGGTACAAATGGCATCTTTGCCACCTCCGCTGCATACAGTTTTCCGCGTATTTTTAGCTGTACTTGAGTTCCAGCCTTGGATATTTCCGTCGGAACATAACCCATTGCTATGTTTTTGCCTAAAGATGGCGCTGGGCAACCGGATGTTACCGTACCGATATCTTTGCCATATGATGAAACAATAATGGCGTCATGACGCGCTGGAGGACCTTCTTTGGATACTAGTCCGACGCGTTTAATCTCTGATTTTTCTTTGATTTGATGCAGGATTTGTTTTGCACCTGGAAAGTCAGCAGCTTCACGACGTTGTTTGTCTACTAGCCAGGTTAGGGCTGCTTCCACCGGGGTGGTTTTGGTGGAAATGTCACTTCCGTAGAGGCATAAACCTGCTTCTAATCTACAAAAGATAGAAAAGTATTGAAAATTTTAAGAAAAATAAATTTTGCGGCTGGAATAATTATGATAGAAGAGATATTTATATATCAAATTAAAGCTACTTAAATGGACATTTGAATTCATTATAGATATTTTGAATGTTTGCTTTGTAGATGGCGTGAAGATCAATCAAAATTGATCTTTTTAAATTGATCATACAAAAATCAAACATTTTTTGTTTTAATTTTATGTCTATACTAATCAGTCGATTTTTACTATTTAAATATCACGTGATAGAGAATTAAATTATCCTTAATGTGTATTTTGAAATTTTTTAATATGCTATTTAGTAAAAAAGTTATGCGTTCTAAAACTTTATGAATAAGAATTTAAAGAAAATAAAATTTGTCTAATAAATTATCATTTTTCAAAACTAAATTGCGCAGAAACTACTTATTGTATTTTCTTTATTTAAACGACATTTTATAAACAATTAAATTATCTTCCAAATTCATATTGAATAATTAAGATATTTTGTTTACTATTGCAGTTATTGTGTTTTTATTATAAAAATGAAAGTTTCCTAACAAAAAATATTTTTTTTATAAATTTAAAAATAAAAACAAAAATAATTATTACACAACAACAAAGTATATATCAAACGATAGACAATTAAATTATCTATTATATGACATATAACTTGTTATCATATCTTTTTTGATAATGAAATTATTCGCATGTAAATTTAACATAAATTTCTTTCCTCTCAACTTTACCTTAAAGAATCTCTTGCGCCCAATCCAGCCAACTTTACCTCCTCATTCCTCAACATTTCCTCAGCTATATACGCACTCTTGATAGCAGGAATGGAAATCTCAAAACCATCTTCTCCTGTATACCCACACCTTGATATCCTGCATCCTTTGATGCCTGCAACCGGTCCAACAACCGATTCCATGAAATACAAACTTTTGAGGTTAACATCTGTCAACTTCTGTAATGCCGCTGCTGCTTTAGGTCCTTGCAACGCTAACAGTGCTCGTTCAGCAGGATCATAGAATCGTATATTAATCTTTTCTCTTGTTTTCTTCTCGAATGCCAGTTGGCCTTGTTTCATGTGTCCCATGTCGTGTTCTTTTCTTCCCGCGTTCGAGACGACAAACAAGTGATCATCAGCTACTTTTGTGATGATTAGATCATCGAGAATGCCGCCATTTTCATCGGTGAAGATTGTTAGGGTTGCTGAACCAATTGGGAGGTTTTTTACACTGGCTGTTACGAGAGTTTCCATGAATTCACAACTTGCTTTACCTAAAAATTTTTATGTGAAGTTTAGGGGTGGATAACTTGAAAAGTTATTGTTGGATCTTAAAAATTCAAATAAATTATAAAAATATGGTTATTTGTTAGTAATTGTTGTTAATATAGTTATAAAATATTATTAATTACTAGTGATAAAATCAATTTTAATTATTTCAAAATTTTTTAAGAAATAAAAATTTAAGTCTACTTTAAACATTAATATCTCTGAAATTATTTAATATTTTTGAAAAATTTAGACGGAATATAAAAGTTTATATAATTGTTTATAACTACAAATAATTTCATTTAAATATAACGATATTTACTATTTATTATTAATTATTTAAAAAAATAACACTTTTATCAAAAAAAAATGTAACATCAACTTTAAATCCTAATATCTTTTAAACTAATTATTATAAGGTAACCCATCAAGTTTAAAACGATAGTTTAATTAATTACCTATAAACTGTATGAATTTCGTTAAGATATTTTAATTTATAACCCTCAAAATACAAAAAAACAAAATAAGTTTTCTTACCTTGAATTTCTGTTTGTAACATATGTGAAACATCAAACAACGATGCGTTTTCTCTTGTAAAAACATGTGAGTTACTAATTGATTGATCTGCATATTGTACAGGTAACATAAACCCTCCAAAATTCACCATTTTACCACCTTTCTGCACATGAAAGTCGAATAACGACGTTTTTGTCGCCGAACTGCATTGTCGCACATTCTTCCGAACACAATTTCCTTTACTCAAGATAATTCGATGTAAATTCCTCAACATTTTAAAGTTTAGACTTAGAAGTAAGTGCCGTAACTGACTGAATTTAATATGTAATCGATAGTAATGGAATTAAATTGATGAAGTTGAGATGATCGGGTGAAACAGGTCAACGTTGAGTAATAAAGATTAATAAAGATTAGGTTAAGTCAAAGTCAGTTACGATGGTGATTCAAGTCAAATCAGAGAGTTATCAGTGAATGATGTAAAGTTTTTATTAGTTGTGGCGAGAAAAATAAGTTTATGATGGTTATAAATTTGTTTTTTAATGTCAGTTTAACAAAAATTATAAAATATTATTTTAGGTAATTTTAAATGTGAATATCTTTTAAACTGTGAGAGATATTTATATTTTCGTACCAGCATTTGATAAGGAATTTATTTGCGATTAATATAGTATAGGTTTATAATATTTTAGTAAGTGGTTTGTTAATTACAGGTTAAAATACAATTAAATTGAAAAATTGTTAAATTTCAGTGAAATATAACTTTAAGATGTAATAACTTAAAAAGTAAGATGGATAAAATGATTTTCTTTGATGAAATGAATAAATAATTTAATTTTGCTTTTATTTGACTCGATTTGATGATTAATAATCAAAAATTCCGTTAATTACAGTCAAAATTATACAAGAAGTAAATTGGAAAAACTTTTTCAGATTTCTTTATTTTTGTCAATTTCATTGCTAAATAAAATAAAAACTAATTAAGATAACTGCAGTTTTCTTTTATTATATGATTAAATAACTAATTAAGAATATAATTTTATAAATTTTACGTAAATCTACCAGGTGGTTCAATAATTATCATAAAAAATGAAAATAAAATGCGTTTTTGTAAAACTACTTAGTTAATTGTTTATAAATTTGTGTAAATAAACAATACTTGATTTCTTTTTTCATAAATATATACATAATTTATTTAAGAATACACTGAGAAAATTTGATACCAATACACTAAGTGGTTCACGAATAATCATTAAAATACTAAAACCAAACAAAAAGATATTTGTAAAATCTAAGTTTCTGTAAAGCTGGAAGGAATTCTTTGCGTTTTGTCCAGATAAAAATAGTAATTTTAAAGTACAGTTTTACACATGATGTAAAACAGATCCAAGTCTATGAAGCACAAAGAAAAAACGCATCGCAGCAAAACAGTTGCAATAAACTCGGAAATAAGAAGTCGAGTGTAAAAACTGAGCCGTCAGAACCGTCACAATGGTAATGAGTATTGTAATACACGTGATGGTAATGTAATGGTGATGGTAATGGTAATGAAAGTATCATATTGTTGTGCGTTCTTACATGCGCGGATGCACCGTTAGCAAGACCATAATCGAGTTTTGAAGACGTTTTTGCATGCATTGTTTTCTGTTGTTTCTTCTTCTGTTGCTTCGCTTATTTGCGGTTTTTCGTTAACTTTATATGCCGTTTCATTGCCTACAGAACTGTGTGCTTAATTATTTCATAATAAATAATATACGTGTGATTATTTAGCGATTTTTGCAGAGAAACAGTGTCAAAATGTCAAAAGAAGAAATGTTAGTAATGCGGTCAAAAGTTAAATTGACTTCTTTTATATTTTTGGTGATAATTACTGAATCGCTTGGTATAATTTAATAAAATTAAACAAATATACTCTAGAATTATTGGTTTATTGTATTATGTAAGAAAAAATGTGTTATTGTTGTTAGTTTCTTAGTTATTAACAATTAAAATTGACAAAACTAAATATTTTCAAAAATATGATTTGTATTAAATTTTTTGCTTTAATTATTAAACCACTTGGTATATTATCATGAAATTCGGTGAGTACAATTGTATATTATGGCTTTTTAATTTACTGTAATAATAATTACATTATTGTGTTTGGTTCTTGAGTTATACGTTGTTAAAATGTTGGATAACTTTATATATTGTTATGTTTTACTCTTAATTTGCATTTAATTAGTATTTTTGCTGTAATTAACAAAATATTGGGTCAATATCTACCAAAATTAGCACAAATATTGTTAATATATGTATTTATAAGATACCAAAAGAAAAAGTAAATTATCTTTTATAGTTTTTAAATTATAAGCTTTTAAAATTTAAACTTTTTCAAAAAACAAAAAACGACACAAAAATGACTTTTGTTACAATTTTTACTATAATTATTGTTACAATTTACAAAATATTATAAAAATTAGTCAATATTTACTCAAATAATTTATCTATCATATGAAATTTAAAAAATTAAATTATCTGTATTACTTTCAGAGTTATTAGCTTTCAAAATTATCTTAAATTTGTACCAAACTTTTTTCTTATCAACTTTCTTTCGCTCACCATTTTCGTCCCTATATTAATACCTTATTGAATATGCACTCATTAATTTTGAGTACTTTGAATGCGAACCTGAACCTGAACTTGAATCACTCTCGGCGACGTGTTCGTATGCGGGGCAGACGATTAATTCGGACGAGACCTACTTCTCGCGCGCCTTTTTCGTGGACGTGGACGTGGAGGTGCAGAATGAAGACTTTGCACACCACGCATACAACGCAGCACGCAAATGTATACTGTTTGTTCGCTAACTGTACATCAACATTCAACGCTTATTGATATTCGGTGTGCGATGTCTCACCAGGGGTATTCTTCATTCAACATTCAAACATTCAACAACAAAACTTTACGCAACAAGACATAACGCTAGGTTAACGTTGGTTTCTGGTGCTAAATTTAACATTAAAGTGTTAAGAAATGTTCGTGTGTCGTTCACCGGTGTTCAAATTGTTTATTTTATTGTTAATCATTGTTTTGATTACGTACAGCGATGCGAAACGCAAGAAGAACAAAAAGTTTGGTAAAAATGCGTCGAATAAGATGATTTTGAGGCAGAAAGAGACTAATGCTGTTGATTTTATAAGGTAATGTTTATTATTCTATATTATTAAACTATATTTTTAGTAAATCTACTACGTACTTATTTGTTATAAATAAAATTATTGAAAAAAAGTGATATTTGATCCAAAACTTTAGGTTTTTTGAAAATAGGAAATTTTAAATGCAAATAACAGGCAAACTATATAAGATAATCCATTTTTTCTTTTAACATCTTGTTAATAATTTACTACAGAATAGTTAATTATAATTTAACACTAATATACTGAGTGTTACAGAAATTATGGCTAAATTTCCAACATATTGCATAAATATCCGAACATTTAACTTTTTGAAATTTAAGTTTAACTTTGGGTAAAGATAAAACAAAAAGTATTAACAATTTTAACAATATTCTTTCAACATATTATTAACAATTTCATTTTAAACAATTTTGTCTAATTTTATGTAAATCTACCAAGTGGTATAGAAATTATAAATAAAAATATAACAAAAAACAAGATAAAAATTATTCACATAAAATTGAATATTTTTATCAATTTTATACCAAAATAACTAATAAACTAATAAAGATAATTTACTTTTTCTTCATCAGCTAATAGTTAAATTAATTACAAATACATTTCCAAAGTTTTGTATAAATTCATAGTTTAGTTCAAATTTTATAAACAAATTTCTGTCAAAACTCATAAATATAACATTTTACATAGTTTCGCCTATAAAAATTAATCTTTTATGCAATATTTTTAATGTACAACTACAATTAACATTTAAACATTCTCAGATTAGCAGTAATGCGATTAATCTATGGCATTGCATCGCGTTTCGGCTTGGGCGAGCAGATATCTGGCGCTCTCAACGGTGCATTCGTCCCACCAGGAGTCGATCCCGAATACAGTGACTACGGCGATGATGATGGTGGCTTCGGTCTGCTGGACCGCGACGAAGATGACGATTATGACTATTAAACACATGCGAAACACCAATAACCAACATAAACCTACTTAAATCCACTTATTACATTAACTTATTCTCTAAATGTACAAAAATGTTTACAAAAACACTTCCAAAGACTTGTATATATATTATTACATATTAATTTATATAAAATAAACTATTCTCATAAAGAAATCATGTATTACGATATAATTTTATGTTTTGTGCGTTGTACCGAGTAAAAAATGTATTTTTACACAAGAAACCATAAAAACGAATCGAGGTAACTAAACCTGAGGGTTAGGGGTTGAACGAGTGTGGAAATCTTTACTCGGCGCGCTTTTCCGGCTTCCGAACTTGAAGTACCACGTCGTCCTGCACATTTTATTCCGGAATCCACTCCCGAGACGAGTTTGTGAAGATATTTCAGTGTTTTTCTCCGAGTTTTCAAGATGGATCTCAAACCGGAAGACCATCCACAGTTAAATGGCTGGGAATTACTTCATTCGGACGCAGCGAGTGAACCGGAAGCGCAGAAGTACGGTTAGTGAATGGCGCAGGTTAATTAGATTTAGAATTAAGTCTGGCGAGCGTCTGGCTGAGGGTGGGAGGACGCTAAATGCAATTATTTATTATTAAATTAATGCGAATCCAATCCATAACCCGTTAGATTTCCTCGAGAACATCGCGGAGGAGTATGGTGGTGGTAACAGTGGTAACAACAATGGCGCAGCCGGAAGTGAGCTGGAAACATGTCGCGGGGCATCTGGGAAGCGAAAACAACGACGATATCGGTATGTAAAGCAGTAAAACAGTGATTTTAGTTGTTTATTGTGTTGTTTTAGTACTACATTCTCAAATTATCAACTTGAAGAGCTTGAGAGGGCTTTCCAGAAGACACATTACCCGGATGTGTTCTTTAGGGAAGAGTTAGCGCTGCGAATTGATTTGACTGAGGCTAGAGTGCAGGTTTGGTTCCAAAATCGGCGCGCAAAATGGCGGAAACAAGAGAAAAACATCCCTAAAACAAATCAAACAAGTAAACACTCATAAAACTTTACTTTTCACTTAAATATTTTGTTTTCTTGCAGTTTCTATTTGTTCTACGCCTTTAGAAAGCCCCCTGATGCAAATTCACAACGATGTGGCTCACTCATCATCAAATCTCTTCAGTTTGGGTTTGGAATGGCCAATGTTGAACCCCTTTCAACCCTCAAACACAATGCATCTCTCTTTGGACTCTGATGATGGAATTCTTAATGAAACTGTGTTGATTGCGGACAGAATTACGAATTCTTTGCAGTTACCAGCTGTAAATGGTATTAATATGGATAGTATACTGCTTGGAGAAGATTTTAACGATCGAATAGGTTTAATTAATGATGCAAATCAAGAACCAATTACAATCGATCCGGAATTGTTGACGTTAAAGCCGAAAATAATGAATTAAACTTTTTATTTGATAATAACAGCTTATAACAGCTATAAAAGCTTTAAATAATGATTATTAACTTTATTAGGACCAGTTATAGATGCTTTGCTCAATTGTATGTAACTGTAAATAATTGTTTATAGAAATAAAACAAAGCGTAATGATTATTTAATTATTTTCGAAATTACATTAAAAATAAATTAATCGCGGTATATATTTTAATATAGGGTTATTCAATGTAAAATTTGCTATAATTTGATGTTTTACACGATGTTTTACGTTAATTTTTACAGATTTTATAAGCAATTGAAGTTTGTATTAATTTTGCTCAAAATTTGAATTCAAATTGACTGAAACTAGCGCCACGCGGTTGCAACTTCCTCAGGTCTTTTTCATGATGGCCGACGTCCATAAGAATACACGCGTTGTAACCATAGCAACGCGAGGGTTTTTCTCACTTGCTGCTTCGACCAATGACAAACAAGAACGCAAATGGTGAAAATAATGACGTGCACTTCCGTTGAGTTTGAAATGACAGCGTGAACAGAGGTGAAAATAATGTAAATACAACGATTAAAAACAAATAAAACAATGTGCAGTTAAAATTTACAGTGGAACTCATCACTAAAGTATAGTGTTATTACTAGCAGTGAGTATAAACTGGTTTTTGCTGAATTAACCGTATCATTTTGATAGGTTAGGTGAAGTGATTTACAGGTGTTGGTTATTTTTAATAAGTAATTTGTTAATAATTCTTTAATGCAAGCAGGTAGGACAATAAATCTTTCGACGTTGTATTGAGTAACAAATTGTGAATAAACAGTGTAAAAATTTATTGGAAAACGATGCTACATGAATAGTTACAGGTGTACAAAGTTGAAAACAGTTAAAATTCATTAAATTTACTGTAAATACTTATAAAAACATACAAACAATAGAAGTTTTACAAGAATATGTGCTAAATATAATACTAAATCGTTGTGTATGAGAATTACGCCTATAACTGCAACAGTTTGTGAATTATCAGTAAAAATCAAGGGTTTTTAGGTTAATTTTCATCACTGTCACTAAGTTCTTCATCAATCTCTGTTGTTTTGATTGTAATCATCTCATTTCTATAAAATCCTTTCAACTTCCCAATAAGATCACCCCATAAAAACTCTCCATCACATTTCGGACATTTTCCTACAATTGGCACGAATTCTCCAGGCTTTAAAAACAATTTACTTAGACAAATCAAGTGTGCAGTCATACTACAATCATTATTGATACATTCCAGCTTGTTTTTAACAATTATTTCATAGCAAATGCTGCAAATATTAATTCTCTCTGGATTTGCTTGACTTGGTTGACTTAATTGTGTTTTCTTTGACTTTGAAAGCTTTTTACTTATCACAGTTCCTTCAACTATAGGCATATGAAGAGGTGGACGTCTTTCAAGTGCGAAATTCTGTTTGAAAGACTCATCCAGCCACCGGACGGTTAATGGCAGGCGATTCCATGGTCCAACGCGTAGCATTTCACTCAAAATGCGAAGACAATAGTCGAAAACTTTCTCGCGGGGCTTCTTACGTTGTACTTTGTTGAGTCGACGAGAAATTGTTGGGTGTTGCCATGCCCATTCAAACTAAACGCCAGAAAAATCAAAATTACTCAATAAAATGTCAATATTTCAATTAAAATTAGGTTTTACATGGTGGTACTCACTCTTAGAGCTGCTATATCATTAGGAAATCCATGAATTATCATTACCATTGTCCTAAAAACACAAAATATTAATATTTTAAAGAATAATTTAAGTTTTTTAGGGAAATATTTTGTAAATAATGTTTAAATTAATTACCATGGTCCCTTTTTGCTTGTTCTTCGTGCTCCACCTGCCTGAGTGCCTTTATTATGCTGTTTTATCCTTCTGTTTGGGTTTACAGTGTAACCAATGTAAGTTCGACCCAAATATTTAGGATTTTTGCAATATAATAAATAAACCCCATGAAAATTCTCAATAACAGCTTCTTCAGTCATTGTTGCACATCCTAATCTACCATTCTAATCATAAAAACAAGTGGAAATCGGTCTAATTATTAAATTATCTTCATTTTAAATGTTTAAAGTTATTCAAAACAAAACTGAACAAAATACATAGGTTATGTTGACATTTTTGATCTAAGAGAAACATTTCTAGTTCTAGAGGGCGCTGTAAGCTGTATATTTGAATATTTTTAAATTTTAGGGTGTTTCTTCTTACTTCCGGTGTTTTTCATGATGGCCGACCCCTATTTAATTACATGTGATGTAACCATAGCAACGCGGAATAATTTCCCTGTTAGTGATAACCAATCAGAACTAGTTCTGAAACCTTTATCACTTCCGCTTAAATTTAAATTTGGTTTTGATTAATCCTATTATCTATTTTTAATTTGTTATCTTAAATTACTGCGAATTTTGCGTGTTTGATATTAAAAAGTTCTGATATTTAAATTCAAAGTCACATAGGTTGTTAGAATAGTCGCAAGAGGTCGTTGTAGAGCGCGGATGTCGCCTAATTTTAGCTGCTGACGTTTTTCGATAGCGTTTTTTGCTTTTAGCATTAATTGCAACATTCATTAGCGACCGCACGCAACCACGCAAGGAAAATTACAACAACCAAGTGCACTATTCGTTAATCTACGCATTGAAAATATCATTCCGGAAAACGTAAGTTGTGCATTTTTGTTCTTTAACCTGTTGCTCAACCCTGTCATGACTAATTTTTATCATATTTGTCCATACTTTACGTATTCTCACACTCTAATCGCTAATTGTATTTGCATTTATTACTCACGCATTCCAAAGGCCAGGAAAATGACGGTAATATACCCAATACAAAGACCCAAACATTATCTTTTAACAAAGATCATTTTGATTACAATATTAATGCCTGTGTTTTGTAGAGAAAGAAACAATTACAATGGAGCCTAACACATCATCCGGCCAGAACAAAAACAATATGTTGGAGCAGACCCAGCAACAGGTGAATGAAGTGGTGGGCATCATGAGGGTGAATGTTGAGAAAGTCCTCGAGCGTGATCACAAGCTCTCCGAACTGGATAAACGCTCGGATATTCTCCAGGAAGGAAGCAAACGTTTCGAGCAACAGGCGCAGAAGTTGAAACGCAAATATTGGTGGCAAAACCTGAAAATGATGATCATTCTGGGAGTGATTGGAGTGATCCTCTTAATTATCATCATTGGTAAGCATGCAATCATTGAATCAAGGTCAAGTTATAGCAATTAAAATTGTTTATACTTTAAAACATTGCTGTGAATTGATTGGAATTCTATTTAGTTTTGCACCGTTTTCTTTTCTTCTTTTTATTTTGCTGTATCTGCTTGTATTATTTGTTTTTGTTGATTTTGAGTTGACTAGCACCGCTTTGTGTTGTTTTATGTTATCTGGAAATTTCCACTCAAAGAATGTATTTGGTCCTAGTGTCGATAAGTTCATCGGTGGGAGGTGATAGTTCTTCGCCCGCTCCGGAGACACAGGCTCCACCACCAGCCGAACCCGCCGCCGGCAACTAATGTCTGCATATTTATCTGATTATTTCAACCGTACTGCTGGACTGCGCTTGCGACGTCGACCCATTGGCACACGAATCTACTTCTTCATGCTCTGGATGTAGAAATCATCATAAATATCATATTGCTATTATTATTTGAAAGGAATTCATTAATTTAAAGACGATAACATGCCAAAATTTGCTTTAGTTGATTGCTTATTGGAGAAGTTTTGTTATAATTATTGCTAGAATTTATTTAATCGAAAGTTTAGTTTGTTGATTGGATTTAGTAGCGTCCTTTGTTTTTTGGTAACACTTGATTTATCGCTATCGCACGCTAATCATAGATATCATCGGAGGATTCGCAGATGCGTTGATAGCGCGTCATCCTGTCTGTAGGTTTAATTCTATTATTACTGTTTTTGTGATTAACTATACATATATTATATGTGTCCAATTTAAGAAATATTGATCCTATTTTATATTGAATATATGTATTAAATAGAGATACGAATTTGTCATGTTTATATGTAGTATTAATATGTGTTGAAGGAATTATTAATAAAGCGAGAACATAGTAGTTTTCTTGTTTCCCACCCTGTATCTTGGAATCGGGTGGTCCAATCTAATTGCTGTTTTGGCAGCTTATAGAGGAATAATTGCTCTTTAATTTGATGTATTACACAACCCCTTAAAAGGCTTGGAACACCCCTAAACATGCCAGTAAACTTTGGTATATTTTGATAATTCTCAAAACACATGGTAGAAAACACCATATATCTCACAAACGGCTGATCCAATCTGATTCTATTTTATATATGTTATAGATTAAGAGTTGCTCTTTAATTTCATGTATGACACAACCCTTTAAAGGGCTCGGAACACCCCTAAAAACGTCAGTAAACTTTGGTATATTTTGATAATTCTCAAAACACATGGTAGAAATCACCCTATATCTCATAAACGGTTCATCCAATCTTATTCTATTTTATACATGTTATAGATAAAGAGTTGCTCTTTAATTTGATGTATAACACAACCCTTTAAAGGGCTTGGAACACCCCTAAACATGCTCGTAAACTTTGGTATATTTTGATAATTCTCAAAACACATGGCAGAAAACACCCTATATCTCACAAACGGCTCATCCAATCTTATTCTATTTTATACATGTTATAGATTAAGAGTTGCTCTTTAATTTGATGTATGACACAACCCTCTAAAGGGCTTGGAACACCCCTAAAATTGCCTGTAAACTTTGGTATATTTTGAAAATTCTCAAAACACATGGTAGAAAATACCCTATATCTCACGAACGGCTCATCCAACCTTATTCTATTTTGTATATGTTATAGATTAAGAGTTGCTCTTTAATTTGATGTATGGCACAACCCTTTAAAAGGCTTGAAACACCCCTAAAATTGCCTGTAAACTTTGGTATATTTTGAAAATTCTCAAAACACATGGTAGAAAATACCCTATATCTCACGAACGGCTCATCCAATTCTATTGAAATTTTATGCATTTTATAGAGGATGAGTTTTTCTTTAATTTGATGTATGACTCGACTTCCTAAAGGGCCCGGAACACCCTTAAAAATGCCAACGAAAATCATGAAATTTGTACCAAAATGTCGTCTAATTCAAGTAAAATCTGTTGAAATTTTTAAAAATTTGTTGAAAATGTGCTGAATTAAATCAAAAATCAGTCGAAACTTTTTAACCTCCTCACACATTCTGCTACCCTAATATTTTTAACTAATTTTCAGATTTATTTCGAGCCAAAATTATTTAAAAATATGCCCGCTGTTGCCCTCTTTTGATCATATTTGCTACTACGACTGACATTTTCAAAGCTTCAGAAGTTTTAAAAATTATCATTACTTTGAATCCTCGCCAATAGAGGCAAGTTTAATTTCAAAACTTTCTCAGCCTCCTAGGACATTCTGTTCTCCTAATAGCAAACACTGATTTTCAACAATTTTGAGAGCAAAATTTAGTTTCGTAAAGTCGAAAAATTACCTTGTTCTATCAGGAACGCAGAATGTGCGAGTAGGCTGTGAAAGTTTTGACGACGAGCTGTCATCTGTCGGCAAAGTACATAAGTTTGTTTCAAAAAGTTTTTGTTGCGCCCTGTAAGAGCTTTCAAAAACTTTATTCAAATAAAAATTTTGGCCGACAGAGGGCGCTAGTATACATTTTAAAACTTTATTTCAACACAAAATAAATAAAAAAAAATTAACTTTTTCTAATGAATTAAAATTTTCAGGTGCCACTAAGTTGTCTAAGGAAAAATAAAAGAAGTTCTCAATTACGAAAATATATTGCCATTCCAGAATGAAACAATACAAGACAAGATATGCGTGATAATAATTTCGAAATCAACACTGATATGAAAAACGCACAGAAACTAACAATTACAGTCTTCAACTTACACTCAAAATCTCAACCGGGTGCCAACGCGACGCGACAATTCAATTTAAGTTACAACTATAGAAATTTGTTACAATTATCCTAGATTACAGTTCAGAATGCACTACTTTCAATTCTTCTATTCTACTGATGAACTCCGACTTCTCAATGCAGCCGGTGCAATCCTCGCCCCAGTCGTTGATAATCCGCTTCAGGTCTCTCACTTTGAGCTTCTTCAGGTCCACGGTTTTCAAATCAATCTGCACATCATAACGCAAATCGCAAATTTGCGCGTCCTTCTTCTTCAGCTTCTCACAAATCTTATCTGAAGGCATGGACCATGACAAAGGCTTGGACATCTCACCAAGAATACCTGTAGCTGATGTTTCTAACCCTCCAAGGTAATAACACTAAAAACAACATTTAAACAATGAATTTTTACATAAACAACAGAATAATGTTATATATACTTACAAATCTGTTCTCTTTATCTTTTACTTTCTTGCAGAACTCTTTAAATGCAGTTTCAATCTTTTTGGGATCTGTTTTCTCACTTTCGACTCTAATGTGGCAGCAAACTTGTCCAGAGTTTTAATGCAAACCTCACATTCTCCGGCTTTGAGCGCGCTGATACTGGCCACCGATACGAGGAGCACAAGAAAAACCACTTGCAGCTCCATTTTCAATTATAAAACAGCCTGGAAAACAATTTCTGGTAAGTTATTAGGTTATATCAGTAAAAGTCATAAAATAATGAATAAGTAAATTGCAATGAATGAAACACGCGCCTACCTCAGCAAGAATAAAACAGTTGACGCAGGTGCGAGTTGTGGAATGTTTTGAGCAGTCCACGTTGCGTTGGCGATGAATTAATTGCGAGGAAACGAAATCATCAGAAACCGCTAGGCGAGCTCATAGAAGTTCAACGTTTTCGACAATTTGTCCTTACGTGATTGGTCCACGTTGGGTCCCCTTGAATTCTGTCAACTTTACATACAGCAAGAATTATTAACAAAAAAACTAAATTACATGGTATAATAATGTTATAAATAAATAAAACATAAAATATAAACGTTTATTTATAATTTTATTGTATTAATTTTGTTTAAAATACATAAGCAACCACATACACACCAAATTTTCAAGGTCAAGCTGTCAATCATACCAGTGGCAACAAAAATGTTCTCTAACACGTACGCCATTGCGCGTAAAAGGTTAAATTAGTTTCCGTGGTGGTTTGCAGTGGAAATTATAATGTAAGTAAAGCGTTTTTGAACGAAAAACGCTTCTAGTAAACGTAGCAAGTATTTCCACACGTTTTCCCTTTTAAATTTCAAAGATCCATGCAGTATTTCGCTTGTTTCAAGTAAATTTATCTTAGCATCTGCCAAGTGCACATGTTTCTGATGGCTTGACATATTTTAGAATTTCATAACAATCTTTCCTGTAATTAATTGATGAATACATCGGATTTCTGTCGGTTTCAGCTAATTGCAGCTGTTCAAGATGTCGAGGTTCTTCGCCGGCAGTGATTCCGACTCGGATAGCTCCTCTGATGAGGAGGTTATCCAAAGGGCACCAATCCCAACTTACACAGTATGTATTTCCGAATTCATTATAAATATTAACTTAATAATTAATCATGTGTGGTATAGTTCAGTGATGATGATGAGGAAGTCAAACGCGTTGTCCGCTCGACAAAAGAGAAGCGTTTTGAAGAGCTCACAAACATCATCAAGCAAATACGAAATCACAAGAAGATTAAGGACATGAGCAGCATGCTTACAAGTTTTGAAGACTTGCAGAAAGCTTATGTGAAAGCAACGCCTGTCATCGTTAAAGAAGAAAATGGTCAAACGCCGCGCTTTTACACGCGCTGCTTGGTGGAACTGGAGGATTTCATCAATGAGATGTGGGAGGATCGCGACGGGCGTAAATCAATGAGCAAAAATAACAGCAAATCACTGGGATCAATGCGTCAAAAACTCCGTAAATATCTTAAGGACTTCGATGAAGATCTTGCGAAATTCCGCGAAAACCCAGACCAGCCTGATGAAGAAGAAGAGGAGGAGAAACGTGAACCCGAAGCTGATTCCGACTCCGAAGTCCCGGCGAAACCTGCGGCTAAACAAGCCGAACGTAAAGTTTCTCCTGATGACGATGAAGACTCCGACTCGGATGATTGGCCCTCAGATTCCGAGTCCGACGAATCCTCATCAGATGATGAAAAGTTCACAAGTATCCGAGAGAAGTTCTTAAAGAAACCGGAGGTACGCAAGAAGACGACGAAGAGAAACAACGCTTGAAGGAAGAACGTCGTAAAGACCGCAAGGATAAAGAACGCCGTAAAGCTAAACGTGAAGAAGACGATGATGGCGATGGTGAATGGGAAACCGTCAAGGGTGGAGTTGCTATTCCCAGTGAGAAGCCCAAGATGTTCGCCAAGGATGCCGAAATTGATTTGAGTCTGGTAATTAAGAAGTTGTCCGAAATTATGGCAGCTAGAGGCAAAAAACGCACGGATCGTCGTGAACAGATTGAATTGCTGCATGAACTGCAGAATATCTCTGAATTACATCAACTGGGACCGGCGATTAGCGTCAAGATTAAGTTCGCGATCATTTCGTCGATTTTTGATTACAATCCGAAGGTTTCCGATGCAATGAAACCCGAATATTGGACTAAGTAAGTTTGTAGTACTAAATCTGATGCAATTGTTGTGCAATATTAATTTTGTTTTGTTTATAGGCTGATGGAACGTATGACTGAGTTGATGGACACTCTACATAAGCATCCCGAAGTTATCATCTCGGAAAATGTTACCGATGAAACTGAGAATTACGAAACTGTGCCGTATCACGTGCGCGGGTGTGTTCTCACTTCGGTGGAGCGCTTGGATGATGAATTCATCAAGCTTTTGAAGGAGTGTGATCCTCATAGTAATGAATATGTTGAAAGGTTAGTGAATTTTAAGGTTTTGTTAGGTAAATTTGTATTTTGGATGCGCACAACTTCAGAATTAACAGAAAAAAAGTAATTGTTTCTTTTGCTATGTTATAAATAACTATTAATGAATATTCTGACAAAATTTTGAGGTAATATACTGGATATTTTGGTAATTAGAGTGAATATTATAAGATAAAACTAGTTTTTTACAGTTTACTTGAAATTAACTTGAAAAAAATGTTTAAATACTATACTTATTTATGTATTTTGTAGATTGAAGGATGAATGCAAAGTGGCAAGTCTCATTGAAAAGGTCCAGCTGTATTTAGAGCGCACCAGCGTCCAATCAGAACTATGCCGTGTATATCTCCGCAAAATCGAACACTTATACTACAAGTTCGACCCGCGTGTCTTGCAACAAAAGCAGGGACAAGTCCCCAAGGACGTCATCACTTCCGTGCAGGAAATGGAAAAGTTATGTCGTTACATCTACGCCAAGGATGGCACCGACCGTCTGCGAACTCGCGCCATTCTTTCGCACATCTATCATCACGCTCTTCATGACAACTGGTTCCAAGCCAGAGACTTAGTACTCATGTCACATCTACAGGAGACTATTCATCACTCTGATCCTAGCACACAGGTAATTATTTATTATTTTATTATTTATTTATGAAATAATCATTGAAATTTTCTTATTAGATTTTGTACAATCGTACAATGGCACATCTCGGCCTCTGCGCCTTCCGCCACGCAAATATCAAAGACGCACACAACTGTCTCGTCGATTTGATGATGACTGGTAAACCCAAGGAGTTATTGGCGCAAGGATTACTCCCGCAGCGTCAACATGAGCGCAGTAAGGAGCAGGAGAAGATCGAAAAGCAGCGCCAGATGCCATTCCACATGCATATTAATCTTGAATTGTTGGAATGTGTTTATCTTGTGTCTGCAATGCTGATCGAAATACCCTACATGGCTGCGCACGAATTCGACGCACGTCGTCGTATGATTTCCAAGACTTTCTACCAACAATTACGTTCTTCTGAGCGTCAAAGTTTGGTAGGACCTCCGGAGAGTATGCGTGAACATGTCGTCGCCGCGGCGAAAGCAATGCGCAACGGACACTGGGCCGCATGCAACACTTACATTATCAACGATAAAATGAATGCCAAAGTGTGGGATTTGTTCTATCAAGCGAACACTGTCCGTGAAATGTTGACGAAACTCATCAAAGAGGAAGCTCTGCGCACTTATCTATTCACTTACTCGCATGTTTATGATTCCATCTCCATGGCCACTCTGGCTGATATGTTTGAGATGGAAAAACCGAATGTGCATTCGATTATTTCGAAAATGATCATCAATGAGGAGTTGATGGCTTCGCTGGATGATCCCACTCAGACTGTTGTGATGCATCGCAGTGAACCTTCACGTCTGCAATCGTTGGCTATGCAGTTGGCGGATAAAATCAACAACTTTGTGGATTCCAATGAGAGAATTTTGGAGACCAAGCAGGGTAACTTCTTCCTGAGGGGTGGAAACCAAGGCAACTTCCGCGGTGATCGCCAGAACTACAGGAATAATAACCAGGAGTGGAACAGGCAGCGGCGCGATAGGGATAACCATCGTGGTGATCGTGATGGACACCGCGGTGATAATCATCGAGATGGACATCGCGATAATCACCGGGATGGGCATCGTGACAACCACAGAGATAATCATCGGGAGCGTCGTGAGAACAACTATCGCGATAGGGATAATTAGACGAGTTCAATTTGTATATGACATTTGTATTAGCCAGTGACCTGGCGCATTTCCAATTGATGATTACACAAAATTCTGCCGTAATATTTTGGTTTTTCCAGTTTTTAGAGTCAACTTTCTCGATTGTAATCGTATTTTTAATTAAACTGTTAGTTTTAACATTTATGCCCACATTGTTACAGAAGAATAAGTTTTGTTTTAATAAAATGTGCTGGAGAATTGAATGTTTGAGTTTTTGAATTTGAATTAAGGTTCTCAAAATGTTTTCTTGAAAGTTTTGAACTACTAGCGCCCTCTATCCGCCAATAACTCAACCACGCCAAAGTTCTAAAGCTTTATGTACAGAGCGCACTCTGAACTTTCAAACATGAACTTCACCTCGTCGCCACTAGATAGCAGCACAATCGCAAAGCTTTTATCTCTCCGGGTTTCTAATATTTAATATTAATTTTGACGACTCAGCAAAGCAAAATCACCCAAAATTTGGTCTCGAAACGGTTGCAAATAAGTTTGTAATATTCGGATCGCAGAAAGTACGAGGAGGCTAAGAACGTAAAAAGGCGCGTTAATTTAAATTTTAAAGTTTTGTAGTTTTGGAAACGTCAGTTGTGATAATATTTTTCATAGGCAGAGGGCACTACCAGTTCTATAATTCTACTTTTTGTGTACATACTTGCAGTTTAGTAGGTTAACTGTTTTGTTTATAATAATGCCTAATTGTGATAATTTAAACGTATGTTAAGTACTTATACTAATTACTCAATAGTAAAGCTTTGTTTTCTTTCATTTTAGACCTCACTCAACATCTCTGTTGATGATTTTTCACCAATTGCCAGCAGTTCGCAACAATGCAATGTTACCATGCAACAAGTGTTATCGAATACCAACAAAAGTCTTCATTTGTTGAAAAACCCAGACAAAAACAATCAAGAAACAAAGTTTGATCACATGTCAACATCTGGGTTATGGTCCAGCTTTGAGAAACACAACTCAAATGAAAATGAACAAGAAATAACTTTGGTATGTTTTGATATGTTTAAAATAAGCTTAGTAGAGTTTAAAATGTTTTAATACAAGTATTTATTGTTAATTTTAGACACAGTTACATAACATTGGATCTTCTAGTATACTCTGGAATTTAAAGTCATGGATTGATGCATCAGAAGAGTTCCACAAGGAAATGGAGTATTTAAATATAAATACTATCAAGAAACAAATGAAGAATTTGGTGGTGCCATTTCTGGTTGCAATCATTGACAAAGAAGACTGTATTCAAGATACTTTAAATGTTTATAATAGTGCTACATTTATTCTAAGAGATCCATCAGGTAAACACTTTCAATTTGTGTACACATATTGCTTAATTGTATTTTTTCTTATTGTAGGAACAATTAAAGCTGTGATTTCCAAAGATATTCTTAATGAAAATGAATATCTTGTTTCAAATTCCGTTGTGGTGCTCAGGAACTTCAGGGTTTTACAAATTAAGAAAGTATACTATATTATTTTAAACAAACAGAATCTGGAAGCAGTGTTTACGGGACACACAAAAGTTTCACTGCTAGCTCATCAAGAACTTCCAAAACATAATGTTTTTATAAATACTAAAGAAACTACTGATTTGCCATTAGAAAACAAACAGAATAATGCAGAGAAATTAATTAAAACAAGTTCTGTTATGCCAAAGCTAGATTTAGAGTTAAACATTGAAGATAATTCTACTAAAATGTTAAATAATTCAGTAGTAAATTGTGATACAATGAACAAAACTGCAAACGCAAGAGACAGATTAAATCAGACTTCTTTTATAATGCCTGATTTAGATTTTGATTTTGATGGTGAAATAGACTGTGATACAGATGAAGGCAGTAATCCCTTGAAAAGGCAAAAAATAGATGTTGAACATGCTAAGAAAAGTGATTCTGCCATATCTATTGATGCAAACTGCACTGATATTAAGAACAGTTTGGTTAATGTGAAACCCAAGCAAGCATTTAAGTTTGTGAAACGAAAAATAGAATTAGACAATAAGATATCAAATTTTGGATCTCATTTAGAAGAGCCACAACTTCAACAGAATGAAAAACCAGATATTTTCAGTCAAGTTGGAAGTACAACTGAAAAGCCTGAGGATAAACAGATTGTCGAGCAAGTATTTGAGGGGTTAGATGTATCTTGTTTGTTGGATGACTTTTAATGTTGTATTTTAGTACTTTTCTTGATTAAATGTAATTGTAAATGAATAATTGTTATAATTAAGTATTATTAGTTAGTACAGATGTACCCAAATAACAAAAATCAAATTGTTAACTTATTGTGTATCAAAATAAAATTAGAAAATCCTGCTACCGCCCTCTGTGAATGAAAAACCACAACAACTAAAAGTTCTATAGCTTTAAAGCTTCATCTCTACAGCGCGCATCATTAGCTTTCAAATATGAACTTCTACCTGTCGCCACTAGAGGTCAGCACAATCGCGCAGCTTTTATCCGCTATGTTCACTTTCTGCGATCCTAATATTCAATCTTTATTTTGTCGACTCTGCGAGGCAAAATCACGCAAAATTTTGTCTCGAAACGGTTGAAAATAAGTTTCTAATATTCGGATCGCAGAAAGTACAAGGAGGCTGATACAGGTTTAGCGGCAACTTGTAGCGGCGGGTAAAATTAATGTTTAAAAATCTTTTTTCAGCAAGTGCAGCTTCTGTATAATTGGAATTTTTAAATTCTGTTTTCGGATTCTGTAAGCTAATAAAATTTTATATCGACTAGTTAAAATTATTTTCTTAACATTGACCGTTTAACAATTTGCAATTTTATAGAAAAAATTGAATATTTATGGAAATCAATTGAAATAACATGTATAAAAATCTGGCGGGAACTGTCTATGCTCACTTTCTGCGTTCCTAATATTCATTCTTTATTTTGTCGACTCTGCGAGGCAAAATCGCGCAAAATTTTGTCTCGAAACGGTTGAAAATAAGTTTGTAATATTCGGATCGCAGAAGTGTGAGGAGGCTGATACAGGTTTGCGGCAACTTGGCGGGTAAATTAAAAGTTTAAAAATAAAAGGTAGGAAACTTTGAGAATGTTAGTTGAGATGGTGTTCATCAACAGAGGTCACTAGCAGTCACTTTAAATTAATTTTCGTCATATTTTTGTCCGTTTTTGAAATCTGAAAACGAATAAAACTAGGGATAAAAAATAATGATCAAAAAATAATCAAAAATATTATTTATTACAAACACAAATTATGGTTACAGAAAGTTTATACAATAAATATCAACTCTTTTACAAACTAAATATATAAAAAAGTGAAAATCATCCATATGGTTCGCGAGTTACAACCAATTTTCCACCGCGTGTTCCTACAAAATCACAAATAGAGCTATTTTCAATTGCCATTTTTAGGGCACTTCTAGCCGCACTACAGGGTGAATCTATAGCGCAGATGTAACAGCAACTCTTGAGCTATAAACTCATGCAAAGAAACTAAAAATCACCCTTATAGTTCGCGAGTTATAGGCTAGTTTCCACCGCGTGTTTTCTAAAAATCACAAATGGGGGTATTTTCATCGGCCATTTTAGGGTACTTCTAGACGCAGTACGTGGTGACTGTAGGGCGCACATAGAAGAGCAACTCCGCGACAATGTAAGTTCTTCAAAAAATCCCAAATAACCCTTACAATCCGTGAGTTATTACCAAATGGGATAAATGATCTTATAGTTAAGGTGCAGATTAAAAACCCTACTCAACAACACCCGCAACCACATCCCCATTCTCCAATCCGTCTTCTTGTACTTCATCCGCCGCATTCACACATAACTCTTCATCTGTTTCCCACGAACCAAACAGCAAATCCTTGAGTTGTCGAACGGTAATTTCTGCTCTAGTCCATTTCGACTTATCCTTGGATGACGTAACCCTTTGGATGCTCGCCTCGATACTATCCCTCATAATAAACTTATGAACCACAGTTTTCCTACAAAATAAATAAAAAAATCAACACTATTCCCAACACTATTACAAAAAATATATCAAACAACCTTTTCTGACCAATACGATGCACCCTTCCAATCGCCTGCAGCTCCTCAGCAGGATCAAGAATCGGCTCCGCGAAAATCACATGCGTAGCTTCAATTAAATTCAACCCTTTGGCGCCCAAATTCACAGGCAGTATCATCGCAGTAACGCCTTTATCCACATCTTTAAAATCCTCCACAGTTTTCACAACCTGCTTACCACTCATAAGCACCACTGATTTAATATCATTCTGCTCAAAGATATCTTTAAGTATCTTCAGCACAGGTTGAAACGATGAAAATACCAGCACCTTCACACCCTCTTCCTCTTGCATCAATTCCTTGATGAGTCTTACAATCCTGCCAACTTTACTTGAACAGTTTCCATTGACAACAATATCATCAGTCTCCACAACTGTCTGCGGTTTAAAAAGCGACTGATCCACACAGCTTATCTCAGATAAAGGCTGAACTTGTCTGCAGACAGCACAAGTAATTTTCTGATCCGCACGCACCATATTCCTGCCCACAATGGTCTCCATACAAACCAGACAGAAGGCATGGCCACACTGCATCATGTTCCACGACTTCTCCAGCGGATATCTACAGATGGGGCACGGGTCCAAGTTTTGTTCATCTCGATTATGCAAAGAAACAAGGTACTTATTGGTCCCCAAACATTTTTCTAACTTCGCAGTGTGTCCCTTATGCTCTTGCTCCAAATTAAAACGATAAACATCAATCTACAACAAAAAATAAATAAAATCATCAAACACATTCAACATCACATTAAAATATAAGCTTACCTCGTGTTCGGATAACTCATTAATATGTTCTTCAAACATTTTAGATCGTTGAAATCGTTCAAATAGAAGCAATATTAATAAAACGAATAATAAAAAAATTTCGTCGTTTTATGCTGTTTTACGCGTTAAAACGCAGAATAAAGCTTTTAAAACGTGCTGTTTTCAAATAAGCATTTTTCAAGCATTTTAGATCGTTACGAAATCGTTCAAATAAACAATAGCTAATAAAAACGGAGTAATAAAAATTTCGTCGTTTTATGCTGTTTACGCGTTAAACGCAGATTAAAACTCAAAACGTGCTGTTTTGCTAAAATAAAGCATTTTTCAAGCATTTTGATCGTTGAAATCGTTCAAATAGACATAATATTAATAAAAAACGAATAATAAAAACTTCGTCGTTTTTATGCTGTTTACGCGTTAAAACGCAGATTAAAACTCAAAACGTTCTGTTGTGTAAAATAATCCATTTTCAAGCATTTTAGATCGTTGAAATCGTTCAAATAGAAGCAATATTAATTAAAACGAATAATAAAAAAATTTACGTCCGTTTTTATGCTGTTTTACGCGTTAAACGCAGATTAAAAGCTCAAAACGTGCTGTTTTGCTAAAATAAGCATTTTTCAAACGCATTTTAGATCGTTGAAATCGTTCAAATAGAAGCAATATTAATAAAACGAATAGCCAGAATTCATTGTTTTATGCTGTTGTACGCGTTAAACGCAGATTAAGCTCAAAACGATGCTGTTTTGCTAAAATAAAAGCTTGTTACACCAAGCATTTTCAGATCGTTGAAATCGTTCAAATGCAGAACGCAATATTAATAAAAAACGAATAATAAAATTTCGTCTTTTGCATGCTGTTTTACGCGTTAAAACGCAGATTAAAACTCAAAACGTACTGTTTTTGCTAAAATAAGCATTTCAAGCATTTTAGATCGTTGAAATGAACAAATAGAAGCAATATTAATAAGAAACAGGCAAAAGAATTTATTAGTTTTTATGCTTCTTTACGCGTTAAAACGCAGATTAAAGCTCAAAACGTGCTGTTTTGCTAAAATAAGCATTTTCAAGCATTTTAGATCGTTGAAATCGTTCAAATAAAAGCAATATTAATAAAAACGAATAATAAAAATTCGTCGTTTTAATGCTGTTTTACGCGTTAAAACGCAGATTGAAAACTCAAAACGTGCTGTTTTGCTAAAATAAGCATTTTCAAGCATTTTGAATCGTTGCAGCGTCGTTTTATTGGTACCGGTATTGTAAAAACGGAATAATAAAATTTCGTCGTTTTATGCTGTTTTACGCGTTAAAACGCTGATTAAAGCTCAAAACGTGCTGTTTTGCTAAAATAAGCATTTTTAAGCATTTTAGATCGTTAAAAATCGTTCAAATAAAAGCAATATTAATAAAAACGAATAATAAAAATTCGTCGTTTTTATGCTGTTTTACGCGTTAAAACGCAGATTAAAACTCAAAACGTGCTGTTTTGCTAAAATAAGCATTTTCAGAAGCATTTTTAGATCGTTGAAATCGTTCAAATAGACGCAATAAAATAAAACAGATAATAAAAATTTCGTCGAACATGCTGTTTTACGCGTTAAAACGCAGAATGAAGCTCAAAACGTGCTGTTTTGCTAAAATAAGCATTTTCAAGCATTTTTAAGATCGTTGAAATCGTTTTCAAATATACGCAATATTAATAAAAAACAGATGTAAGGCTGCATTGATTTTTTTGTAGCGACACGCGTGTAAAGCAGATTAAAGCTCAAAACGATGTTTGCTAAATGGCATTTTCAAACATTTTTAGATCGTGAAATCGTTCAAATAGAAGCAATATTAATAAAAACGAATAATAAAAAAAATTTGTGTTTGCTGTTTTGCCGTTAAAAAACGCAGATTAAAAACGGTAGCTGTTTTGCTAAAATAAACATTTTTCAAGCATTTTGTTTGAAACGCGCCGACTGCGATTATCCCGTTTCGACGGCTGTCGTCCAGGAAACAAAAGAGTGCGAGGGACAGTCGCGATCCTAAGAGTGCGTCTGATATACGAATTAACAAAGATTGAACGTAGAGATACGGCATTCGGTTACTTTACTTGCTTGTATGGTGGGCGCTTCACTCCCGTAACAACAGGTTATGGGCCCAGTGGGTAAGTCTGGGTTGGGACTCCATAACAACAGGTTATGGGCACAGTGAATTAAGTCTGGGTTGGGACTCCATAACAACAGGTTATGGGCCCAGGAAAAACTGCAAGCAGTGAGCTAACTCACGAGTGTGAACACACAAGTAGAAGCTAACGTGAAGTGTGACCGTAGCAAGGTGTGTGTTGTACGTCAAGGGCGTGCATCGACTTGGAATGATTGTCTTGATAGACAGTACAGGTGTGCAAAATAAGTTTTTGTGAAAAACACCGGTGGGTGGATCGTGAAATTTGTAATTCGATGACCACTGTGATACAAGTTGAAGCATCGTGAAATTTGTAATTCGATGACCACTGAAGCATCGTGAAATTTGTAATTCGATGACCACTGTGATACAAGTTGAATCATCGTGAAATTTGTAATTCGATGACCACTGTGATACAAGTTGAAGCATTGCTGATATGCACTCGGATACGCAAATGGTGAAATTAAACCAAAACCGGTCGCTGACGACGCTGCCGACAACGCAGCCGCCGTCGCTGAATGGGAAGAAAACGATAGGAAGGCGAAATCGGACATCATCCTGTTGATAGGCCCCAGTGTATTGAAGCACGTGAAGGGGTGCGAAAATTCAAGGGATGCGTGGAATAAGCTTGAAATAACTTATCAATCCCGAGGACCGGCGCGTAAGGTAACCCTCTTGAAGATGCTAACGCAGCACAAGATGAGGGAAAGGTTGAACGAAAGAACACCCCTTGAATTGTGGAGTGGAGGAATTCCCAACCTGAACGAACTACATGAGTTCGAAGTTGTGAACGGCAGAAGTGATAGAGAAGACGTAAATCTATCAGTCGTCGAACACTGTCATGTAACAGAAATTTCCTTGAAAAACGTAATGTCATCACCAGAAGCAACTGAATGGATGGATGCCATGAACGAGGAAATGAACTCAATCCTGCAACATGATACTTGGGAATTAGTAAACAGACCCAGAAACCAAGTAGTAAACCAAGTAGTCATCAGAAGCAGGATGGTACTACGCGAGAAGATTAAACCAGATGGTACAATCGAAAATGAGGATAGAATCGGTACGATGAGGGCAGTAGTAGCACTAGCTGCGAAACAGAACATGAAGATTCGACAATTCGACGTATCAACGGCATATTTGAACGGAAATTTGGTCGAAGAAATATACATGGAAGCCCCTGGAAATCTTACCGAAATTCTTCATGTAATCGTGGTAGAGAACTCAGAGTTAAGTAAAACGGCAGCAATTGAAAAACGATTGCGTGTGCCTTGTAAAAGGGTTTGTTAAGAGATATGAATTTTCAAAAATCGTCGAAAAAAAGTATCAAGCACCCCCCTTGGCGATTTTTTCTTAAGTAAAAAAATTTTATTTTTCAGATTTCCGCTTTAACTACTGTATGTTATACATATTAGTCCGTAGAATATTCTCTGCGAGTTGTACCTATTTATCTCTGTTAGTTTACGAGATATTCGCGATACAGTTGACAGTAAGAGGTAGGCATGCACAAACACTCTCTCCTGATTGTCTGATTGCCTATCTGAAGTTGAGCGCTCCCGTTGCGCTACCTCGCGACTAGCGATGTAAGTAGATTGTTGAGCTACGGGTCGGTAAGTAGAGCTCTTTCGTAGCGCTACCTTGCGGCAATCGTTGTAAATAGATTTCTGAGTAGCAGGTCGGTGAATTGATCGCTAGCTACTTTACGGCGCAAACAGATCCTGTACTTCAGACCTCCCACTGGGACGTCACGAGCAACGCAACATAGTCGTCGATTAAGTCGAACATTCGCAACTTGCGCAGTGAGTTCGCTGATGTCACCGTTGATGACTTGCTTCACTCGCTGGCGCATGATAATTTGAACTGGAATAATACCAACTGACCAACAGCGATCAGATGAAAAATCCACTCCAAGCGGTAACTACTAGCGAGACACACTTCCCAGGCCTTGAAACATTTTACAATGAATATAAATCCTGGCAACAGACATTTGGCAAGTTCTGCGGCACGAAAACGTTTAAGCATACGGAACTATTCAAATAGAGGACGACCTCATATCCGACGTGGATGTAAAAGTTCCAAACGGTTAGAAGAAGTACGACGTTGAGTTAATATCACAACCCGGGTAAATCTACCAAGAAACTTTTCAAGTTTCTTCCCAATTGACAGTAAGAGGTAGACGTGCACAAACACTCTCTCCAGATTGTCTGGTTGCCTATCTGAAGTAGAGCGCTCCCGTTGCGCTACCTTGCGGCTAGCGTTGTAAGTAGATTTTTGAGTAACGGGTCGGTAAGTAGAGCTCTTTCGTAGCGCTACCTTGCGGCAATCGTTGTAAGTAGATTTTTGAGTAGCAGGTCGGTGAGTTGAGTGCTCGCTACCTTACGGCGCAAACAGAATCTGCAAGCTGCGCTTCAGACCGCCGACTGGAATGTCACGACCAACCCAACACAGTCGTCGCTCAAGTCGAAAATTCGCAACTTGTGCAGTGAGTTCGCAAATATGACCAAGAAACTTTTCAAGTTTTTTCCCAGTTGACAGTAAGAGGTAGACGTGCACAAACACTCTCTCCAGATTGTCTGTTTGCCTATCTGAAGTTGAGCGCTTTCCTTGCGCTACCTTGCGGCAATCGTTGTAAGCAGATTTTTGAGTAGCGGGTCGGTAAGTAGAGCGCTTTCGTAGCGCTATCTTGCGGCAATCGTTGGAAGTAGATTTTTGAGTAGCGTATCGTTAAGTAGAACGCTGTTTTTACGCTTACACTCCATGTGCTGCTCTCATGATACAGCCGTGGATATAACCTTACCAAACTTTGAATTAAATGTATGATAGATAGCTGAGACAGCTGGGGATACGGCTTAATAATTTCACATTTTTTCTTAATAGGCACGGTGAGTTGCAGGATAAATAAGTGTCAACTTATAAATAGATATATTTTACATAAAACAAGTCCTTGATACCATGAGTGCCTAGAAACGACCGCTGCGTTTGCGACCTGTGAACTTGGAGTCCGCACGTGTCTCCTTGCCTTGTCGACGCCGCCGCTCCTTCTTCTCCTGTATCCACTCGCGTGAGTTCTTCAATGGCTTACCGCGCGCTTTCTTCACATGCTCACGTTTCGCCATATACGAGACACAGTTTTTGTCCTCTTGATCACCCAGTGCTTGAGGCAGAGGCATATTACCGCCAGTCATAAGCACCAGAAAGAATTTCTTGGCCTTTGTAGAGTTGGGAAAGTCACAAACCACTCCGCCATAGAAACCCGCTTTCATTGCCTGCGCAGTGATCAACTCCATTTGGTTAGAGTTCTCAGGGTAGAATTGAAAAACAGCGCGCGCATTTCGAGACTAAAAATAATTAAAAGAAAAAACAGAATAATTAGTCTTTGTTTCCTTTCAGCTGCCCGTGTTGCAATATGATGACTAGTAGATGCACGGTGCGTGCCTGCGCCACCTGTGCCGCCAAAGAGCGCAAACCCTTCGTGTTGCCAAAGGTAAAAAAAACAGTCTGTGTGTCCACATCAAACGACATCTTCCGCAATCTGGCGCTGGAGCATTGGTTCTATAAGAATCTCAAATTCGACGAGCACCATCACAAGCTCATGTTGTGGGTGAACGGACCATGCGTCGTAATTGGCCGTCATCAAAACCCATGGACGGAATGCAATGTGCCGTGGCTTGCTGCAAACAAAACGCATCTAGCGAGACGCAACAGCGGTGGCGGCACAGTGTACCACGACGGAGGCAATCTGAATTTAACATTTTTCACACCCAACGAACATTATCACCGCAGGAGCAACCTGCAGTTTATATCCGACACAATTTACCAGGACTTTGGCCTCCGGATGGACATCAATAAACGCGAGGACCTCGCCGTGCGCGGTTACAAAGTTTCGGGAACGGCGGCGAAGTTAGCACGCCATTGCGCTTATCACCATTGCACATTGCTAGTCGCCGCAGATAAACAGAATCTGCGATCTGCGCTTCAGCCCTCAGACTGGAACATCACGACCAACGCAACACAGTCGATCAAGTCGAACATTCGCAACTTGCGCGATGAGTGCGCTGACATCACCGTAGATGGCTTGGTTCACTCGCTGGCACGTGGTTATTTGAACTGGAATAATACCAATGCCAACAGCGACCAGATAACAGATTCACTTCAAACGGTAGCCCCTAGCGAGACACACTTCCCAGGCCTTGAAACATTTTACAATGAGTATAAATCCTGGCAGTGGACATTTGGCAAGACCCCAAAGTTCAGCGCCTCGAAAACATTCAAGCATCACGAAGTGTCATTCGAGCTCGCGATTCAAGTAGAAGAGGGCCTTATATCCGACGTGGATGTAAAAGTACCAAACGGTTATCCTGACTACCAAATTGTGCGGCAATTGCAGGATACACAGGCAATCGTCGGGCAGAAGTACGACGTTGAGTTAATATCACGACTCGGGAAAGTCTTCCAAGAAACTTTACAGGTTTCATCCCAGCATTTAGATAGTGCAGTTGTTTAGACAATTAAAAAAAACATGTAGATATATAAATACTCACCAAACAAGCATACAAAGTGCTGAAAAATGTGTACAATCTTTGGACTGGTCTGTGTGAGGTTTTGTCCGCATTGCAAAGCCATTGCAGGGCTGAAATGCTAATGCAGCCATCAAATGTGCCTGCTCTAAATGGGCATCCCTGGCCCATATCAGAAAGAATCACATCACCCTCTACTTCTCTTTCTATAGCAATATCTGGTAATGATAATTAAATTAATAACTGCAATGATTGAAATTGAATTGTTTTACCCAACATTGATTTTGAAATATCCATGCCTATCCAATAGTGTCCATCATCTTCAAGAACACTTCCACTCAACCCTGATCCACAGCCAATATCCAGTAAAAAGCAAGGTTGGTCTTCTGGCAAGAGGAGTAATTCCACTGCGCGTTCGGACATTTTCACCTGGATGTCTATAATGCGAGTGCTGCAATTTAAAATCGAACATTATGGTTGAGACAATAGTTTTCGTTCGTTTAGTCATTGCTTACTTTCGTGTGTATTTACGAGCCTCCTCATCGTTGTAGAATATTTCTGGTGGTGCCAAATACTCCGGACGTGACATTTTCTAAACAATATAAATCACAATCTTTAGGAAAGAAAAGTAACGTGCAAACATTGAGGTTATAACAAGATAAAATTTATACTGGTTGTTCCATAGTGAAAATTTCAAACTTTGTCGCCGTACACCCATACATTATATAATAAACGGAGGAAATAGAAAAACACAAGTTTGCTTCATTTACAAGAATAATTACATTTGGGTTTATTCTGATCGTATCAATAATTTACCAATCTTTTGAATGTGTATCGAAGTTTTGTAACACTTGGTATCAAGCAGACCACAAATGAACGCAAACGCTAACCTAACCTTATTGAAAGGTCATCCAGCGGTTTCGGTAGCAAACAATAAACAATAAACAAAGTAGAGTGGAGTTTGAGGAGACTGTTTTTCAACAATGGACGCATTGCCGGATGAGCTTTTGCTACAAATATTGCAATATGCGACACCTTACGATCTCAAAAATATTGCCAGGCAAGTATGCAATCGTTTTTTTCTTCAACCATTATACAGTGATTTTCACATTTATCACCCGCAGACTGAACGAGCGTTTCGCCCAACTGATCCTGGAAAGGAGCCTCTGGACACATATCGATTGTCGCGGTGAGAAAGCCCACGCTGAGCATGCGGAATACTTCAGCGAGCGCGTACATGAAGACACAAGTGCGTATATGTTACGTGTAGCTAATTCTAACATCGGCATACCACCGGAACGCATCCGCAAGTGGACACACTACGACTCACTCACCGTACTCGTCCTGGAAGGAATGCATTTTGACTGTGAGGAGGTAGGAATGGCACTTGTGGATATTGTATCAAGTGTATTGTATGAAATTCTACTTTTAGTTCACATTGGGAGACTTTCCTAAGTCGCTGGTGGAGTTGTCGCTGAATCGCTCGACGTTTCGCAACTACCAGCAGTTTTTCAGGTTCGCCGGGCGTATGTTGCGCGCCTTGCGTGTTATCACACTAGAGCATTGTTTAACTCTTGGGGATAGCGTGGTAATGCCTTTGGCGAACTTCGAACAGCTTGAGATTGTGTCGCTGTACGGCTGCATGAGCATTAAAGACGCACTAGTACCGCTTACAATGAGCACCAAGCTCGGCTTCCGACAGTTGAAAGTACTCGATGTGCGGTGTACGGGTCTCGGCAATGATCTCCTGCGTCTGGTAGCTGAGCTGGAGCAGCTTGGTGAGCTCTACTTTCACTGTTATTTTGACTACATCGGCACCGAGACAGACGAACGACTACAATGCCACCGGCTTGACATGAGCACAAACAGCGGCTTGCTGGAGGCGTGTGACCGTCCAGTGGTCGCTCACTACAAGGCACAATTCACCGACGATGGCCTCCGCTGTTACAGGCGCGCTTCATTCCGCCCGCAGGGGTACACACCGCCTAGAAGTATGCTATACGCACGGCCGTATGGGCCTTGTGCGTGTTCATCCACAACGTCGACGCCGGCTGGTGCGTCTACCTCGCGCAATGGTATTAAACGCGCTCGAAGTCCATCTCAAGACGCATCCGCACCGCCGACGAAACTGCCAAAAACCGACTCAGACACTCAATCGCTGTCTTCATCCCGTACTACCGTCACTTTCCAACCATACTTTCGCTTCCCGACGGTGAAGTGCGCGCGCCCACCCCTCCGACACCGGATCAACCAGTATCGCAACGTGTCGTCATCGAGATTCAATGCTTCCCGACACAAGCCACCCGCGAGGATCTTGTTTTCATGCCACGACGGCGTATAAACGTCGACGGGTTTGTCCAGGAGCGACAAGTTGCGCTCAGCGCGTTGTCCCTACGCGGCTCAAAGCGCGTCACTGACCATGGTCTAGAATCTCTACGACAGCTGGACCTCAGTCTGCTGGACGTAACCGGCACGGCGGTAACCCAAGCAGGTGTAGCTGCTTTCCAAGCGCGCATGCCAGGCTGTCGAGTAGTGCACGAGACGGCGTGCACGTGCCGACCGCGATAGACATTTATTTCATGACGAAGGATGACGGATTTGTATATAAGAATTATATTTATGTTTAGCTTATGTTCATTTATTGCTGAAAGCAAAGCCTCTCCTGGCTAAGTCCTCCCTGGCTGCTTGGATCTCCTTCTGCAGCTCCATGGCTGCCTCCTCACAAGTATTGAACGTGAAAGTTCGGTAGAGAACTACAGTAGCAGCATATAACTAGAAATAGCAAACACACGTATCAATAATGCAATTGATTTGTGAGGATGATATCTCTCTCACCCCAAAGCATCCCAGCAGTAAGATAGGAAGACAATAAACGAAAAGTGGTTGTTCGGCGGCTAAGTTTCCGCCAACTCGTCCTGTGAGCAACGCTAGCCACACAGCAATGATTACCGTGCCAGCGGCTAGCCATTCCATTAATTTGGTCATAATGTTGTCGATATTTGTTAATTCACTGCTACACGTCACGCAGTTCGCGGAATGTTGCTTTAAATGATAACCAGATTATTAAATCGTCAACTACAGCTGATTGAAGATGCACACATGCCGCACGTCTTGTTGTTTACCAGCTTGGTTCCACCGGTGTCCGACAGATGGCTTGCACATCACTTGATATCTTTTTTAAATATGGTAACAATAAGATTATTTAGAACCAAGAGAAATGCAGGAAAGATATTAATATAACCGATCCTTTCCTCTTTTTCCATAATTAATTGATAAATAATAAACCATTTACCAAAATATTACCCTAACGTGAACATTACCTACGTTCTTCACAATCGATAATGCTGGAATGCTGATGAGAAGCAAAAATTGCCTTTATTTCATTATACCCAAAGGTCAAAATGGCTGAGTTTCGAATAAGGGTGTGTAAAAGGGCTAGCGACATGCCTTCCGCACGTGATTGGTCAGATTGGGAAGCGAGCGGCACCGCCTGCTACCAATCACAAATCCTCGTTGAGAAATTTTGCAAGGTACTACAAAACTCAAGAGAAATCTGATACATGATACAAAAACAGAAGTTAGTTGTGATTGGAAATTAGTGCAGAATGTCAGATTCAAGTTATAATCCACCCGCGCGAGTCACATCTGTAAGTTTGTTTAATATTGTTTAAGAAATTAATTTGCGTTGGACGTTAATAATATCTATTATTTTCAAAGGCTGCGAATGATTTTCCCGCTAATTACGGCGGGGAACTGGGCAGCTATAGCGGCATTTGGGACCCACATCATTGCTTGGGAGCACAAAACGGCAACGCAATCGGAAGTTATCCGGAATTGTTGACTTTTGCGCCGGATATCGGTGAGTTACATCTACTAACAAATACAAAGCAGAACAATAAAGAAGATATAATCGCAGTATGGCCACGCCAGCAGTGCGGTTCTCTAGTGACTACGCATCATCGTCTAGGACGCGGTGCAGCAGGAAATACCGGAGGAATTGGTGGAGCCGCGGGCGGTACAACTGGCCACCATCACCACCATTCTTCCAAGAAGATTCGGAGACGCGTAGCAACAATCGCCCAACGTCGAGCTGCCAATATTCGCGAACGTCGTCGCATGTTCAACTTAAATGAAGCATTCGACAAACTGCGTCGCAAGGTTCCTACCTTTGCCTATGAAAAACGTCTCTCGCGGATCGAGACACTGCGACTCGCCATCACCTACATCTCCTTCATGACAGAACTACTGCATGGCCACGCTGCAGATGGTCATCCGCACGGCGAGTACATTCCTTACCATGCCATAATCAACTGAATCATAACTGTATTTAGATAATATCGAAATGTCTTCCAATTATTCGCGCTCCAGAGAATAAAGGGCGCCTTGCTGTGCACGTGCGGCAAAATGCAATTATAATTGCCCTCTTGTTAGCGCCAGATATTACACGCTCAGGCCAAGTGTTTTATTAAAAGTCACCCTCTTTCAACACGGATATTAGTTATGCGGATTGCACCCCTCTGTCAGTGATACGATTAGGGAAGAATTCGGGAAACTATTGAGTAAATTGCGACAAAAATTTTAATTATAAAACATTTTTAGGCTTTTTTTCTATTTTAAACAAACTATCACACAAGTAGCGCCACCACTGCAGAACTACCAACGATCATTCAAGGGGTGCATTCGCGTTGGACGCTTACGCGCTGTGAGCGTGCTTACATGTCATTTTCATCGTTCGACTTGGCGCTGTGGGTGTCACATAAGTACGCTCATGGCTGAGTTCGTAGCACAGACTTCGCGCTCATTTATGCTCACGCCACAGAGGTAGGGCAGCGAAAGCGTGAGCGCCAATTTTTATTATCTGTCAAAACGAATGCAACTTGAGCATAAGCTAACCAAAAAAATTCATTTATTTCTAAATTGTTAAATTCTTTACAATCCCGCAAAAATGGCAAGCAGTCAACCAAAATTAATTTCTGTTGAGCTAACTGATCCAGAAAGTAATAAAATTTACAATTAAATTAAAATTTAAAAAATATTAATTTAAATTATTTGATAAACAGTTGCCATGTTGATGATTATTGACGCTCACAATATCCAAAACGAACGAAATTTATTTATTGATTCTAAGCGCCTATAGGCCATCTCGAACACTAAAAATTTGTGCTTATAAGCGTGAGCGCTCACAGCGCGTAAGCGTCCAACGCGAATGCACCCAAGGTGTTACGTTGGTTGCCTAAATAAAGTTTTTCTCTTGCAAGTGGGTAGACATAGGTAAGTATTAAGAAGTTTCTTTTGTATTTATTTTCAACTGTACAAACGTCACAAATCTTAATCGACCCCAGGACATGGAAATAATACGAAACACGGCCACCAACACAACTAACACAAAAATAGCTGCTATGACAAAGAAATACGAAAGAGAAAAGGAAGCAGTCAAGTCGCCTCGCCACCGCCACCGCCATTTTTGCCACATGCGCAGCTCTTCCATTCTTGCGAAACGATTGCGGTATTCCAGCGGCAATTCGAAGCGTGATGGCATTGGAAATAAACTTACAAACAAATCTTCTAGCAGCGTCAGCAATAATTCGTTGTCTAAACGTGTCGCATTGGTTCGGTCAAGATCATCGTTAATACAAACAAATTTTCTGCAAAAATCGTTCACATTTCGCATTTGTAAAATGCCTAACAGGTAATAACCTAATAAATTAACAATTACCTTGGTGTTTTTCGAATACTATTCAATGTATTCAAAGCGGCGGTTGCCACCGAGTGCAACTGATTAAAACTAACATGTTCGGTGGCCTCTACAAACTCATGGCGGTATTTTCCTCGATGCGTCACTCCTTCGTGGTTTTTCAGCATGGCCCGCAATGCTGCACAATGGATAACCATCTTTTTGGTGACAACACTCTGTACATAATACAATAGACCAAATCATTAACTACACAATATTGTGACAGATTTAAACGAATGTTTTTTACCAGTAATGAATCAACGTATCGCTCATATCTCGGAGTCGGTCGTTGCAATTCAATCTCACGCTCAGATTCAGTTAAAGATTCCGTGCAATTATTCAGCAAGTGTTGGAACTCCAATACTACCTCGATTTTTAACGGCAAAGGATAAATACGTGTAAGAAGCGTATGGATTTCCCTATCTGACCACGTGCCAGAGTGGTCAGTGTCGTACTCATCGAAAATCTCCGCCATTCTCTTCTCAGCTTTAGCCAGAGACAGATAGTAAGAGTATACGAAGGCAATTTGCAGATTATTCTCATTACGAAATTTACTAGCAATTGTTTTTGCAAATTCTATGGGGTAACGCTCTTGTACTTCGGCCATGATTTTTCGGTCGATCATAATCGGCGCATGAGCAATGACATTCCTCCGTTGAAAACCAAACGTGCGACTTAACAACATCTGCGTGAAAATTAACGACGAAGAATAGAGATCTTTCCGTGCCGCCTCACCGTGGCGTCCTAAATCTTCTGTAGGTTCCTGCTCGCCAGGAAATAACGTTGCGACAAGTCTATTCATAGTACGCGTGTGAAAATATTCATTCTCGCGTTGATAAATACGCAGCAATTTCTGCCGTTTGATTTGTTCGTTGTTATAACGTTTAATCCGTTCGCTAAGCGCTGGGTAGTCATCGATTGATGCGTTTGTGTATAGTTGGTTGCGTGTTTGTGCTAGGAATGGCGAATAAGAAGGCGGAATGATATTACTCATAATAGGTGATGTGTTCGTTGTGCCAATGATACTACCATCAGCCCCATTACAATCGCCGTGTCAAAATCACATTCGGCGTTGAAGCACTCCACATCGCATTTGCCATTGCCAATGTGATTCCAATCGCATTTCCGTGCACAATCCGCAGCCCCCCACGCAGTGTAGATTTTAAACCCACGGTTCCTCGTGTAAAAATCCTCGGGGTAAACATCTTCGTTTAAAAAGACGTCGTCGTTGAAGTACACGTGTTGTTGTCAGCTGTTTTCGTTCATTTGTAGTACAACGTGCGCATGCACAACCACCCCCAATGTACGCGAAACGAGTGCGCGGCAGCTGTTCGTCGGACTTGGTCATTCTCAAAAAGACGAATCAGTGTTAATAAATAACAACCCATTTTTATTATGTAGGTTGATGTTATCAACATAATCCTGGTATTTGACTAAATTTACCCAAGATAACTGTATTTGCCAAAGTGGTAGCAATGACACAAATTCAAAAACATAAACACGCATTTCAATATCAGTGACTGCTTAATTGGTTGCCTACCCATCTACTCTTCGAATGTAGGCCGCAGCGTATGAACAACCAACCAGCTTTCATGTAGCGCGTTCGCTAATGAAATAACAACACACACATAGATTATAATATACGCAGCACGAACACCTGAAAGACAAACGATGGCGAACGTGATGGTAGGCGCTGCTCTGCGCAAAACGCTGGCCGCCCCTGCGAAAACCTTTCTCAAGAATGGGGCCGCGTTGATTCACACAAGGTGAGTTTTTATCCCGTGCCTAACCCCCAATTACGTAATAAACAGGTGTATTGTAGTGAACAGAAGAATGCAAAGTGGTCACCCGATGCCGAATACATGCAGCAGTTCCAGGGCCCAGTCATATTTAAGGACGAAATCACCAGCAAGTGGGCCCTTCCACCATGGAACGCGAAAATGGCGCCGGTGGAGAAATCCGTAAAGAACCTGACATTGAATTTTGGCCCACAGCATCCGGCTGCTCATGGCGTGTTACGTCTTGTACTGGACCTGGATGGAGAAGTAAGTGTCATGTTGTTGTTGTTCATCATATAATGCTTATACTGAATGGCAGGTGGTGAAGAAGTCTGACCCACACATTGGTCTGCTGCACAGAGGCACTGAGAAGCTGATTGAGTACAAGACATACACTCAAGCGCTGCCGTATTTTGACCGGCTGGATTACGTCTCGATGATGTGCAATGAGCAGTGCTACAGTCTGGCTGTGGAGAAGCTGCTCAACATTGACGTGCCGATACGTGCTAAATACATTCGCAGTAAGCATAGCATGATCATAATTTGGATCATTTTATAACTTGCTTTTCTCTTTTAAGCCTTGTTTGCTGAAATTACACGAATTCTCAACCACATCATGGCCGTTGGCACGCACGCGCTTGACGTAGGCGCAATGACACCCTTCTTCTGGCTGTTCGAGGAGCGCGAGAAGATGATGGAGTTTTATGAGCGTGTATCAGGCGCGCGTATGCACGCCGCCTACGTACGCCCTGGCGGAGTCTCCCTCGACATGCCGCTGGGCCTAATGGACGACATCTACGAGTTTGCTACAAAGTTCGGCGAGCGATTGGATGAGGTCGAAGACGTGCTCACCTCAAATCGTATTTGGGTACAGCGCACTGAAGACATCGGTATCGTCACTGCAGAAGACGCGATAAACTACGGTTTCTCCGGTGTAATGCTACGCGGCTCTGGAATAAAATGGGACCTGCGTAAACAACAGCCGTACGACGCGTACGATTTAGTCGAATTCGACGTACCAATCGGTACGAAAGGCGATTGTTATGACCGCTACCTATGCCGTATAGAAGAAATGCGCGAGTCACTGCGTATCATCGAACAGTGCCTCAACAAAATGCCCCCCGGCGAAATCAAAACCGACGACGCCAAGCTAACGCCCCCATCTCGCGCTGAGATGAAGACCTCAATGGAGGCACTCATCCACCATTTCAAATTATTCACGCAGGGCTATCAAGTACCACCGGGCGCAACTTACACAGCAATCGAAGCTCCCAAAGGGGAGTTCGGCGTGTATCTAGTCTCAGACGGCGGCAGCAAACCATACCGTTGCAAGATTAAAGCGCCTGGCTTCGCGCATCTCGCCGCGCTTGATAAAATCGGCAAAAACCACATGTTGGCTGACATCGTCGCCATCATCGGCACGTTGGACGTGGTATTCGGCGAGATTGATCGGTAGATTAATCGAAACAAATAAAAGGAGACACATAAACATAATATAGAATTAAAATAAACGACAGTGCGGCTGCAGGTTATTATTTTATCTAGCGAGACTAGAAATGCCCACCAAAGCGAGAAAACCCGCTGACGCAATGCATGCCCATTTTAAAATTATCCATTCATCACTAGGTGCTATTTCTTCAGCAGTAGCAGTGGTATTCCGCATTGTCCACCCTTGAATAAACTGGCGCATCTTCTGTTCCATTGATGCGAACCGTCCATCATTTGCAGCCTTGTTTTTTTCGATTTCACCCCGCAACGTGGAGAAGTAGCCATGCAACTCTTGGGTCTGTTGCTTGCTCAGTTGCTGCATTAAATGCATAGTGTCCTTGGCACTCTCGACAAACACACTGCGGACATCGTCTTTGATGGAACCACGGATCACAGACTTCAGATCCTCGGTGCGCCAGGTTGTTATTAAGTAGGAACCCAAGGCACCGAACAACGTTAGGCCAAAACCAATGTATTTAGCGTATTCTAATCGATTGCGCTGCTTTTCCTGCGAATCTCTGATGGCATTTGTGAAGGCGCTGAAGACATCACGTTCATAGCGCTCCTGCTCGCCGAGATCCGTGAAAATCTGACGCTCCCGCTTGATAAACTACAAGAAATGATAAATAAGTAACAGGAATGCAAATGCAAAAATAGATTACATCAGTCTCCTCTCTCATCAACTCCAAGAAATACGCCGGCTCTTGATGCCGTTTTACTTTATGGAGCCGGTCTTGAATCTCGATGCTCTTCGCGCGGGTTTCATTGAGGATGTAACTGAGCTCCCTTCGTTTCTGTTGCGCATCTGTGAGGGATTTCTACAAATTTAAACTCGTACGTATTTTCTACCTGAGCCGCATCATGTCTTACTTGCAACTCAATCACTCTATCTTGATAATACTCCAGCTCATCTAGACCAGTCAATTGCTTGTAGAATGCGTTCATGTTATTGAACTTTGTGATGAGGTACGTTTTTGTAGCTTCAGCTGTAACCGGCTGGGCTTGGATGGATTTCATGAGCACATTTCTGGCAATATTCACGTTTTCCGCGTTGATGATCTCTGTAAAGCGCTTCATTTCAAAGGTTACACATTAGTTTTATTCTTTATTTTACTTGTATCACTTGATTACATCATGTTTTTATTTTATTGTATGCATGCTTTTAACACGTGCGACCACCGCGAACTCTCCGATACATCTGTCAAACACGACAGCGATCAGATGTTTTTGACAACGTCCGCGCTGACCTTTTTTGACACCTGTTTTGTCCGTCGATAAGTTTGAAACGACGCGTGGAAGCGCAACTTACGACGGGCTTCCGCCTCAGCGTAACTAACTGCACGCAAATTGCACGCTCAGCACAATTGCACTGCGATAATGGCGAAACAACGGCCGGTTCGAGGCATTTGCCCTCGTCAAAGCCGTTGAGTCGTTTCGGTGCTACGTGCACTGCCAGGACGGGTGAGTAGTATTGCGATCGATACTTCCACGGGCCAATTCATTTTTAGTTTCAGTCATAAACTCATAAAATCACATTTGCTTAACTTGTGTAGAAAACAATAAATTAGATTAGCCGCAAGAACTAGAGTAGAAAATTGTGGGTGGGACTATGGTATCTCCTGCTTCTCATCTCTGCTCCCCGCGCCGAAAACCTCCTGCGAAGCGTAGGTAACATAGAGAAAACCATCCGTGCCAGCATATTCATTATAAACCTCTGCGAGCGTGAGCGATAAGCTGATCATGGAGCGATTATTTACTAACAAATACAGTGTCTGATTGGAACTAATCCGCATTCTATTCCGGATGATCGTGAGGAACTGAGACATTGTTATCTCTTGTGGGACTAGATATTTTGATTTGTCCAGTTGTGGCAGTGCAGTCTCCTTGCAAAAACGCTGGACGATTATCTGAAACATTCAAATGGCCATCAACAAGTGATAAGCACTGCACCACAACAAGCAGAGTGATTAATAAAGTCACCAATTAACAAAAATCCGGTTCATTTCTTGATAAGACGTCGACTCGAGAAATTATTAACATACTTACGGGTACTTTAGTTGGGAAGCGATTCCGAATCGCCATAACTTCCTCTTTGCGAATGTCTGAAACATAGAATATGTTATTTTAATTGTGACATGCGCCAAAAATGGGTCTGCCTTCGTACCTAGACTTTTAGGTGAGCGTTTTGAGTTGCAATTGCCATTTGGTGCGCTCATCACTCTGTTCAATTGTTGTTGCTGCTTCTCCGCTGGAGTATTACAATTGATATCTTGCCGTGTGGCCATGTTGAGTATGTTCACGCGCGCTACTTCTTCTCGGGCATTGTTCGCAGTGCTCGGCGCCATTTTGTCTTGTTTCTCGCGCACGACACAGCCGGTTATCGCTGTTTCACGGTTGATTTGGGTATCAATCATCCTCGTCGTCGTCGTCAACACTGCACTATTATTGCACACGCACAAAGAAGACGCTGAGAGCTTGGAAAACATCTAACGCCGTCCACACGCACCAATCGTTTGCAGTTTGTGTCGACTGGTTCGCCGTTGCAAGATGCAATAGGTGCATATCTATCCGCCGCCGTCTGTCCCCACTTTGTTGTTGACTGCTATCGTGCATAATGAGTGTGTTTGTTTGTTTGTTTGCGGCGATTGCGAACGATTATACATGAAACACTTGCAGGGGTTTGTTTTGTTTCTGGCCTCCGGCGAGCCTAGCAACAACAATTCGCCTTGCAGTGCTTAACACATATCTCAGACGATAACATACATCTTCTGCCAATCGAATCGAATGTTATTGAACTTATTGGTTCCGATAACAACTCGATTGATGTATTTTTCCACTGGCTCTTTAATAACTCTTTTCTTACATACATATATTTACAGGGCATTGTACTTGAGATGATTCTGACGTTATGCTACATGTACGCCACTCTTGTTCAGTGGTGGCGATTGGGTGTGCTAAGGCAGCGTCTTAGCGGCACCCTGCATAAACAGAATGCGTTGTTGTTGTGCTCTTCACCTACCTGCATCGGATCGCAGGAGGATGCACAGCGATCATTGGAAAACCTGCTCTATCAGCAAGAGGGACGAATTGCCTGTACCATTGTGCCAAGGGTAAGCCCAAATTGATAACATTCTGTATGCATTTAATAATTTACATTAATTTACTCTCTAGCAAAACGTTCATCTTGGGCAATGGGCATCTTTCCCAAAGGATCGTAAAAGTTTCCCGTTGCATTACCGCTGCTCGGGGTCTTCTTCTTCCTTCAGATGCACCAGTTCCAGTTCTAAGGTGCATCTGCTACTGCAGGCTAGTTTAGAATCTGGAAATAAACCAACAACCAAGATAGACTTCGTTCGTATGGAGCAGTTCGGTGAGCTGGTTGCATGGCGCGCGCAGGAATTCTTCGAGGTGGTGTTGAAGTCAGATCTGGACCGGTTGACTATCCTCATGAATAGTTTTCGTTTTCATGCAATAGGAATTAATCACGACTTACATTTAATTAAAGTAGAAGGTATGTTGTTTTAACTACTCACAAATTGTCTGATTCTCAACTGATTATGCTCCTATTGGAAGCTGTGGACGTTACTGGGATACCTGGAAAGATAAAATACGATCGGCGACTCTCTAAGCAGCGGTTTTCACGGGGCCTGCCCAAATTCAAGAGTTTGCCACTTGTCTAAGGCAACTCTACTTCAAAGTGAACCGTCAGTTTAAGTAAGTATGTATTTACTTAAATTATTCACATTTCTAAGCTGTTGTTTTGCAGTCCGAAAATTACGATAGAAAATGGTACTACTACTCCTACCCTACCCCCTGCCGCCATCGTGAAACCCCCCGAGGTAGAGAAAAAACCGGTGTCGGAAGTAAAGCCCATAAGAAAATCAACGAAAAATACGCTGGATGTGCATCATTCAGCTACGAAAAAGAAGCGCGAGAAACATGCTACCTCCACACCTGCGGTGGCACATGTCAAAGATGAACAAATAAAACAAGAGCCAAGTGCAGAGAGTAAATCGGAAGTCTCTGTAGAAAACAAAAAGTCCTATTCTGACGTAACCGCAACTCCTGCGAAAAATCTTCAGCGCCAGAACGCAACTTCTTTAGCATCGAAGGAAACCTCGCCCAACCGGCAACTCCCTAAACCACCTAATATTCTCGTCTACGCTGATACCACCCTTGCGAAGGAGAATGTTAAAGCAGTCTTGAAGACTATTATCAACAAGGATAAATACACTGTATATGATTTCCCGCGCAAGCTGGCGAGAACTTCTGGAACGACACAACTACGTTGGTGGTGGTTTGCGGGCAGGTACCCGCTGCGCTCACCTCCCATCTTCTGGGGTATCTTATTCATGGCGGGCAGTTGTTGTGTCTATGCAGTGATCTCCTCTACAGCGTTCTCCAGCCGTTTTCCACTGCTGAGGTGCGAGAGCATGAGTTGGTCCGCTTTTCATATGGAGAATGGAAGCGGGTCAAGATGATGCATCATATCTTCTGCTATCAAGCCTCTCCGGCGAAGAAGCAGTTCTCGAGGGAGGCAAGCGATGCTGGTAGCATGGGTAGCACAGGTAGTGCTGGTTCAAGCCCCGTTGCACCACGCACACCTTCAATTGTCGAGGTACACCACGAAGGGCGACGACATACTATTCAAGTGCAGGTCCTCGGCGCTGAGGAAACATGGCAAACCCCGAGTCTTTTGCTCGCCGCTGTGCGGGATAGTAACGGCGGCAAGGCTGTTTTTTCCCAGGTGCATCTCGAGGTAGACCCAACACAATATCAAGACGACGAGAGCAAGTTTACCGCGCTTAAAGACAGCAATCAGGCGCGCTTGGAAATAATGAAGCATATTCTCAGCACTCATCTGGATATTGATTGTAGTGTGCAGGGCAACAGCGCGGAGCAGTTAAAATACGAGCCTGCGTATTTTCTAGGCAGGCACGACGTGAGCGAGCGCTGATCGTCAACTCAGATCAAATCATTTCTCATTATTCTCATTATGTTGCAGTTGAAAATGCTGTTGATCAATGGGGGTGGCATTGTCGATGGTAGGCTGAAACTGCCCGAATTGGAAGTCAGCTTTGTTGCCAAGAACATTGATGACGGCCCATTGGAAGCTAAAGTTGACAAACTGCCAGTTATGGTACTGCAATGTCCCACAAATTTCTCAACGGTGGAATATTTTGACACGCTGGTCACTGAGCGTGTTGGCCGCTTGGTTATTTACGCGGATGTAATGGCATCCACGCAATATCTACTTGCGCAGAAACTCGCAGATGGTTTGGTTGTGATCGCCCGCAGGCAGACCGCTGGTAAAGGGCGCTCTGGCAACGAATGGCTCAGCCCTGATGGGTGCGCCATGTTTTCGCTTCAGCTGCATATCCCGCTCGACAGCCATTTAGGTCGATCTATACCAGTGGTGCAACATTTAGTGATGTTGGGAGTGGTTCTAGCTGCCAAAAGTGCTTCTGGTCTACAGGTAACTTCTTACCTGTCATAAATACCTCACAATTCTGATGTGCATTTTGTTGCAGACCTTGGACATTGGTTTGAAGTGGCCTAATGATCTCTATGCCTACGGCAATGTTAAGATTGGCGGCCTTGTGGCTTCCTCCATTATCGAACGAGATTTGGCGGTGGTTTCGGTTGGCTGTGGGATCAACCTCAGCAACCGTCAGCCTACGCTCTGCATTAATGATATAATAAGCGAGGCGCAGAAATCCCGCGTGGATGCAAGTCTATCACCGGAGAAGTTCTTTGCGGCCACGTTCAATGAAGTGGAAAAACTCATCGAGAATACGCAACGTGAGGGAGTTAATTACTTACTTGACTTGTACTACCGGCATTGGTTGCATACGAATGCAAATATCACGGTGGTCACTGCCGACGGTGCGTCGAAGAATGTTACGATTAGGGGTATGGATTTATTTGGATTTCTAGAGGTGCAGGACGATGCGGGGGTGATCAGCAGCGTCCAGCCCGACGGGAACACTTTTGACATGTTGCGCGGTTTAATTGCGCCGAAGATAACATCTTGTTGACTTAGCTAGGACGAAGAGATCTCTTTAAATATATTGCTAGTTTTGCTCCATTTTACGAATTAACGCTTCGCTAGTGTTTTGCGGTTGCTAACTGGAAAGCACATGTTACAAGCGATGTTTTATGGTGTTATATTGTAAGGGAATATATATATATATGTGGCTGATTTGTGAACATCAACGCAGATGGTATTTGTGGTTCTAAATTAAAGGTAAATTTCCATCTACAATTGTTCCATTTGACGATTGAATTAATCAAATTTGAAATGCTAGATGGCTTCATCCCGTGGTCACTTTGAGAACTAGCAGATTATAACCGTAGGCAACCCAAGAAGCACACGCGTCCTTGAACAATATATCCAACGGTGTTTGTGCATCGTCTTTAGCCAATTATATTGCGATTTTGTAAACGTTGCGGCGGGCTAACGTGCTAAATCCGCTGTTTATTATTGGAGGGACAGGTAAGCATCGCAGCCTGAACACGCTCTTTACGACCCCACAACTCCCGAGCTGTCTCACGCAATACGCAGTGAGCAACGAAATCAACAAGTGTCCCGAGTCACGTCGTAAATACGTCTAATTTTCGCATTTCCCGTGCACGTAAACTTCACAGAAAGTTTGGACGAGATAAACAATTAATCAATTTACGACAGTGAACTAGTCGCAGGTAGTATTCGATGAAGTAGGGCGTACAGCGCCGACGAGAATGCCAGCCAAAGGATTGTTCCTACCAGCATAACAAACAATCATTGAAAACTACAAATAAATCGTTGATTAACGCATACAGACGCCCCAATATGCAGTAGGACAACGCCTGTAATCTGGGGACACAAACATTCCATTAAAACGTGAGTTTTAGCTTCAAAATCTCCTCAAAAACTTAAAAAAACTTGAATGTGGTACAAGTCATAATAAAATCCACCATTTTTCTTTATTGTAAGCATTGTATTTGTTTAAGATGGTATATTAATGCTACTTGCTATGTAATTTTAGATTCCACTGATAAAACGGATTAATGCTTGCAAATATTAACCACAAGGCAGGAAACACAAGTAAACAACAAAATGTCCAGACAAGACAGATCAAAATCAGGCAGTAGTAATTTTGTGAGTATTCCACTAAAATCTACCAGCATAGTTGGATAGTTAGTCAGAGAGGAATTTGCAATTGTTAAATCCATATTCGCACTGATAACGCGTCCGTTACAAGCTATATTTATTACTTAGATAAGATTATTGCCATGTTTCATTTTTGTAGGCAACCCAACCCACAGCCAACAATCAATGTTTAGTAGGAGACTTGAAAATTACACGATTTTAAACACTATTTGCACAAGAATGCATATTAAATGATCAAATCTAATCATTTACAATCAGAAAACTTGCCCCCAATTTAATTTGCGTTGAATAAGAGTCAAAGTCATTAGGAAAACATTAACAATTCATGAATTAAATGTTTATTATGTTTATTGCAGCAGTAAAGTTAATCGCGCGTCTATTTTTTACGCCCGTGTAGTTTATTATTATTTACAGACGCCGCGTTTGTGTAATTGGGTCAAAATCATACTTTTACTCGGCTTTTTCCATGCGCGTGGGAGGCCCGTTAAAAAATGAACTTGTTTGTCGCGCATTGCATCTTTTGGACAACAATGACAGTGCGGGCCAGTCGGCAATAAAGAAAAGTGAGAGTTCAGAAAACAAAATCACACATTAAGTCGCGGGTCAGTCATGTGCGCGTGCGCGCACCGATGTCGTTAAACGCGCTAACATTAACGACGACTTCGAACTTTAACTTTATTTATTTGCATTTGCGCGCGCTCAGCGGAAGCTACCAGTGTAAAATCTCGTCTATTTGTGATACTATGTTAGAAATTTTCTAAAAGCTAGTTATTTATTGTACGAAAATGTATAACTACGTAAGTAAGCCTTTGCTGTATTTTTTCGATGGAATTTGTTGAAAATTGTCAAGGCTAACCACATTTTTAACACATTTCTCAGCTGCTATTAGAAATTGATGTTAATAATTGTGCAGATAGTGAGTAATTCTATGGCATTCGCCGTTTTTTGATTAAAGTGCATGCGAATTGATAATTACCACAACGAACTTGTGCCGGCCGTTACCCACGCGCCATTACTCGGCGAGATGAGAGATGTGTTTTATTTCGTAGATGACGTAATTATGTAAACATCTGCATCTTCTACATCTATATCTCTGTTTAGACATCTGATTAGTTTATATTTTGTATTTTCTCCTGCAAATTACTGTCAACTGATTGTGATTTGCTTTGCAGTTTGAAAAATGGATGACTGGAGGCAAGAAGAAACCACCTGGGCGACCAGGAAGTCAAATCGGGCGTCCTTTAAGCGAAACGGATTTTGGCTACGGCGATGTGGAGGCGGCGCCCGCCACCGACAGTTACCAGCAAGCCATCGAGCAAATGACAGATAAGGAACTTATGCGTACCTTTGACAAATTACTTGATGATATGAACTTGACCGATGCAATGCGGCAGCCATTACGAGATAAGCCGGCTGATCAAAAAGCAGATGCTTATTATGCACCACAGTGTTAAGCAGGACGCACGCAGCAAGTTTGATAAACCCCAACAATATATTGATTATTTTAAGCACTTTCTTAGTGACAGACAGAATCTGAGCGCGACCAAGTTAGGCAATTGCGTGGAGAGTTTGCGCATCGCACTTACGAACAACACTCTTACCTGGGTGAATGATTTCGGGGAGACAGGGATGCACACGCTTTTTGAAATTTTACAATATTGTACAACAACGTAAGCAAAATATTAAGTATATTATACAATGTGTAATATTTCTGTTTGTGTTTTTTAGTAATCACGAGCCAAAATACGAACGCATTCAAATCGAGTGCTTAAAATGTCTAATAAAGTACATAAACAATACAGAGGGTTTAAGAAGCTTCCTACAAAACAGCCAGGGCCAACAACATGTCACAAAATGCATTGATTACAAAAAACCGCAAGTATCAATTGTAGCACTTCAAATCATGGCCGCTTTGTGTTGCCTCCGCGATGAAAAATACATCGGATCCGAAACAGCCCTTCTTGCTGTCACCGAAGTGGCTGATTCGCGAGGACAGGAACGCTTTACAATAATCACCGACTGCATAAACCGTACAAAAAACGAAGACCTCTGGTCCAACGCATTGAAGTTTATCAACGCTTTACTTTCACTCACCGATGATTTTGAACTTCGAATTCACCTACGGAATGAAATCGTGCGCAATGGATTGTTTGAAATGTTGGAGACACTGAGCAGGAGCACACAGCATAATGTCCGCACACAATATAAACATTTCACTAACTTTAAGGAGGAAGACGCTGAAGAGTTGAATCATCGATTTAACGATGTCCGTATTGAAATGGACGACGTGAGTGACTTGTTTGAGTTGATAAAGAACCTCACACTTAACACGACTGCCGAAACGTACCTTCTTAGCATATTCCAGCATTTTTTGTTTATACGGGATGATTTAGCGGTGCGGAATTCGTACTTTAAGTTGATTGAAGAAGTTATTTCTCAGATTGTATTGCAAAAGAACGGCTTAGATCCGGATTTTTCGCGTAGACATTTGAATATTGATGTGCAGAACTTGGTTGATGAGATTAAGGAGAATACGCATGTCTCGGAGGTGTCGGAGGGTAGATATTTAGAGATGCAGAGGCAATTAGAAGAAGCATTGGCTGCAAAGGAGGAAGCTCTTGCCAAGATGGCAATCATGGAAGGTAGAGCTAGTGGTTCTGGAGATGGAAAAAGTACACTACCTCCACCTCCACCTGGATTATCAGGGATGCTAAGTGCTGGTGCAGGAGGACCACCACCACCTCCTATTCCTGGTGCAGTGGGAGGAGGACCTCCGCCACCTCCGATGATGCCTGGAATGGGTGGGCCTCCTCCGCCACCTATGCCAGGAATGAGTGGAGGACCACCTCCACCGCCTATGCCTGGTATGGGTGCTCCACCTCCACCACCACCTCCGATGATGGGCGGTGGACCACCACCACCGCCGTTTGGTGCAGCGCCTATTGGATTGCCTGGAATGGCAGGACCCCAATTACCGGCTGGTCTTAAACCCAAGAAAAAGTGGGACACGAATGGTCCATTGAAGAAGGCCAATTGGAAAACAATTATTCCGCATAAACTAACGGAGAAATCATTCTGGTTTAGAGTAAAAGAAGAAGACCTTGCAAGTACTGATATTCTTGATGGTCTGGCTCAAAGGTTCACATCGAAACCACTGCCGAAGAAGTTTGATGATGTTGATAAGTATGTATTGTCTGTTACTATGTTTTAATACTAATATTTTCTTTAAAATGATTTTAGAATGGCAAATGTTGGCACAATGAAGAAAACGAAGGCGCTCAAGGTCCTCGATGGTAAAACAGCGCAAAACATCAGCATCCTCCTCAGCGGGTCCCTAAAACACATGGCTTATGAAGACATCAAGACCTGTCTCCTTCGCTGCGACGAGAGCGTGCTAAGTGAAAACGTTCTCGAACAATTAATTCAATATCTCCCACCTCCTGATCAACTACAGCAGTTTAAACAATACAACGACAAATACGATGAATTGACAGAAGCGGAACAGTTTTGCGTGAAAATGGCGGAGATAAAGCGCCTCTTACCCAGATTAAAATCGCTTAGTTTCCGACAGAATTACACCGAAATGGTCGGTGATATTAAACCGGAAATAGTTGCAGCGACAGCGGCGTGTCAAGAAGTAAAGAAAAGCAAGAAATTCGCTAGAATTTTAGAGCTTATTTTACTCCTGGGTAATTACATGAATACTGGATCGAGAAATGCGCAAGCTTTTGGGTTTGAAATTAGTTTCCTAACGAAGTTATCCGGAACAAAAGACATCGAGAACAAGCAGACACTTTTGCATTATATTGTAGAGACGGTGGAGAAGAAGTTTCCGGATGTGTTGCATTTTATGGATGAGATGCCACATATTGATAGGTAAATATTGTTTAATACTGTTTTAAACGTAATGTTGAAATTGTTGTAATTTTAGTGCTAGTCGTGTGTCCTTTGACACCATACAAAAATCTCTCAGCCAAATGGACAAAGAAATCAAGAACCTCGAAAACGACCTCAAGAACAACCGAGTACCGCAGTGCGACGACGACAAATTCTGTGAAGTCATGGATAAATTCGCGCGTGAAGCACGTGAACAATGCGCGGTAATGCAAAACATGTTCAAAAAGATGGAAAACTTGTACGGAGAACTAGCTGAATTCTACGTCTTTGACAAGAACAAGTATGCCCTTGAAGAGTTCTTCACCGATTTAAAAACATTTAAAGATTCATTCCTGGAAGCCAAGAGAGATAACGATAAAGAGCGCGAGATTGCAGAGAAGAATCAACGCGCGAAAGAGGCGCGCAGGAAAGCAGACGCCGAGAAACAAGAACGCGAGGCGAGAAAGAAAGCGCTCATTGACATGAATCCATCGGAGACCCAAGAAGGTGTGATGGACAGTCTGCTGGAAGCTTTAGCAAGTGGTACCGCATTCAGCAGAGAACAGAGAAGACAACGAGCACCCAGACTGGCAGGCGCAGATCGTAGAGCTCAATTAATACGATCTAGGTCAAGATCCAATGTCTTACAAGGAGCTGGTAGGGATTTGCGTGAAATTGTCGCGTCGTGATGGATTGGAAAATTGATTAATTGCGCATACTGTCATTCTGACAACGAATTTTGTACATTTCCGATACCGAGACATAACTCTAGGTGCTTTTTGTTACACTTGTACATATTAAATGATCTATATATTGATATTCATGTGAACACCCTGTACGCCATTCCTGTATCAATCGCGTAAACCATTGCCAAAAAGTTGGGATGTTTGAACGAGGCAGCTGGCGATTTCGTAATGTGTTGTCACTTGGCACAAGTTCGGATGCTTCAGTGCGATGTTTGCGTTTATTATTACGCAGTCAGCGCAAAGCAAGCAAAGAGAACTACAGAAAAACAAATCAAGGTACGCGTATAATCTAATTATCCAACATGGGTAAAGGCAAGGGTGGTGGTGGTGGTGGTGGTGGAGGTGCCGGTGGTGCACAGAAAGAAGATGTAAGTTGCAATATTTAAATATCTATAATATTAATATGTAATTATTATAGAAAAAGGGCGGTGCGAAAGGCGGCGGAGACAAAAAAGGCGATCAGAAGGCTGCTGCCGCCGCTGGGGGCGCTAAAGGCGGCAAGAAAGGTGGAAAGAAATGACAGCCGCCATTTAATCACTCATCGCATTTTGTTCTGTTGGCAAATATACATATAATATTATATTTATAAATGGGTATCAAAAATAATAATATAAAGTCTGTGATTGAATCAACTACATTGGTGCAAATAATCATTAATTCTTAGAGTATTGGTTTGCTGAGTGGTTACAAGGCATCTAGAGTGACAAATTACACGCGGGCCGCAAAGAAGAGCGAGAGTATTAATGGTAACCATAGAGAGGCTGAGACAGAACGGGCAGCGGTACCTGTCGCATCACAAATTTTCGCAACTTCACTACCTTTATTAGGTAGGTATTTACACAATGTACCGACGAAATTTGTCTGTGCTTCTTGACTTTCGTCCTTGCCGTTGAAGGTGATGGTCGGTACTGACGTCAGTGGCGGTTTAAGCTCGTCGGTTTTGAAACCGTAGCTCGCCAAGTATTTTTGTCCTGTAAATTGAAACATTTAATCATAATTATATGCAGGATAAAGCAAGGAATTACCCTCGACATGTTTAGCACAATTTTCCACCATGGCGGCATTCACACCCTCCGTTTTAAGCACGCATTTTGTGATCGGGAAAACGTTTGGCGTTTGCGAGCGATCCACGTCTGCCATTAGACAGTTAATAAAGTCAAGCGCTCGCCGATTTGCCGGTTCTTCTTTGCCATCAGCGACGATTTTCAGCCCACACGCGTGTATTTTATTCCCATGGCATTCGTCTTCGCCATGATGACAAGAAAAGTTATAACCACGGATCTGCTTGTCGTAGATATTACTTGACTTGCCGTATGGTATCAGCCACAAGTTTACTTCATCAGCTAATGTGCCATTGTATCCGGTGAGGGCTGGATACAATTGGGTGTTGATAAACCTCCGCGAATCTGGGCACAGTGATTCGTAATACACGGTGACATTCACCTGTAAATCCAGTAAATACACGTTATAGGTAGTACACGAAGTGTATAACTTTCAAATAGTGTGGCGCCATCTGCCATTTACACTTATACTAAAAGATAATTCATGGGCGTGATCCAGTATAGTTTCCTTCGTTTTCGCAAGCTTGGATCAATATCAGTGGCTGGTAAACTATTCTACTTTCTTGTTCTTATCTTGCTTACCCTTGTATCAGCAGATATTTCTAGCAACACACACAACCCTACAATCACCCAGATTGATAACCTTATCATTTTATACTAATACTTTCACTAGTTATAACGATCTTTCCAGAAGACCAAGAATGTCAACAACTTCACCAACCACACCAATCAAATAATGGGAAAGCTTATTCTCTCATGACTCACACTTTGACTGCCCACACTGGGTGATTCTTAACTTAAATATGGCGCTGGGTTTAAAATAGTTTTTATTATAAATACTTTTGAGAGTAACAAAATGTGGTAAAAACGTGAGAAATATGACGAATTTGTTAATTTTGAACATGCGTTGCTTACCACTTCCTGTGATTGGGAAATTTTCGCGATTTTGTGATCCGCTATTAAATTCCCCCAAAAATTACCTTTTACCTTCTGACTCCTCTCTTCGTCGTACAAATTGTCAATGGCAATGGCTGGAAAGTCAGTAATAGGTGGTTTGATACTTTCTGTTCGCGTTCCGCAATTAGCCAAATAATTATCTTCACATTTACTCAAATTTGTTGGTTTAGAATCTTTAAATAAGTCGCATATTTGCCTAAAAGTGGCAAAAGTAACGTCTCTCCCGGCATTACGTTGTAGAACACAGGCATGTTCGCGAATTGCAGCACAATCTCCATCATCACACTCAAACTCATACTGTTTCTTAACTCGGTTGTACTGCTGTCGGGCGTTTCCAAATGGAACCAGCTCGAGATGCATTTTATCAAAATAGTTATCATCCATTAAACAAACGATTTCATTGAAGAACTTTGATGATGCGTCATTTGTGTCGTAGAAAATTGTCACGAACGGCTGAAAGGCAGGTTATATAACATTGTTTTGGTTTAGTTTATGGATAAATACCTTCTGATCTGATGTTAGAAGAGATTCGAGTGGATAAAATATGATTAAAAGGGTCCCAAACAACGTAAATTTCATTTTCACTGTTCATCTTATCAGTCATATGATGACACCATTTATTACCTTTAGCGATAATAGAAAGCAAGCGCGCCAAATTTTAAAATTATCGAAAATATATATTATGAGTCATTGGAACTGTCCAATAACATTCACGCGTCATATTTCTTGGTAGTGATTAAACGATTATTATTATGCTTACTTCTTCCCCCCTTCACAGTCGACTTTGTGCTTGAACTTTGCTGTGATCTACAACTTATTATCTTTGCGCGGTGGTGGCGGTAGTTAAGCCAGTTAGTGGAGTTAGCGCTCGGCTATAAGTGGTGGTCACTCGCTTCGGACTTGAGTCAATCACTCACATCTCGCCGAGCATCAATAAACTTCCTAATAAGGAAATGCGTACCATGTTAATCTTTGTGATAGTGCTGCTAGGGGTTGTGCAGAATGGAAAAGGGCACAGTTATAGCCTAGGGGCATGTCCAGTCGTCGAACCACAGCATGATTTTTCCATGAATAGAGTAAGTTTTGTATATTATCAACATTTAATTCACTTGTGGTCTTCTTTGTAATGTAATCAAAGTTGTATATTATTCAATTAACGTCATCGCGTCGTGCGCAATAATGTGGTGTATACAATTGCTGTATTGTTGGTTGCAGCTCTTGGGCGTATGGTATGCTGTTCAAAAAACTTCAACGGGTAGCAGTTGTATCACGTATAACTTTACACGATTGACCGAGCCATACACCTACGAATTAGAACAAGTCAGTCAACACTTTGCTCTTGGTTTAACACCGTTAAAACATGAATATCACTACACTGGAAAACTGTCCGTACCTGATGAAGCGATCCCGGCAAGGATGAAAGTGCGTTTTCCACTGAGTGTTGCCGGAAGTGCGATGTACACAGTCTTCATGACTGACTATGATAATTATGCAGCTGTGTTTACCTGCCAGAAACTCGCATTTGCCCATCGTCAATCGGTGACGATTTTATCCAGAGAGAGGACTTTGGATAAAATGTTTTTAGACAAGGTATAATCAAATAAATTAATTGTTTAAAAGTTTATTATTTATGTTTATGTTTAATAATTAGATTCGTAATCGTCTGACGACCTACAATGTGGATCCATTTGATTTATCCATCATTAATCAGCGTGATTGTCCACGGTATAATGGCTCAGGAGTGAATATTAACATAGATCAAGATACCTTCTCGCCGCAGTCGGTCGGTAATGTAGTGCGCAAGGCAGGAGAAAAGATTGGGGATGGCGTCGAGTATGTTGCCGGTGGTGTTCGTAAGATATATCATAAATACAGCGATGATGACGAGTCCGATGAGGCTGGACATGTGTCCGCAGACAAGATCAAACCAGCAAGGGGTCGCTATGTTACCCCTGATCCACAATCAGAGTGGTTGCCATGAGAACAAAACGCAGAGAGAGATGATATCACAGCGTAGAATTTAAGTTTGATTTAAATAAACATAAAATAGAAGAAATGAGTGTTGCCTATTTGAAATAGTTTCCACACATGATCAAAGGTGGCGCATTGTGTATGAAACTTGTTAAATCGCTCTTTATTATTTCCTTCTCTCACTCTCGGGCACTTTGTTCGCACGCTGAGCGAGCGCGCTTGAGTTCCGAGTTCTACCTGAGGCGCGGGCTGGCGGCGGCGTTTCGTTCGCCGCGGATCGTAGGATATTTTTAGTAGTCGGACAGCGGGCGTTTGAGTCGCATGTGTTGACGTGTTCCGTTTCTACGTGAGCGGAGAGCGCATCGACCGCGACGAGCCAAGTGACGGCGAGAGTATATTCCGCAACGAACACGCGAGGATTATCCGTGAGCGTGTCAAAGCGAAACATTTCGTGTTCGGTGCAGGATACTCCACATTCTATTAACTTTAACTATTGTGACGAGTCCAGAATTGGAAGACTGAAGCAGACGCCGCAGAGAAAATGTCGAGCAAACGGCAATCGTCTAGGCAGCTGGTGAGTTATTGAAAAAATCGCTGATTATGAAAAGATTGGAAAATTCTTTATCAGATAAAAATATAAAATAAATATATTTCTTACAGTAAAGATTCGTAAATGCAACTAAAAGTGCTAAAAGTGACATTCTCAATTTTGACTATTTTCTTCAATCGCGAATATCTCACGTAAACTAAAAGAGATAAATAGATCTGATCGCAACGTCTTAATCTACACGGACCAATCTCTATCAGATAGGATAGTTAAAAGGAAATCCTGAGAGAGATGAAATTTTAAGTCTTAAGAGAAAAAATTGCCAAGGGGTGCTTGATACTTTTTCGGCTTGATTTTCAAAAATTCATATCTCATAAAGTAAAAGAAGATAACCGCAAAGAAATCGCTGATTATGAAAGATTGGAAAAGTGCTATCAGGTAAAAATATAAAATAAATATATTTCTCCCACAGTAAAAGGTTGGAAAATGCAACTAAAAGTGCTAAAAGTGACATTTCTCAATTTTGACTATTTTCTTCAATCACGGAATATCTCGTAAAAGAGACCATAGAATCTGATCGCAGCGTCTTAATCTACGGACCAATCTCTATCCAGATGGGATAGTTAAAAAGGGAAATCTAGAGAAATAAAATTTTACATCTTAAGAAAAAAAAATTACCAAGGAGTGTGATACTTTTTCGACGATTTTCAAATTAATGCTCTCTTAAACTAAAGCGGTATATGAAAGAAATCGCTGATTATGAAAGACTAGAAAATTCTCTATCAGATAAATATATAAAATAAATATATTTCTTGCAGTAAAAGTTCAAAAAACGCGAGTAAAAGTGCTAAAAAGTGACATTTCTCTATTTTTGACTATTTTCTTCAAATGTAAATATCTCGTAAACTAAAAGAGATAGGTACATAGGATCTGATCGCAGCGACTATTCTATTCTATCCCTATATGATAAGCTAGCTAAATTGTTAATTTAAAATAATAATGAATACGGAAAAATGGGCAAATGCTTATACGCATCATGATTCTATCTCGTGAAATTTAAATAAATATTACATTTTTGTACACAAATGCAATAACTCTAACCTATAGGTATGAGGCGTGATGTTCAAATTTAAAGCTGCGTTTTACAAGTTTGTTTCCAATATTAAATCATAAATCGTATCGTATAAGCGCTTTTCTTGCAACAATTAAATACAACTAGATAGAGAATTTAATTCTGCATATTTAAACTAAGATGCGGCAATGATCGACGGTAGGGGATCGCAACAACGGCACGCGGGTATCTTACGCGTAGCATCTCAGCTCATCGAAGGCGATAAACAAAAGTTGTTTATACACAAACGCAGATAACAGCATTGTATTCAACAGCAAATACCATTCTCGTGCCGAATGACCACGTTTACGGACAAATATAAAAATACGCAATACAAGTCTATTATATTAAAATTTCAAATTTAAACGGCAAGGTACTAGGTAGTACTAGGTACTAGGTAGGTACTAATATAAAAGATGAAAAATTTCACTTACCAATGTATCGAACTCTATAAATCGACGGCAAGTAGATACTCAAATAGACAAGAAACAAAACATTAATTAAACCATCTAAACCATTTAGTGTTGAAATATTAGGATATTAGGACATTTACCATATAGCCCGTTAGTCAAATACTCTGCTGATGGCAAAATAGTTTCCACATGTCCAAAATTAACTACAATATTATTTAGAATCGCACAACATGGCCGGTCGACGTCCGACGGCAACCGATCACAAAATAACTCGAAAAATATTCTAATCTCGCAACATCTACAATTTCACAAGATTCACACGCTAGAAATATCTAGCAGAATACCGAACACGTCTATTAACACTCAATTCAATCAAATAAAACGCGATCTACCGAATTTACAAAACGAAACACGAATACCCATTTAAATATTATTACTTATCGCACGAAGTAAGAGTGGCGTGCCGGCATCACAACAACTGCGCGCCGACCTTCACTAACAGGAATAATTCTTAGTCGAAACATACATGGTTGCGCCATCTGAGGATTCTTTATAGTACCGCAAAAACGTACAAAGTGTCTCAAAAACAATGACGTGCATATGAGGCAGTGAGCGATTGCCTATGTGTCAGTGAGTGGTCACGCGCTTAAACGACCGTGTCGGTGTGTCACACGTACGCGCAACTGGGCATGCATCACCCTATCTAAACGAAGTGACTGGCATGAAACTGGCTGCAATCCGCGGATAGTGCATGCCGTACTGCCGAGCGAGCAACAGTTTATGATAAGAAAGTAAGAGAGGCGCAAAGCAGGCGCGTCGACGGCTCGCAACATGGTGCCCGAACTAAACTAAGATGCGGCAACGTGCGGCGTGAGGGGAGGGCAACAACAACACACGAGAATACGATAAGAAAATATAAATTGTGTTCAAAACAAACTCACATCGAATGCCTAAGTTTATTTTACTATTTTTAGTTCATTCATGAGCCATCTATGAATGATGCATATGATAGTCTCGCAATTTAGATTATTAAATGCAACAAAAATTTAAAATTGTTGATATGAATGTAATTTGAATTTATTATTGCGAAAATTGAGCTAAGGTTGCGGTTCTTTCATAAACTAAAAGCAAAGAGGAAAACGGATACCAGACTTTTCAATCTACGGAAAATTCTCTATTAGATAAGCTAGTTAAATTAGTAATCTAAGAGATGAAATTTTAATTCATAAGAAAAAATTGACATATCTTCCAAACTAACAAAGCTATAAATCAGCAAATTGTGGATTATGAAAGATTAGAAAATTCTCTATTACATAACGCAAGAAAGTCGTGAAAATTGTTGGTGCCTACCTTCAATTCGACTCCAGGAGTAGGTACTCCCCCGCTGTCCCTCTCATCGCGGATGGATGGATCCCATTCGCGCACTCGGTTTACTCCCGCACTTTCGGTTACTATTCGCGACGCGCACTCGAAGTATTACGTTACACCTCTTCAGGTTGTTCACGCCGCAACGAATGCGTTATTTCTTTTCATGCAGATACACTTAATGACCGCGCAACGTGCAACGCCCGACCCGAGTTCACATCTGACCTGACTGAAAAATAAGCAGAAAGACTAATCAATGTTTGTACAAATTCAAACGCAAGATCAACTTAGTAAACAAATATCGTAAAGAAGAAAGGTCGTTTTCATATCACAGTACGCAGGTTGTAGATGCATGTATGTACGTGATTGTAAAACAGAACATACAAATGCAGTAATGCCATGAAAACTGAGAGTTAATACTAAATACCCTAAATTATTAATACACTTACCTTTTAGATCTGCACTTAAATAAACCTGACAATAGTCATGCAATTTGTCGTCTCCTGTTCCAATGACTACGATCGTGGACTGCGGTAAACAAACAAACGTGGCAATACGCTGTGCGGAGGACGAACAATCAGCATTACGCCCCTCTAACACGGCTCAATCCCCTCGGTAGGGGTGTTCAACGCACCCTTCAACTATAAGGGTAGGAACGACTACAGCCAATCGGGTGAATCTTTGCCAATGTCTCCTTTGCTCCTGCTTGCTCCTGCCTTTTGGTCGTGTTGTTCTTATAATTACTGCATCGTTTCAAGGAAATACACCATCATATAGGCACCTATAAAAAACATACATAAATTAGTATTACAACCAAATAGTCCAAATTCGTTTGAAATTCTCATTGCATTAGAGAAATTGTGATTAATGTGAATACAGTAAGCCATAAACTAGTTCGGTATTAGGACAATTTGCAAAAGACGCAAACACCAGAGCGTCGCTTTGTGAACATCCGCCATTTTTCTGCTACCAACACCACAAAGATTTCAAAAATACGCAAGCATCCGCAGAGAAGGCAAAAATATAGTATAATTCTCTCACCGTTCGTTGTTTTCCCCGTCGATTTAGATCCATCTCAGGCCAGTCTCATTGATTTTACCCCGGGATTCACTTTGATTTCGACGAAGCACTGAGACCGCTTGTAATCTGCACAAAAAACAGAAGTACAGTTGCGCAGTTTTCCGACGCTAGGACGCGGCGCATGAGCACGTAACGCCTCGCTCGCCGGGGTGATTTACGTACCATAGATAAGTACTTTTCCGGACGTTAGATTCTAATACTCCGGGAAAACAATTTAGCTACCTCGTTGAAATAACTGTATGACCTGCTGAACAATGGCACAACTGACACACGCAAGCATTTTTCGTGTGCGTGAAAAATTGCAACTTCTTGTACCGCTAGCGCCCCCTGGCACTTGATATAAAACTACTCTTGCAAACTAAAACTACAGTAGCGCCATCTATCAAACAAGTACTCATACAAAATGCGCGCTGTAATTTAATTTGTGAACAAGTTTATTACACCGCCACTAGAGCACCATACTTATATCACAATCTTAAGAATTCTCCCCGACAAGATATTAATATGAAAACAAACGATTTAATAACAAATAATTTCCAATGATCGTCCAAAACAATTACTCACTATAAATTATTGCAATAAACAGTAGACTGTAAGTGAATGCAGCAAACGAGAGTCAATTTATGCCATCATGCGTAACTCTTGAAAGAAATGTTTTAAAGACTCTTGAAATACTTTTGTACAACACCTTGTTGCTGAACCTACAGCCATACAGAAACCACCCACAAGCCCTGAAAGTCACCGCAGGCAAACAAAATGCCTGTTAAATAAAACGAAACAAAGCCAGCCCCAGCTGCTCCGCCGCATGATCAACCTCCAAGCACCAAGCATTTAGTAAACTTTCAGTTGGTGCTTGTCATCAAACCCAGCCGAATGTCCAGCATTGCGCACAATAAAACTAGCACCATCGTAATGCATCCTGCGTTCACCTCGACGCACAAACAAGTGGCGAGTTTGGCCCATTGATCCAGTACAATGCAAAAACGGAGAACTAATACGCGCGGATCCATTCGATGGCGATGTATGCAGCGAAAACTTATTCGAATTACGACCCAATCTAAAAAGAACTCATTTTCAATCCTTTACCTATAGATTTAATGCATTAACGATAAATATACCTGACTAATCCATCTGTAGTTTGCGACACACGCACATTATTAATCAACCAATTACTGGTGCCATCATCAGACACCCAATACGTTGAGTTCTGCAGAAGATTCACCGCCTCGTTGATCAAATTCTGCCCGACTGTGTTCTCATTATACGGACTCTCCGAGCAAAACACCGAAATGGAGAAGTCAACGTTGAGATCACTGAATGTGTCAGTGGTGGTGCGTGTTCCTGCCGAGTCCACCAGATAAACAAGCGCACATTGGTCGCTGGTGAAGCTCACACCCTTGTACCACATCTTGGCGTACTTGTTGTTACCATGCGGATCATGTGCGAGGATCTCCACGCGTGAACCATACTGGTACACCCTGCCATTCGGGTGCATCAGAGCTGCAGTACTGCCGGAAGCACTCAGTGCAATCACAATCCCACTACGTGGGTTGATGATGCGCACGGCGCGATCTAGGGAGATATCCACACGCACACGATCGTGTAAGCGTAGAGTGATCACGCCCAGAGGACTCACGCAGATGGGGGATGAATCTTCATGGTAGATTTCATGCTGTGGAGATATTTATATTGAAATTATTAGGTTTATACTATGTATAAAGATTATGTGTTTTGTGTACGTTGTAATCATCGATAAAGATGTTCTTGTTGGAGAGGCTCTTGGACAGCCAGGGTACGACCGCCTCGTAGCTTTTGGAGTCCCGCAGGCTGCCGGAGTTGTCGCTGTTGTGCGACTTGCTCGTGTAGACGCTGCGGCTACGCGGACGCGGGCGGTCACGATCCTTGCGATTGTACAATATATTTGTTTGACTATCGACAAACGAAACTGCAAAATATAAATGATAAGAAACTCGAAATTCTGTATTTAAAATTATTTTTACCCTTGCGATAGAAAACCTTTTCGCGTGGCTTTTCCATAATGCACTTTATATTTAATGTCAAACAATTTGTCTTGATTGAAAATAAATAAACGTCGGCGTGTTGTCTACAATATTTTTGTGTCGAAAAAATCTAGAGATCCCAAATAGATAATTTGAAAGTCTTGATAACTGTTAGACCAACACACGTGTAGAATTATGTTACAATTTAAGTTCGGGTATTAAATCACTTGCAACACGCCACGACTAACAAAATTGATTTGAATGGATGCTGTTTGAACTGATATATGAACGATTTGTCGATACAAAATGTAGAGCGGCTGTTTGTTTTAAACGTTGCTGTGGGAAAGCCGTTTCCTTTGTTTTTCGTATTTACACAGCAAACTTTAGAAAAATATTCGAATATACGAGCTGACACGAAGTCGCACTTCGGGTATGATCGTAAAAGTAGGGGAGTCACGATCGCAAACGTAGGGGAATCACGTGGTAGCGTTACCAACCTAAAATTTAAAATGTAATAAAAATGTCCCTACGATATAAATGGCACGACTGAACATAAAAAGCAATAATAAAAATTAAATAACTTATTATTTAATGTTTATTATCACAATTAAACCCTGTAGGCACACGTAATATGTTATTATATGTAGATTTCATACCCTCTTGTAGAAAACCAACAATATTTTCGTACGCCTTGTGCCAATCACAATCATTTTTCTCATTTATGTTCCTAAAACCAACCGAAAAACACAAAATAAACTAATATTAACACTCTTTAAATATTACCTATGCAAGTATTTAGCGTAAATATACAGCTTCTCAATTCTTCGCTGCATAGCCATTTGCTTGAAATATTTTCCGAGCATATCCACGTCGACTTTCAAGGGCTTTGAATGAGATTGAAACCAATTTGCAAACATGTTCATAAAATCCTCATGAGAGAGCGAATCAAAACCAGTAGCAGTAATATTCTGAGCCTTTGCTTTTGTTTGCCTAGTCTTTTTTGTTATTTCTTCACTATCGGGCTTTTTATTATCAGCTGCAGTTGAAATAGTTGTAGCAGAAGTTCCTGGAGTTTGACTCGATTTAAACTCATCACAAACTTGATTTTGCAACTGTAAATTGTATTCTTTCATAATCTCTAAACGAATATCCTCTGGCAACTCTTGCAAGACACTCATATCTAAACTCGCGCTATTCTGATAGCTATTATTAACTAGTTTACCGCTTTGCGGTCGATCTTTTTGCGTAGACTTGAAAAACGTCGATAAATTCTTTGAACTGGCACCTGACGCAATAATACTTTTATTTTTCGATGGTCTACCTCTACCTTTAACGTTAACTTTTGAAGTGACTTTAGCTTCCAGTTCACTTTTTACAGCTTTATCAGTGTCTACTGGCTTCGGATTAGTTGTAGCTGTGTTGCTAAGAAAGTTTTTGAGTAACACATTCATTTTTTGACCTTTTTCAAGCTTGGATAATTGAATTCCAAGCCCTCGGAGCTCATCAAAGGGCACAGCGAGTTTCTCAAGCAGATTTCTACTCTCCTTGATGATAATTTTACAATCATCAGTTGTTGTTTGCAGTGAGGTACTCTTGGACATGCTGTCACATACGCCATGCCCAAGATACTTGGCGGTTTCCTAAATAATAACAAAATGAATCACAAAAATACAAAATAAACAATAATAAAAACATTATAATTACAGTTGGCGCATCCGCTGCTCGAACCATCAACTTCAACGTGACACATTTCGCCTTCATTCCTGTCTCGATCAACCTGGACGTAACTTCTTCAGCCAACCTCTCCAAAAACTCAACATTTTCTTTCATATTTTGAAAACGTATTCCATAATTGACTTCAGCAGACACTGATTTTCTTTCGTGCTCATACTGCAGAGGTTTCTTATCAATCCCCGCAGCTTGATCATAAATAGTCTCACCGAGTTTCATCCCAATTTCTTTCTGTAAAGTCTGCAGACTGAATGACTGCACATCTCCGCACGTCTGCAACCCTAAATTACTCATCTTGGCCAGAGTAGCCCTTCCTACACCTGGCAACTCAGCCAGAGGCATATCATGGAAATATCCTATCACTTCAGAGGGTGTAAGATAATATTGTCCGTCTGGTTTAGCGCGTTTTGTTGCAAGACGCGCCTGGAGACGATTGGAACCAAATCCAGTTGAACATGGACAGCCTGTACGCTGTTTTATTACTGAACGTATATGTTCAGCAAATAATTCCACGGTGGTGTGGTTAAGTAGATCTGTGATGTTTACATACATTTCATCACAACTTACAGCCTCGATGTTCAAAGTATATTCGGAGATTGTCGTGTATAAAATCTTGGAAACTTCTTTGTAATCCTAAAAATACCATTTAAATAATATTTAATTGTTAAATGTAAACAAATTAAGTTTCATGCTTACATCAAAGTCGTATGGAATCGCACGTAATTCTGGACATAATTTGAGTGCTTGTCCCATAAACATTCCGTTTTTTACGCCTTGTTTACGCGCCTCGTAGCTGCAGCTAGCAATTTCCGATAGAGAGCTGTTGTCGTCGATGTCCTGCAGGCGAAATTCCGCTCCCTCAGGTAGTCTTTCCTTATACATAGCTATTTCTGCGCTTCTATCCACATGTGCTCTTCCTTGGCCTGTTTTTGAATGTGTTACAGCAACTGGTTGGCCTCTCAACTCCGGCCGATTGCGTATTCCAACAGAAACAAAGAAACAATCCATATCAATGTGCATTATTACTTCTACATCTGTTTTTGTATCAAGTGATGAAGATAAATCATCATCAGTGTCGAATTTCTCATTGGAAATGAATTTATTGTTGTTTTTTAATGTTTGAAGTAATAATACACCAGGAAATTGATGATTTTTACCCATTTGTGACCGTAAATCATTGACGAATTGTTTGAATTCTGCTCCAAGAGTTGCTATCAAGTGTAACCGGGAGTTGCCGTAGAATTCGGAGAGGAAAGAAGGATGTGATGCTGTTTTGGAGCTGCTGAGAGTGTTGTCAACTCTTTCAAAGCTGATTTTAGGCTGTGTTCTACTTTGATTTGTGTATAATAAATACTGGGTGTAGTCTAGGACACGTCCTAGTGTTATACTGTCTTCTATCCAGCCTGGTTTCACAATTGGAAGAGGTCCTAGTTTGTTAATCTAAAAAACAAACCAATTAATGCTGTGAACTATCATTAAGGAATAAATAAAGATAAAATAAATATTACTTTAACATTAGGAAGATTACTAGCAATGATGTGAGTTGTAGAAGGCATCTGGTAGACATGATATACTCCTCCATGTAATCCCATTAAGGTTTTCAGTTCTTCAGCTGATGGTTTGGTGAAACCATTGACATAAATGGAGACTCCTTTGAATATTGTTGAATGTCGCTCGACTGCAGCTTGCTCACGAACTTGTTTGATGAGTTTAGCCTTCTTGGCTTCCATATAACCACCCTAAACATTATGTTTTTGTTAGTTTAAGATTGAAACATGCAATGGTAGTGTGGAAATTGAGAAAAATCAGAGTTTTTATCTTACAAACTGCGCGAAGCCATTGTCGTCATCTTCTTCTAGTTGTTTATACCATCCTTTATGCATTTTTATACTAGGGAGAATATAATTGTTAATAAATAATCAAATAAATAGTTAAAAAGGCGGTTTAAAACTTTAAAAATAAAAACAAGTAATAAAATCACAGGTTAGGTTACTAAATTAAGGGGAAGTGCACTATGGATCAGAAAGTCACTAGATGGAGGGGAGTCACGACCCGAACTTACGCGAAGTTTAAACATTCGGGAATAATCGTTCGCGCGTAAATTTGATATTTAAAATTCAAAAAGTTGAAAACTTCAAATTAAAAAAATAATTAAAACTAATAAAGAACCTAAATTAAATTCATTTCTACTAAAAAGAAGTATGAAATTAACTTGAATTTACAATAAACAAATGCGCACGTATGTATTTGTTTGTTTATTTGTTGATAAACACAAATATTTTCCTTGTTCACGTCGAAAATTGTAATTGTTTGCTTTTGTTTTGGGAAACAAATGGGAAAAACCGGCGGAAAAATGAGTTCCATCACGAGTGTGTTTATTACCGCTCGGGTTTCTCTTATTCTGCGGTTGATGCTCGATATTGGTTGGCGGTTTTACTGTTCTGCACGAATTTCCAAGCGAATCCACCTAGTGTACACGCAAAAACACCCACAACTCTTAAAAATCCCACAACATAGACTTATTTACCCTAGAATATAGCATAAAATATTGTTTGGTATTACCATATGCGAATATGTAGAGAAGTGTATGCGTGTATGCGGCTGGAGATGAATTTCTCTCAGGTTTTCCCCAACACTCGGTCTGGTTGGTCGGATGAGTCGAGTGGGGCGGCAGTGAATGTGTGTGTGGGGCGGCGGCGGCGACCCTCGTGTTATGCATTTAAATAGCCTCATTAATCCTATATCAGCCACCACCTGCGAACCTCTTTTCCACTCGGAATTTATTATATAGCCGGGGCTCCGCATTGCTCCACATTCGCCACCAGAAAAAGAAAAGGAACACACAATGCCATAAAAAGACAAGCACCCGCGCGAAGCACCAATCAAACTACACGAGAAGTCAAAACATTTTGAGGCCATCACAAAAACAACTGGTTTCTGCTTGTTGGAAGAGACCCGCAAGAGTTGGTCTTCTGTTTGGTTGTTGCTCGGCAGCACAACGCAGCAGCGATCGTGCATTGCGACGCCCCGATAATTACACACGCTGGAAATCTTGAAATCTTTGCTTCTTCGCTTCTTCAAGTCACGCGCGCGATCCTTAACCCCAACGCGCGATTGTTTAGGCTGTAATATAATCAAAGTCACATTCTATATCGATTGCGATTACGACCATCTGTTACTGTTTATTTCTGGCGTGGTCCCGGTGGGATTGTAGTAGCACCCTGCGAGTCTGTTCAATTTTTATCTCTTGCGGATAAAATGGACGCTGCAGACTCCTACAAAGACCAAAAATCTATCCACAATTTAATTCTCTATCACTAGGAGTTTACAGAATAAAAATATTTTCATTTTTGATTGAGTTACAGGCATTTTTTCAAAATATTGCAAGATTTTTGTAGAAATTTTAAACGTCAACTTTAAACAATGATAACTTTGGTAATTTCCAACAAAAATCAACAAATTATACCTCAAAATATCCCAAATTTACTCCACTAAGGGTGAAGAATAAAGTGGCAGTTAATGTGGAACAGCGACCAGTGAAGCACAAGCAATTTCGGCATAACACGCGTCTAATGTCACGTGCATCACTTCATCTCGCGCTGCGTGACGAAAACACCACTGCGATATATAAAATATTTATGCCTAACTGGTGCCCGGAATGCAATCAACATTCCTCATGAATCATCAATTTCTTAACGTCAATGAAAAATATTTGCTCGCACTTGTACGACACTTGTCCTAGGGGTTGCTCCCAGCATGATATCCTCTTGGGGTGCGAGTTGTTTGGTATGTAAGTTGATTAGTCGCCGAAATTAGCGGCTGGAAATCACGGAATCGTGGTCATACACCCCCAAGTGTCACCAGAGGGTTGGAGAATTAAATGCGGCATAAAACAAAGCGTTGGGAATAAAAATAAAAATAGATTATTCCTCAATTTGGTGAAGGTTGGTGATGTCGGTGATGTATCTCTGTCGACACACATATGTTGAGCTCTCAGCATGCGCCCCTTGCGCACATTGTACGGGACACAATAGGGTCGGCGCGCATTATGTATGATATGCGGTCGACTCCTCACCCCCTGGGTGTCTTCGTGAACTCGATGGTCATCGACCATGCGTGCAACAGCAGCGAGTACGCGCGTGTAAACACCAAACACCCTTCACGTGCGCGCGGGGGATGAGACGCAGCCACCTTTTCATTACAACCGGGAGGTCTCGCGGGTGCGATTCGCATAATGTTGTTTCTCCGCGAAGAAATTTCGAAATTTTTTGGTCAAGTGTAATGCGAATGGTACTAGACTAGATGTTTTGATTCATGTATGATCATGCGGAACATTACTATTGTGGGGTACGGAAGGCACAGCCACCCTTCTGTCGCTTTTTTGTACGCCGCTGGTTAAAATGTTTCTAAAATATGAACATGTGAGGCAAGTACAACAGGGAATTAGGGACCACAATGCGAGTGGAAACCCGGCCAGATCGGAGTCACCCTCAAGGGTTAAAGATAAAACACACACGGGGCGCACAACGAGAAGAAAAAAACGGCCTGGTGACCGTAAACCAGTGCAGTTTAACGCTGTTTAAACTGCTGGGGTAGGAAAAAAATTATTTAAATATTATTGTGATTAGAAGTTTTTCTCTCGATTGTGTCGATATTGTACGGGTGGCATGCATGTAGATCCCGAATATCGGGAAAAGCGTTTTTCGCGTCGCCGGTGCCGCCCCCCGTGTGCTACCGCCGCCTCCCTGCACCGCGGCGCGCACAAACGCGGCCCCCGCACACCCGCGCGCCTTCTCTCGCGCTCGCAATGTCGGTTGGCATGATGTTGAAGTCGTTTCGTGCGTTGTTCGTTCGATTCGTTCGCTCCCATTTCGTTCCGTGCGCGCCGCTGCCGGTGCCGGTGCCGGCGAAACGGCCTCGTTGACGGTTCTATCTCCGCGGCCACCTAGCGTCGGTTTGCCTCGACAGCGGCAATGCCTAAAGGCTCCCACATACCGTCAACGCATAGAAATTTACTCTAAAGCGGACACATTTAAGGAAAATTGCTAATATTTTCAAAATGATAAGATTTTTTGAAATTATTTAAAAAGCAGATGATTATGTATTATTTGTTTATTTATGATGGAAATTAAAAAAGTTATCGTTGTTTGAAGTTGATGTTATATTTTGTCATAAAAATCTTGCAATATTTTTGAAAATTGCTTGTAACTCTCTTAAAAATTAAAATATTTTTATTCCGTAAACATGTGTTGATAGATAATTAAATTATGTATCAAATAAGTTTTTAAAAATAATTCTATCATCAAAACTCAAAAAATTATGACAATTGCAAAATCAGAATTGAAAAAAGTGACTCAATAATTTTGCAATGCATTGAAAATTATAAATTTACTAAAATTCTAAACTACCCCCAGTAAATTTCTAAATAAAACCTAAAAATATATTAAATTCCTTATGCAATCCCGTCTAGTTGATTCATTTTGCCCGATTAACACCCGAGTAATCCAGCTCTGAAATAGCCACAAATTTCTCTCGCTTCTAAACCACTAGCAGGCGTACACGGCGACCTTTAGGCTGTGCGTTTGTGGCGTGGAGTGTACAATGATTGGATCCGGTTTTTCATCGTGAGTGTAGAAAATAGACATCGGGCGCGCGGCCCGTTAATCTGCGTTTCCCTGGCAACCGGGGATAGCTATCAACAATACACCGCGCGCACACCGACGACGCTCATCATCGTCGTCGACGTCGTCGCCGTCGTCGTCGGCGCGCTCGTAGGTTGTTACCTACACGGAAAACAAGAAACTGCAAAATCCTTTGTGATAAAAGGCGGAATTTCGGCCGAAACGCGGAAAACTCATCGCGAGATGATGATTTTTGTTGGCGAGGGTCGATGATGATGATGATTGCAATCATGTAGCACCGAGAACATAAAAAACACGCCGCATGGAATGCGCTTATGATTATTGCGCGGCTATTAAACGCACATGCTCGCTTTCCCCGGTTTCCTGCCAAGGACGAAATTGTTTCTTTTGTGTTTTTATGTTTTCCATGATTTTTACACCGAAATACATTGGTTCAATCATGCAATTTCGGATTAAACGAAAATTATGCTCGTTTCCGAATAGCATTTTTGAAATATCTTCTTATAAACAATAAACAATTAAATTATGATAATTTTAATAATATTTTCAAGTATTTGGGAGTAAAATTGTGTTAGTTATAGCGAATTAAAGTCGGCATTAAATTATTTTGCGCACATTTTGCAATATCTTAGAAAAACACTTGTAACTTCTTCAAAAATTAAGAAATTTCAATTTTGTGAACATCAGTTGATGGTGTATTAAATTATTTATCAAATTATGGTATAAACAAGAATTTATCATTAAAACTTAAAAAATTGTAGTGATTTTACCTATCATGTCATTAATTCAAGTAGATTTTCAAAGTTAATAAGTTAATTTTATCTAAAATTTAAAATATCAACACAACTGCTTAATATTTTAAGATATTTAAAAAATAATTTAAAGAGTATTAAATTTGGAATATTTTGATGTATAAAACATTTATTTCCGACTTAAATGAATAAAGTTATTGCGGTTTAAAGTTGGCATTCACTTTTTTATGCAAAAAATTTGAAATATCCACGAAAAATATGAAAAATAAAATAATCTGATAAAATATCTTATAAACAATTAAATAATAATAATTATAATAATATTTGCGTGTAAAATTTGTTTCAGTCATGCTATTTTTCTTAAAATATAAATATTTGCGGTTGATTCCGAGTAAAAATCCGCTTTGACATGTTTTGGTTGGGTTTTGACGAGCTGGGGATGCCGAGGGATAATCGGGCAAGATCACATTACATTATTTTTCCGCGCTGGGTGCTTTTTGGGCGCTTGCACCCGAACATAATGAAGCCATCCAGACAGAATTAACAGGATTGCGTCCGCCACCCTACGAGAGGTGTGGAAGGTACGCATA